ATTCATCACAACCAGCAGTCACAGCGTTTCGGGAAGGACCCGGGATACCAACCAATCGAGAAAGAGTTCCAACCGTTGCTCTCGTCCCTCGAGCTTTTGTACCCGGCACTGGAGAATCTCGACCTCTCGCACAACGACCTTCGCGAACTCTTCAACCGAAACATCGGGCACCAGACTCACCTCAAGTCCATCAAACTGAGCTTCAACCCTGAACTGGAGAGAATTCCATACGAGTTTTCTTGGTTCAAAAAGAGCAAGGATTTCACCGAGCTAGAAATGCTGAACCTACCGAAACTGTACGAACCACCAGCAGAGTACCAGACAGCCGAGTTGCAGCATGTCCTCACTTACATGAGGTCCTGTCTGAAAGAGTAAGTTGGCTTCTCATTATGCACATACAGCAAACCGGCTTCTCATTGTGCACATACAGCAAACATTATTATGACCGCAGTAATCTTCATTGTGGCAGATACAGATAATACATGCAACACAACCCCAAAAGTTAACAATAGTACAGCATTTCGTCTAGTCACGTTTTGTATCCACATTTGTTATTCACACATCCATATGAATACTTGTTGGCCATTGTACAACAATACAGACACCGTTATCCGTACTGACCACACCAACAAACATTGTGGAAAAACCCTTTATTTACGCTGCGGCTACAAGCACATGTGTATGTGAATCACGCGCAGGCTCATTGCTGAGAAATACGCACACGTAAGATATGACCACTGCGTTCTCTTTGTCTCTCTCTCTAATACATAGCTCTGTACCACATCGCACGATAAAGCTCTTTCTCATTGGTAATGGTGAGCGAGGTAAGACGACCCTCCTGCGACGTCTTCGAGGCCTTCCGGAGGAGAAATCTATCAACAGAACTGAGGGTATCGACATTGAAGACTGGCACTATGCGCCAAAGATCAAGTTCACGTCTCAAAAGCCTCAGGTCCATTTCCTGGCATGGGACTTTGCTGGACAGGTGAAGCCAATAGGTACCGTAAAACTTTCTCTTCGGCACCAAATTTTCAGTGTATAAAGGGGGTACGTCAGAGTTTGTAAGCCTCAGGTCCCTATACTGACACATTTTTCCACATTCCCTCCTGAAAACTATATATACATACGTATTTCCACTGCACCCTCCAGGTATAGTCCAGGGTATTCTGGATGTTTGTTTTCCTGTCTTTCCCTCCAATTGCTCGCTAAAAGTACGAACAGTTTAGGACACATTTTTCACTGACCTAAATATGTACGTAATTCTATGTGAATGCACAGAATTTCGCTCTCGCATTTGCTTGCCAAAAATGCATTGCTATTATACAAGATGACATAATATACTGTAACTTTCCTGCAGGATGTGTACCACACAACCCACCAGTGTTTCTACTCTCGCCGCTCCCTCTACCTCGCCCTATTCAGACTCACTGACGGGCAGGAGGGCATTAGGGAGCTGGACCCTTGGCTCAGGAATGTCAAGGTATGTATAGTATAAGCCATGAACACAAACTCTCATTAACACGTGTGCCTATATATAGGTCTCGCAGTCATTTCTGTAACTAAATACTATCATTATGCAGTTTATGTAGAAAGTGACTCTTTTGTCTTTACAGCTCCAGAGTATAAGATGCACTTTATCACGACATTTGTTTTCAGCACGCGGTCTATTCTGAAATCTTGGCTGTTTTTACGCACGTGTGTGTGTGTGTGTGTGGCTTGTCTTTCCTCCCCTTTCTTTCCACGCCCATTTTCCCCCTCTCTCTTTCTCTTTCCTCTCCCATCCATACATAGTTGAGAGCCCCAGGGTCAGTAGTAATGGTGGTGGGAACCCACTTGGACATGATGAAAGACCATCAGGAGATCAAGAGACTGGAGCAGTGTGCGATGGCCGAATACAGCAACTCCCGAGAGCATCCTAAAGTGAGCAGCATCCTGTATGTAGGGTTCTTTGAGCAAGTGGTCTAGACGCATTATGCTGGGTTTTTTTAGTTGTTAGTTCAAAAGCTCCACCTTGACTACAAGTGTCGTGGGCTAGAGTCCCACCGAGGGTAATTATTTTCAAGAAAAGTTGTACTAGGTGTGTATTGTGTTGTTTGCCTTGCCTTATAGCCTTGCGACCTTGTTTTTGCACATTATACATTAGAAAACACTACTGTATCACAGCTACTTTCTCATGTGTGGTCCGTGCACTTTGGGCCTAGTCTAAGCTAAGGTGGCTTACCAGTCCATCCATATCCTTTCTGAATCTGCAATGATAAACTTCAGCTGATACTCATAATATTGAAAATACACTTTTCAGTGTAAGTGTCACACAACACAATACTTTCAGCCACCTTCAAAAAACACAGTACATTGTACATTATAGGAGCAGAAGAAAGTCTCGGTATTAGTGAGGTGCCCTTAGTTATTTGTATTGCATGCAAGGCCTGTTCTTGGGGAAAGAAAAAAGCTGTACTTATTTGTAAGAGATGTGTCCTCATTTCAGGTGCGTCCCTTACCCCGTTTTACCCACATGACGTATATATATACAGTATGTCTAATGCTCTATTGTAGGTGGTGGGTGTGATGAGTGTGTAGTGCAAAGCAGACATTTCTCTCTCGAAACAACAACATCGACAAGCTGCGTATGAAGCTTTATGACATTGCCTGCCACCTCCAGGTTGCCTCAGACGGAGTCACTCGTGAGTTCAAGTGTTAGCTAAAAAATCCCTGATGCCACAACGATACTGTTTAGGAGGCAAAGTAGAACTTGACCGGGGTGCAAGTTAACGATTATCAAGGCATCGAGGGGCGAATTTTCCAACTTTGAGATAAAAACATCTACCAGTTTGCGCAGGGGGGGAGGAGGGGAGGGGGGATTAGCAAAACCATTTCCATTGTGAAAGATTTGATGTCGATCATTCCTCTCTACCTCTCTAACACAGTGGAGTACAAGGAGGGGTGCCGGGAGATGCTCCAAAGTGCCTGTTCCAGATCCAAATCCCGAGAACGTTCCTCAGTCTCCAGGACAAGGTCAGAGAGACTGTGGCCAGCTACAGAGCCAGTGACAAGATACCCATCATGGAGGAGGAAGAGTTTAAGTAAGTTCAACATTGGACTACCATAACACCAAATTAGTAACCCGTGAAGAAAGCTATCTGTGCCATGGCTTAGGTGCTTACATTACATTGGAACCCCATTTTAAGGACACCCTGACACCCCTAAAGTAAGTGTTCCCCAACAGAGTTCTTGCATGAATTTAACCCCTGACATACATAGGGACACCTTACCGGTATGGGTACAGAAAAAATTGCACATTGTAGCTAAAAAAAACTGTGAGATTCGCAAGTTACACAGTTTGAGACTGATGTTTAAAACGGAGACACATTGTGTTGATTCTCTATATATTTTTGTGGATTGCAGGACAAATTTCAAAGACCTGTTTGATGACGAAGAGGAAATGAATGAGGCAGTTTTCTACCTGAACCTACAAGGTAAAATGGCAATAACGCACACAAAACATTTCACCAGTGCACATACATAGAGCTCTGCAGACAGACGGAAACTGACCACGTATTTTTCATTCAAAAGTGTAGGTGTGGGAAAGTATGCCAGTAGAAAACGTGAACGATTGGAGACATATTTGCCTGGTAGGATAGGAAATTTATCGCATTGTCATCTTCCGCCATGCCACGTCACGTCCTGCCGCGAAGATAAAAATGGATTCTATCCTCGATGCGACATATTATTGTGAACCTAGCCTTTGAGAAAATCGTGTAGCTGTAAGATAAGGAAGAGTAGAATGAACAAATAATTATTTTGCTGCAAAAGTGTTTAGCATGCCACGCGTGCTGACCAACCACATTCACGAAAGTTGCTTTTGCTAGTTAAATTAGCGAGTTGTTGTTTTTATGCACTACATGCAGGTACTCTTCTCCACTTCGAGGACCTCGGACTGAAGGAGACGTATTTCCTGGATCCTCAGTGGCTGGCAAAGCTCATGGCCTCCATCATACACCCTGCCGCTGAGGAAGGGAAATCCCCTATCAAGAAAGGTCAGCTCACGTGTGAATCAGCAGTTTTATGTGTTGGAAGCAGAGTGGCTCAGAATTGACCCCCTTGCCATAAAAGTGCTTGAAAGTAGACAACGCTCTCCACAGTGCATGTTATGATTGGCTCTTCTGCCCCATTCAAAAACAATGAAGGTACTCAGCAACAGTTTCAGTTCAAAGGTGGAAATTTGCTGAGGCTTTGTATCCCCTACTTTTCCGTGAAGGACCATCCGTTTTTAGAGATAGAATTTATCGGTGTTCTCAAAGAGGGGTTATGCAGTATAGTATGTGTATGCAGGTATGGGGGAGGTATGCAACCTGTTCCAAGGCTCACCGGACAGACTTCGCAGGAAATACATCAGACTTCTGGAGAAATTCGAGGTGGCGCTGCAGCTCACTGAGACACAGGTAATATTATCTCTAGGATGGTGCACAGGCTGGGTCGGAACTTCGGTCGGGACTTAAACTGAGGTTTTGTGACTAAAACTGAGGTGTTGTGACTTAAACTGAGGTTTTGTGACTTAACCTGATGTGTTGTGACTTAAACTGAGGTTTTGTGACTTAAACTGATGTTTTGTGACCTAAACTGAGGTTTTGTGTTGTGTCCAGTGCACTACACACTGAGCTGTAACTCCCACACAAAAGCCGATCTTCCTCACCTCTCTATGTGTTTTCCCGACAGGATTGTCTTCTCTCCTAGCATGTGTACTTCAATGAAAGTTTTATCCACTTAATTTTGTGGGCGGGGCCATTTTTATTGCGGGACAGGGAACAGTTTTTCTCTACAAAATTATCGTGTGCTGCTGAATTACAAACATTTTGTATCTCGAAACTTTCCTGCTATAATATGGTAATTTACAGGTAATAATCCCGTCCCTGATGCCGACAGAGGCAAATTACCCCAAACCCAATGACTGCCTGAGAGACATTGATATGGACGTGGACAGTTTCTACCAGCCGCCCATGAGAAGGTTCTGGTTGGCTGCCTACATCCCCGAGGGGTTCTGGCCTCGCCTCATCTGCAGGATCGCCACCGATCACCAGATTGGGAAGGTGCTGCCTTTAGCATGCCATTGCATGGCGGTATGATACTCCAAAAGGTGTACGTTATGCATAGCATAGGATGTGTTGAAAGTATACATCCATATTGGGTGTAGTTGACTCCTTTGCTTTGCCTTTGCCTTTCTACCTTGTTGGTCACATAATATGCATTAAAAAATGTTTTTTTTTCACAATTGCATTAAAATTTTGTTCGCCAATAATGCCATTCGGCCCACAAATTGCATGTGTCTATTTGAACGTGATTGTAACTTCAACTGCAGACGCTGCGGAATCTGATCAAACGTGATCCAAAGATGTCCTCGCCCCAAGACTCTACCCCCTACTACAAGTTGAACTGGATCCCCTGGCGAAGTGGGATTGCCTTCGTTGACCACGGCCGGACCCTCCTGGTCATTAGGGGGACAATGAACGAGGGGCATCCCCCATCTACTGAGGACGGTGTCACCCCTTTTTCTCAAGTATGTGTAATTTATGACAGGCAGTATTTTATCATGAACAAAGCCTAATTCAGGTTGTGTGATGTTTGTACACCATACACGGGCACTCTTCGGTCATTGATTCCGAGTGCTTTTATGTGGACAGTCTCACTAGTTGGGATGATATTATTATACATAATGTGTATGATTTACACGCATGTAATACATGCTCCCAATCGATGACATTGGACAATAAGCATGAGTAGAGGTGTTAAAAAAAAGCACTCTATGGACTGTTTGCGTGCGCTCGCCAAATGTGTTGCCATCATTGTAGCCTGTTTGTATGTTTGTATCTCTTACCTCTGTCACTGTGTCGTTGGACAGGTGAGGCATCTGAAGGGGAGCCATCGTATCGAGGTCCACGTGTATGCTCCGGACTTGATTACACTGGTTGCAGAGTGTTCTGAGGAGGAGACTGAAGATCAGGAGACCGGAATCGAGCCAGACTCTCTCACCACCATGGCAACCCAGCTGCTCATCATGATCTCCAAACACGTCCAAACCCTCGCTTCTGATTGGTTCTCAGGTATATACAATATTTATTGTACGTACATACGCATGTGAACTAAACAGCTCACGGTTGCAAGGATAGTACGGTGCGGAGGGACAATGCAACCCTTATCGTGTTTGGGGTTGTAGAATGTAAACTTCAAGGGATAAGTGAATGTTACTATTCCAAACTCCAACTATAGAGAAACTATTGAGGACGGTTTGTTTGCATCGTCTTTCATTCGTGAACCTGCAAAAAATGCAAAATCATTCCCTTTCCTTTTCTCCTGCAGACATGTTGAAAAGTGAGGAGAACCATCTGCCACCGCTTGTCTATCTCCCCTGCTGGAAGTGTTACGGACACAAGCCATTCCCAGAGGAAGACACCAAGTGGGACGACGGAAGCTGGATCTTCCACGATGGAAAGCCTGTGCACTGTTTCACACTGAACCAGAGCATCGTGCCTGCTGTGCTGGGGGACGGCTTGAAGTGTCCTCTACATGGGAAGATCAGGATAGAGCACACTGCACCTGACCTGGTATAATAATGTGCAGTGTCTGTAGATTCAGATGATTTCAGGGGTTTCCTCAGAGAGGGGTTCCACAGTATATGCGCCGGATTTCACCTCTTAGTGATGGGTCCTCATTTTTGGGTGTCCTTAGAGAGGGGTTCCACTGTATATATATGTTTCACCTCTCTACCTCTATATACTTGTAGGTATTCTGTGACCTCAAAAACACCAGTACCTATTACCAAGACAACGATGTCCCTCTCAAGATACACAGTGATCGGGTCCTCGGGAAAGGTGGCTATGGCTTCGTTTGCGAGGGAGACCTCTCCTTTGGTCCTCAGGTCAGAAACTCCATGGCATAATGATATATGGCCAAGAGTGCATGACAGAACTTGGAGGGGAAAGAGCGTGTGACTCCAATTGACGCCCGTAGAAATTATTCCGATATTGTGAAAGGACTTCAACCATGCATACGTATTAGTTAACGTATAGGCGGCGAGGCGGTACAGGAGATACTCCGAGGCTGTTGACTATACCGGACGAGGGCGTAGCCCGAGGCGCGGTATAGTTAGTTAACAGCCGAGGAGGATTTCCTGTACCCGCCAAGACGCCTGACAGTTAACTGATTTGTAGTCCAACTAGCCAATCACAATGCTGAATTTCTGCTGTGTCATCTTGCACTAATGTACTAATGACTGTTGTGTAAACTTTGGAAGCCAGACAATTTGCACTACGCCTAGCGCTAGATGTTGTGATAAGGACTTCCTGTCCAATACTGATACCGGTGCAGGCCCGCAGCCCACAGCTCAGAATACAGCGTATATTCCTAGCACCGGGTTGTTTGAAGTTGGACTACAAATATATGTATTATTGCGTATTTTTGTAGAACAAAAAGAAGGTGGCAGTGAAGGTGTTTCTGGCGGACCCAAACATTGAAAACTCATCTATCAATGAACTACTGGAGAAATCCAAGCAAGCCGGACACTTGCTTCATGCATACAAGTAAGCACTCACCATGTATACATGCAACTTACAGCAAAGTAACGCACATACCGAACAGCGGGGAACTTGCATGGGGAGAAATTTGCTGTTTGTAAAATTGGAAGAAGGTCCCTTGTCTCATTGACTAGTGAAAAAAAAAGCAAAATGAAAAAGAGAAAGAAAAACAAAAGGGTTAGAGGGCAGTATATACCTCCATGATGTGGTCTGCTTTACCATGCCAAAATGTCTTGGTTTGCAATATCTGAAGCAGTGATTTGTATGCCTTAAGGAATTTTCCTCGCTATATATGTTGTGCAAGGTGAAGCTTCAGACAATGTCGCAAATCATGGTTCTAGTATATTCTCTCCTCTTCCTCCGATGTACAGGGAGATAAGACAGGAGGTGGCGTTTCTCTCGGCTCTGGACCATCCTCACCTCACCCAGCTGTGTGGGGTCCGCACACGACCCAACATGTGTCTCCTGCTTGAGCTGGCTCCCCTGGGCAGCCTTCGACAGCAGCTGAAAGACTACCACCATCACAACCTGGTCCTAGAGCCACTCACTCTCAAATTGACCACCTTGCAGGTTCGCTGGAGCTGGAAATGTTATTGGCGTCTGAATGCCGGATTTTATATATCACATTTTATACTGCACATACCGCAATTTTCTACGTCGTTCTAAATATGCGCGAAAAGTGCATGACAATGACCAGATTTTATGTAATTAACTTTCATCGGCCCCCAGCATTCACGAAGTGTTTCGCAAAAGAGTTGCTTCAGATATACACAGTATTGATTGACTTTCCCTCCGAACCCTCCACTTGTTCTGTAGATTGCCAATGGACTGGAGTTTCTCCACCAACACCAGATAGTTCACCTGGACATGAAGTCACCCAACGTTCTCGTGTGGTACTTCCCCTCGCCCGACTACAGCCAGAAGGACAGAGTCAACTACGCCGGGAACGTGTGGCTCAAGTTGGCCGACTACGGCATCAGTCAGGTCTCCACGGGGTTCGTCATGAGGGTTCGTAGTAATCCCGTGGGAACCCCTGGATATATGGCTCCCGAGCTCTTCGAGCAGCTGGGCCAACAAGTATCCTCCGAGAAGGTTAACTAAATAGCTGGGAGATAAGCTAAGCTACACAGCAACAATCCCCATGTTCCAATAGTCCCATTTTTAGATTTTGTCTGTGCGTGTCCCCAAACCCTCAATCCCTACATTTACTACGACATTCAACCGAAAACATAAAGAATACATAGTATTGAGCTGCCCTGGTGGGATTCGAAACCAATGACACTCTGCTCTCTAGGGCAGGGTGTCTACCTACTGGCCTATATATCTACAGCTAAGCAAGCTGAGCTCTAAGTGTACACATCCACACATATGCCTCTATTATACAGTATGGTCACTGTATATATATACAGGTTGATGTGTTTGGATTTGGGATGACAATCTACGAGCTCCTCTCCCTCAGCCCCCCATTCAGCGACGTCTACCCTCCGTTCAAGAGAAACACCGAGATACGCGACCGCCACCGTCCGCTGCTGAAGGGCAGACAGACCCGATCGCTGGTCCTTCTCCAAGAGCTAATGCGACTCTGTTGGGAACACGACCCGGACTACCGACCACGCATGTCTCAGATCAGACAATGGGTGGCGGCGGAAGAATTCGAGAGACTTAGAGCCGACGTAGCACTGAGCGACGTTCACTCCATATCATGTGCCTGCATCTGTCGAATAACCCCCGAAAACGAGGAGGAATTTATGAGCGATGGCTTCGAAAACCAGGATATCGGGAGAGTCGACGACTATCTCCCGTCCGTTTTGGAAGACAACGGAAACGTTGAGAACACAGTAAACACACAGGAGTACTGTAGGGACGAGAGTACTATCTACCAGTTTGTACCGTCCGGTAGAAAGTCCAACTCCCCCGGGTTCGTCCTGGACCACGCCTACTCCCAGATATGGATGTGTGGCAGAGACATGAAGAAAGGACTGCTCCATATATTCACCTACTACGACGGGCAACCAGGCCTTCATGTGAGTGGCTCTTGAGTCCATTCATGTTGAGATTGAACTGTGGCCAAGGTGTACATATTCGTAGCAGATACGACAATTTTTCATTCACAACTGCCACAATGCACATAAAGTGTGAACAATTGAACATATTTGGCAGCTATAGTAACGTCCTCTTAGGAATGTATTACTAGGGTTTTTTTACATCTCAACCAAGAATGGAGTATATTATGCCCAATAGTAAAGTTGTCTTTATCACACAGAACTTGGTTAGTAGGCCAAAGTTTATGTGTACGTGTTTTCTCCTCGCACTCTACAGTCGTTCAGTGGCTACTGTAGCAAGGAAGAGGTGTCAGCCCTATGCCCTGTGAAGAACATGATGTGGATGGGCACCACCACTGGAACCATCAAAATATTCCACGCACCCACTCTCCAGGCAAAATTCACGGGGAAACTAAAAATCGGTGCGAGTCGCCCGTCCTGCATCCTCAACATCCTCCACATTCCGTCAATGGCGTGCGTTCTCGTCTCCACGGCAAACGGCGATATCTGGTCTTTTAAAGATAGACTCACACCCAAGGGGCTAGTGAAGCAGTGCAGGCTCACACTAACAGATAACTACCAGTGTTACCATCTGGTGGCTGTTGAGAGAGAGGGCACGGTGGAAGTATGGGGAACTATGGACAACAGCCAGCTATGTCTACTGGAGAGGGACGGAGCGCTCGTGTGGAAGTCACAGGAGATCAAAGTGAACACTGGCGATCCAAAGCTTCGTCTCTGCTCACATATTGCTCTGGCTAGCTTTGTCAACAAGCGGGGGGTGGCGCAGAACCATCTGTGGATATCGTATCGCTCACGGGGAGTGCTGGTGGCCTGGGACGCCAGCTCGAGACAGCAGCTAGCAGTCGTCAACTGCAACAACTCCTTCCCACAACTGAAAGCAAGTGAGTTGAGCAGTTCATACAATCGACATTTCAAAAATTGCATGGACAAATGCACTCCTTCCTTCTCACTTGCCCATGCTGTTTTCCTGGAGTGTCTGGTGACAGTATTAGTCCCTTCCTGAGTATGCAATGACTATATATGCACATCTCAGTATTTTGCAGAAATATGGGTTGGCGTTTTGTGTTTAACTTTCCGCTTGATAATGTTCTCTATAATACGTCCCATCCCTATACAGATAAGGACAACACATTTCAAGTGAGCACGCTAGCAGCACACGGAAAGAAAGTGTTCTTTGGCACAGACTGTGGCTCGGTCGGTATCATAGACTCAGACACTCACCAACTCCTTCGATCTCTCCACTGGTATGAGGGGAAGGTCAGGACATTGCTGGTGATGCCCAAAGAGATGGAATCCTGCATCTGTGCGGAGGTCCCCCTCCCTTCTCAACTGCAAGCAAAACCGGAAAACTCAAGGCGACGAAACGGGAAAAAACCTGACCCGTTCAAGAATCCACACAACGTAATGAGCAAAGACCATAATGCCGTCATGGTGACAACCTTTGGTAACGGCCGGAAGAAGTACTCGGTTCACACGGTTACGAGATCAGAGAGAAACATGCAGTTTGATAAAGAGTTCCTTACCTCATCGTTGCCTGCAGCGAGAAGGACGAATCATTTTACACACGAAAACATCAGTTTATTATCCTGGAAGAGTTAGCTTTTCTTTTAATCCCTTGTAATGTATAAAAGCCATCTTTGCTTATGAATTATGCAATATGGGCGTGATGATGGGCGTGATGATGGGATACTTGCTGCGTGGGCGTGGTAGCTGCTGCGCGTTTATCCACAGCTATAATAGCTACGAGACGTATGCAGCGTGAGCCCCATCATCATGTCTAGGATCGGCGATCCACAGTTGAAGCAGAGAGCCGAAGCGCTCGCGACGCTGCTGTCCTCGGACCAACACCCCCAGTCCATCTCCGATAAAGTGACGGCAGCTCTGCAGCAGTTACCGCAGACCCAGCTAGAGGCCGTCATAAACTACAGGAACACACGGCAGAACGGACGCACGGCTGTACATCTGGCCGCCTGCGAGGGCCTCTGGCAGAGCCTGGAGGTGCTTCTGAAGAATGGAGGTTAGCTTGTGCGGCTACAAGCCATGGACGTGCATGTCTTGTGCGTAATATAGGAGCTACAAGTAGCTAGTCATTGTTTACACAAAACGTAAACATGTTCTTTATGAAAGCGACTTGTCCTGCATGCATTCTTAGATCTACTAGAAAGAATACATTTTTGATGAGCTTATGTGAGTGCGAAATTTCTGAGGATCACATTTCATGAAGAATGGCCGTTTGTTTCAGGACAGCCCAAGGATAGTTAATGATAGTTGTATTGAAATATCGTGCAATTCAGAAGACTAGTTAGGCTTGCTAATAAGTCTAATGGGCTGCTATTTTTCCTGTATGCAGGATCATACCTGAAATTGATGGTCGTTTCCTCATAACATGTTTACCTTTCAATGGGTCTTCAAAATGACAAGCAGGCTAAGGGATTAGTAAAGGGAATTCATTTGCCTGCTCCAGACAGCGTTCTGCATGGTGTAAGCAGAGTGACACTCTAGCAGGAAGGCATATGAATGTATGGCGAAGTACGTGCCTTACAACTTCCCCTTGTGGAGGTGTCACTGACTTCCTCCTGAAAATGAGGGCACCTTGTTGGCTCTCCTGACAATGATGAATACTATACTACAACCTAGCTCACTCACACAAATCATAGTTTGTACATCGGGCTCAACCGTACATCAACCGTACATCGTGTGTATGTCCTAGCTGTGTAATCTTCCATAGTATCTACTCTTAAACACATTATAGTACGTTACACTCATGTATAGCCGTAATATTATTTCTTGTGTGTAGGTGAACCAAATGCTCAATCGTCCAATAGAGATCTTAGACAGGTGAGTATAAATTTTTAACTGCACCATCACCTTACCTGCCAATGTAGTCTAGCGTCTCTAATTGAGCCCATTCTTTATTTTCCCGGAAATCACCAATCTTCCGTGCGATGTCATATCAGCTTGCATACATAATGTGTGTGCAAACTGAAATAATTATAATAATTATACAAAACTACAAAGTTTTGCTTGTAAGTGGCAAAGTGAGTGTTTTTGCCTTTTCGTCTGGCACCAGAAAACGTAATACGTAAAACGTGTAACAGCAACATTTTGCAAGGACATGGCAAGGCACTGGTATGCGAGCCACAACAGCTTAAACTCTTCCAGAGTTTTACGAAATTTGATCCATGCCTCGCCTATATATCTAGTGTGAAATAGCCACTAGCATTTGTACACGTGTCAAAAGTACACATCGCTAATCTGCAACTATTTCATTTAACCCTTTTCCGCCTCTCTTTGTTAATAATGCAGACTCCACTCCACTTGGCCGCTCGGGAAGGCAACGGAAAATGCATCGAAGTTCTTCTCGAGAATGGTGCCGACTACATGCTGGAGAACGACAGGAAGGAAACTGCCCTAAAACTGGCGACAGACAAGTCGTGTCACGATCAACTCGAGAGCACAATCGCCAGACTGGAAGTCCCACAGCGATCCAGGATTGAAGAGGACATAGTTGAAAGTGAGCCAACCATCCGTATACAGGCATGTAAATATTTCAACTATAGGTTACTAGTATATACACCACACTAAGACTTTCTCTGTATAAAGTTCTCTATGCACAGAAGTTTGTGCAGGGGTTCAATGACGGGAGAAAGAAATCCTCCACAAAATTGCTATTTATCGGGGTAAAGCCAGCCCTAAAATGTTGAGTGGAAATATAAGATTGGGTTCCCATAATCATTACGAACTTTCACATTACACTCATAGGGCTCCACGGCTTTATTGAGAATGGGAAAGAGCACCAGTTTTTCCAGCTCTACACGAACCAGCCACGAGAGAAGGTGGACCTGGGATCGCGATGGAACGACAAGTGCCTCAAACCTGCCGGAGGAAGAATTACCGACGACAGTGGAACGGTTTGGTACGACTCTCCTCCTGAACCCAGCAAAACTGAGACCTTGCTTTACAGGTGTGAGTTTTACCTAGTCACCAGGGGTTGATTGTGGGGGACGCTCGCCCACCTTGATAAAATCTCGCCCCCTTAATTTTTTAATGCACACAAACATTGGGGTTCCCCCTCCTCTTTTTATGAATACGCTATTTGCTCCCCTCCCCTTGGTTTAAATGAAGGCCTAGTCTCATCTGACTTCTTTGTGTGCCCTAATGTCACTCTACCATACATTCTCTTGCAGAGGGTGCATGAGTGATGCGGAAGCGATTGTACAGTTCATGCTATCGAAATCACCCAATCAACCTCTGCCGAATCTCAAGACAGGCGAAACTCCACTCCACGCGGCGGCACAAAACGCCAACATGGCGTTGGTCGCAAAACTCCTGGAACATTCTCCAAAACTTGTCCTCAGTCAGACTTCGATGGGGATATCGCCCTTATATCTTGCCTGTCGCAATGGGCACGTTGGGATAGTAGGGCTGATCCTGGAGCAAATACTGAAGATTGTCAGGGGAATGAGGCATGTTTACAACGACGATAACCCCTTCTCGCTCGATCTCTGCGATTCAGAGGACGTGACTCCACTCTACCTGGCGTGCCTGAACGGGTTTCCCGAGGTAGTCAGGAAGTTGCTCGCGTTTAAGGCCGCCCACAGTAACTTCTTCAGTCTGACAGTCCATGCTGTCACCAAGAGAGGCCACACGACGCTACACGCGGCAGCTTCCAGTGGAAACAGCGAAATTGTGGACCAACTCCTAGGCTCCGGAGAAGTCGACCAGGAGAAGTTTTCCCCTCCCCTGACGAGCTCTGTCGACACTCTCTGGACGGCAATCGGTGGGAGCCAGTTTGAAGTCTCGGAGAATCGAAAGATATTTGCGTCGGGGACGGGCGATTTCGTGGCAAACACCGAGGGACTGGTGAAAGGAGACCGTCCGCTTCGGGTGACGGCGCTAGCTGAAGCCTGCATCCACGGCCACGGCAACGTAATCGACGTTTTTCTCGAGCATGGCGTCCGGGACAACGAAGGCCTGGCTTGCCGACTCCTTCTAACCCTCGGTCACTACAACCTCTGCCAGAAGGTGTTGTCTCGCCACTGCAAGGTGAGTAGCGAACTCAAGGGAAGCATGGATCTCGGTGATCCGTCAGAGTTGTGGAAACTCCACTTGCTCTGGGGCGAGAAGAAGTTCCCCTTCTTGAGAGGGGAATGGTTCGAGAAAGACAGCGCTGTGTTCACCCCGGCCATCCAAAAGGTAGAGTATGACGACGGGAAAAAACGTGCGCAGAGTCAGAGGCGCAAACACAGAGGAGTTTCCATGGCTGTCCCCCTACCCCGTACCATCGATCACACCTTCATCAAAAGCATCACGCTAAAGGGAAACCGCCTCGAGGAAGTACCACTGCAGCTTTTCAAGCTACCAAACGTCACGTTCATAGATCTTTCTCAAAATCAGCTCACCTCCCTACCACTTTCCGAAAGTGTCTGTGGGTGGGAGTGCACCAAACTCCAAGACATCAAGTTGTCGTATAACAAGCTCACCCAGCTTCCTCTCAGCCTGTGGGTCTTGCAAGAACTGAAAAGCATTCAAGCAGAACACAACGAGCTGGAGAGGCTGACTGGAGTAAACGTGCCTACCATTTACCTCACAACGAGCTTAGAGAGGGTAGACCTCTCCTACAATCATTTGACTGAGGTCGACCCGTTTTTCGTCGAGATCCAATCGCTCGAGATCATCTGCCTCTGTCACAATCGACTACCGATGCTCCCACTCAAAATCTGGGACATTCGAAGTCTGGTTGACCTAAAAGCCAGCAACAACCATCTAACCCACCTGACCCCTCCACAGGAAGAAGATGCTGAGGAAACAGACACATACAGAGATGGAAATCATCCAAACGAGCCTGAAATAACCCCAGTAATGACCGGTGCGATGCGTATCACTACAGCCAGGGCGCACGTCCGTCCGCAAATAAGCCGTGTTTCGTCTCTCCACCCTCAAAAGTCAATTGACGTGGACGCCCACTTGTCCATGACGCCACTGGATCACGCCGACGGACCTACAGCTCCCGTTACCAACGACGTCTCGAAATTACGCAAGTTGGACCTCTCCAGTAACCGGTTTCACGAGTTTCCGTGTGAGCTCCCCTGCGTGGCCCCCAGCCTCGAGGAGCTGAACATATCTCAAAATCACGGGATTACCCACGTCGAGCTCCACTTTCTCCCGCATTCCCTGAGAAAATTAAACGCCAGAAACTGCTGCATCGAGTGGTTTGGAAACATCCTGAATAAAGAACAATTGACGTTGATCAAGAAGTCCTGTATGCGCAAGGAACTGCGCATGACGGCATGCGAGCATCGAAATCATGATAGACTACCAAACTTAACTTCCCTCAACGTGAGGGTGAACCGATTGTCACAGTTTCAGGTTTTAGCACACACCCTTCCGACCAAGGGAGCCCCAAATTTCGGAGCAGAGGAGAAAACATACGTGGAAGAAGACTTCGTACTTCTCTATCCGTCGCTAGAAAACCTGGACCTCTCGTTGAATCACCTCCAGGGGAAGTTCAACCCTAACGTGGCACACTTGGGCAAGATCAAGTCCATCCAGCTGAGGGGCAACGAGCACCTGCAGGAGATACCTTACGAGCTGGGTCACCTCAAGAGGTTGAGGGATTTCACGGAGCTGGACTTGAGAGACCTGCCCGAGTTGGTGCAGCCTCCCAAGGAGGTCCTTAAGGACAGCATGTGCCAGCAGATTCTTACTTACCTTGCAGCGGGATTCAGGGAGTGAGTTGAACAGTACTCAGCCATAGCGCAGTTGTTGAGGTGTGCCTTTGTCGTGGGTTTAAATCACACCTAGGGCAACTCTTTTTTCCTTGAAAAAACGTCCTAGTTGCTTTGCCTTGACCTTGTTGATGACACACTCACTAAAGACAACCCAAAATGCCAAACAATACACCAAAGTATTAATACCACCATGCAGCAAAGTATTACTGCCGAAGTTTTAACTGCTGTGCATATTGAACAGCCACTGTTTCGATCCAGTCCTAACAACCTTAACACAAAGGACAATATTCATAGTTCTAGTACGTCGTTTATTCAAAGGTTCAACTGTATTCTTCCTCTCCATCTCGATGCAGGTCGGATACATACAGGACTATCAAGCTATTCCTGGTGGGAAAGACTGATGGCGGAAAGAGCACGCTGCTACGGAGGCTCAGCAGCCAGAGCGACAAGATCCCCGGGAAGACGGTTGGCATCAACATTCGCAAGTTCAGTTATCCAAAACACAGGGGAAAGATGGAGCCAGTACAGTTCATAGTGTGGGACTTTGCCGGAGAGGTATATACTACATATGTACAGAATAATAGCTAGACAGTGAGTCCATGAAATCTGCATCTGACTACCATACATAATACCAGGAACTCATAAAATTACTCAGAAGCACAAATATCATTCACACTACTAGCATACTGCTTATAATTCCAATTATAAGCCACATCAATTTTCAGTTATGGTCCACCAAGACCACTCGTGCCAAGATTAACAACTTACCAATAGCGTATGACAAAGAAGGTGTCTCAGTATTTAACACTTGAGTTCACCGCTTTTTCTCGTCCCAGGATCAGTACCATGCAACTCACCACTGCTTTTACTCCCAACGCTCCCTCTACGTCGCCGTCTACAACATGAAGCACGAGAAGAAAGGACTGGATGAGCTGGACCCTTGGCTAAGGAATATTAAGGTTCATCCACTCTTTCTTTGTCATGAGAAAACACGTCAGAGAGAAAGCTTAAGAGTTATGAAGTTTTTTAAGAACCCCTTTTGTGAGCAAAACAGCCGTTTGTCATTCACTCAATTTGGGCGAAAGAGCCATTTTTTGTAGACTAAGACCATCTCTGTGATAGTTCTATCTCTCACCTCCAGTTACTGCCATTCATACTGCACGTGTGAGTATTTAGTGGGTGTTTGTAACTTGTTTTGAAACATTAAAAACTATCAATCTCTGTTGATTTGCTTGCCACTAAACCACCTTTGCTGGCTAGTGTACATACTGAGATGTTTAGTAGGCTGTTAGTGTGCTCCCTTCTAGCTTATACAGTAGATTCATTGAACCTTCCATACCCAAAATGTGCACAAACTACTACATACATGTATGTAGAAAGAAGCTATAATGAAGCATGCCAGTCCACATAATGTGCTAAAACACTCTTGAACACGCCTACTTAGCCTCATGGTATTGTAGTTGGTTTTGCCATGTTTTCTATATCGTCATCACAGCTGAGGGCGCAGGGCTGTCCAGTTGTGATAGTTGGAACACACATGGACCAATTGAAGAGCAAGTGTGTCATGGAATTGGAAGAAACAGCGAGGGAGAAATTCACGAAGATTCCACCAAACCCGGCCTATCCCCACGTACGTATGTGATGTGTTGGCAAATGCAAAAACAACACATGAATTTGTTTAGCTGGATGTTGGTGCACCCCCTGACTTTGTGGGCAAGAGTATATAGTGCATGCTAATCACATGCTACGCTATGCTAGGTATTATATTGTATGCCCAGAATAATATGCGACATTAGTATAATGCGCATACAGTGTAAATCTCTTATTATATTTTCCGTAAGGGTGAAGAGGCACTGTATGTGAGTTGATCATGTTCAACTGAAGTGAAGGGTAGGGGGACACATATAATAGGCAAACGCTCAGTGAGAAGTGAGAGAGTGTCATTCCACACTTTAACTATAGTCCAAGTATTAGGCATGATTGGTCCGCGATTTCGTTCATTCACATGCCCGCAAAAAATGCAAAACCGTTAAAACCCTTATTGGAAGGTGGTGGGGGAAGGGACGCATAGGTGCAGTGAGAAGTGAGAGAGTGTAATTCCACACTTTAACTTGACTGAAAGTATTAGGGATGGTTGGTTCGTAATTTCGTCCATTCACATGCCCGCAAAAAATGCAAAACCGTTCAAAGCCTTATTGGGAGGGGGTTTGGAAGGGTAGATGAGACATACATAGAAGTGAGATAGAGCAAGATAAGATTACAGCAAGATAGTGTTACTATTCCATACTCCAGCTATATTCAAAGTATTAGGGGTGGTTGGTTTGTCTAATCTTCGACTGACAGAACGGTTAAAACAGCATTGTGGGGAAGGGGGGTCAAAAGACGCCAAGGCAAAATCGCCAAGACTGGTGAAATGTGGAATACTCTACTACTTCTTTTTTATCATTTTGCCAGCACTTCATGCTCATACAACTACTGATCCTCTTATCCATCGATAACAGGTAGTGGAGGTGGTAAGTGTCAGTTGTGTGAAGCGAGCGCTGAAAGACGACAACATCGACAGGCTCAAGAGGATACTCTACGACATTTCAACACACCTCCACGTGACAAGAGACGGCCACACGTGTAAGGAAAAGCACATCCGAACAATTTGTTCCATCAAACGTAACATGTAGTGTGGACCCATCCTACCTATACTTTGTCACTGCAGGAGACTATTGTCAAAGTTGAGCCTATACATCATTGAAATGAACTTGCCTTACATTGACACTCGAGTCATACTTAATACTTATGTGCTTCCTCTGCCACAGTGAAGTATGATCCAAACATGAAAGAGGACAACCACAGAGCGCTGTTCATGCAGCAAGTCCCTAAAAGCTTCCTGACTCTTCAGCAGATGTGTCTGGATCACGCCGAGCAGTGCAGGGACTTGGCGGAGCCTACCGACAACCACCAGCCACACCCACAGAACAGCGAGGGAGGAGGAGGATCGGACAATGGGACGGCGTTGGCAAACGGGACAGGACAGATGGGCAGAGCGGAGAAAAAAGATCCCGTAATGAACGGGGAAGAATTCAGGTGAGATAGACTACAGTTTCATGGTCAACCAGTACCACTCTTTGCTTTTCCTTTTGCATTGTGACCCTAATAATAATTGAGTATGCATATCTTTATTTGCAGGGATAAGTTTGGTGGACTATTCAATAATGACAGGGAGGAATTGGATGAAGCAGTGTCTTTTCTACACTTGCAAGGTACTGTATGATTGACCAAGTTACGTGGGTTTGCTTTTTGTATTGGGTTGTGGACGTAGAATCCAAATCGTGCAACTGAGGTTTTTTTTATTGCTTTTGCTCTGGGCTTAGGGAAAACCTGTATATACATACGTGTATGTAGAGCTGTGCATTATGTATTTACATTGTTGATCTTATAATACAGGGACTCTGCTGCATTTTGATGACCACAATCTCAAGGACCTCTACTTCCTTGATCCTCAGTGGCTGGCCAAACTCATGGCCCACGTCGTCCATCTTCAGACCATACACACTGAAACCAAGGCCATTGACGGTGAGGTTAAAACTCCTTTGTGCCTGAGGTTATTACACATTTAACTCTTTGCCCACCTCCAACGGAGCAGAATGGTTAAGAAAAAAACAGTCTCATGCATTATAGTGGGAATCTTTCGCGATTTTTCTCACACAATTACTATCCAGTCCCGCTGTACCAAGTAATGGTTCTAGTCGACAATGCTCACAGAGAAACTTTCACAATTGGCCCTTAAACCATGACTTGAAGAAATGTTTCCCTCGTGAGTTTACGTGGTACCCGTAGAGTATCGAGCACCGCTTTGTACTCTTGAAAACTGCAAACTCAATGACAGACCAGTACATGTACGTATGTATGAACCTGTGTGCATGTCTTACGTACTTCTGCAGGAGTGCTACCAGTTGAGGAGCTGTTTAAAGATCTCCGTATCTGTGACTCACTAAAGCCCAAGTGCATTCAGCTCCTGGAAAAGTTTGAAATTGCTCTCAGCATCGGCTCCTCACAGGTGTGTGTGTGTTAGTAATACACCCATTACTGTATGAGACACATTGAGTAGGAACACCCATTCTCGAAACTGTCTTATCCCTACATAGATGAATGGTTTTGTATGCACCTATCTTGCTGTATATATTCCCCCTTGAAAGTAATGCTTTCCCTCCTTCCCTCCTGAGTATATACTCCTTCTAAAAAGGTGACTTGGTAATCAATCTCAATGTTCAGTCTTTTGATGCTTCGTCCAATAATCCTTTACACCCTATAATATAACTTATCAGGTGCTGATCCCCTCACTAATGCCGGTGATGGGGCGCTACCCACGGACGGGCGATGACTTGCGAGGCATCAGACGATTCTCAGACGATTTTTACTTCACCGTTCTGAGGAGGTTCTGGTTGGTCGATTTTGTGCACGAGGGATTCTGGCCACGATTGATATGCCGGATTGCAAATGATCAGCAAATAGTGCAGGTTGTGTATGTTTACTTAATGAGACACACATCTGTACACTTTTGTCGGTTTGTTTGCCTTGGTTTGTCATGTACATATAGCCAGTGGAATTAGCTCTTCGCCGAACCATTTAGCTGTTATAATGTAAATCTGTGCTCTTTCATACATTTTGAAATACTAGATAAGCATGTGCGTGAAATCCTTGATTATATACTACGTGTGTGTCTTTGAAGCTTTAACCTTTGAGGTAAGGTTTACATTACACAGATTCTAAAGAAGCTGATTGGAACGGTTGACGACGACCCTGACAAAGAGAGTCTGCTGAACTGGACCCCCTGGAAGAAGGGCGTGGCCTTCTCCCACAGGGGGAGAACCCTACTCGTTGTCAAGGAAGAGGAAAACCAGGCACCGGAGTCTGACGACAGATACGAATGGCTCCCGGTGACAGAACGAATCGAAATCCACGTCTATGCCCAGGACTGGTTCGAGGTCCAGAACGAGCTATTTGGCAAGGGTCTCCCCGCACCCCTCCTTCAGAACACCTTCTCTCTACCGGGAATTGCGACGCAGCTACTCATGAAGATATCGCAGCATATCCTCTCGCTGGCCAAAGTCTTTCGGAGCTTGCTGGGCTCCAAGACGATCTACATCCCTTGCTGGAAGTGCTACGGGGACATGGAGCCCGGGGCTGACTTGGGGAACACTATGGAGAAGAAAGAGACGCAGAATTTCTATTTTCCACTGACTCGAAATGGGAAGAATATCCCGGTGTATGCGTTTAACCACGAGAGGTGTATCATCCTCGCAGCCGAGGGTCACGATCTCCAGTGTCCCATTCACGGACCCATCAAAGTCGTCCATACTGCCCCTGATCTGGTAATTTATCACATATAATGTGTGACATCATTCTATGTGTGACATCATCGTACGGGCACATGACATACACTACTATGTACTGTGCGTCTTTTGGCACTTACACTATGCCCATTGTGTAATGTGCCCAGCTTACCAAAATACACTTTTTCACTGTGCCAACGTATGCAGTTTTAGGCTAATATGTAGTACTTGCAATCTCCACGGATATTCTGCAATCGTGTCTCCACAATATAATTAAGGGTGGGGGATAAAACGGCCCCGATTTTCCCATGGGTGGCCTATGAATCATTAGCATTGTTTGTAAAACTGTTGAACTCCCTGCTATTCCAGATATTCTGGGACCTGGCCAGTCTCAGTGAGTATGAACAGGACATGTGCTCCGAGCTAAAGATCACAAACAACGAGACCATTGGCAGAGGAGGCTACGGGTTCGTCTGCGAGGGTCAACTCCTCATGAAGGCAAGAAAAGAATACTGTACTTTAAGAAATACGATCATTATACGAGACAATTTGCAGCAAATTAACACGTTGTCATAATAGGACAGCATTCTAATTGCAGCAACAAGGTTTCAAAAGTGATGATTGTATGTACCATGAAGATTAGACCATGTGATGCCAAGAGAAAAAAGATGCGGAGCTCTGGACAGCTGTTTCGGGGTTGTTGGCCCTCATCAGCAGAGCATACCGCAACTTCTCTCTCTGGCACCACGAGTTTATAAAGGCTGCCATGAGCGCAGCACTTGTGGTTCTGAACTAATGAGATTCATCCCCACAAGTCTTTGCCACTGGTATGTGCTGCTGACCATGCCCATGCCATGCACGGGGCAACTTTGTTCGTTGGTCATGCTCTGTTAGCGCTGGCATGTCGAAATGCTTTTGTGGAGTGAGCGCATTCAAATATGTATAGTATTTGATAATTCAGAATATGTAGCTTCGCCCACTGATTATACCCCAATCTAATGTTGCAGGGTGGAGGGAGCAAGCCGGTGGCTATGAAGGGGTTTCTGTCGTCAGAATCATCAGATGACACACAGGACTGCTCCGTGGAGGAGCTACTGGAGATCTCCAAAGAGCAGAAGAACCTCTACCACGCATACAGGTGGGTGACAGCATTTATCACTAGTGTATTTAGTTCTTTATTGGGGGAGTGAACACCGTATGGGCATGAGCATGAACTGTAATTGTTGTCATGCTTCATGTTGTATTGATGCGTAATGACAAATTTGTCAGAGAATTTGGTATGCCTCTACCCAGGAGAGGAATTGGATGACAAGGCACGTACGTACCTTTAGTCAAGTAAACTGCGTTACTTTTCAGCCACATATGGGACAATCTCTTTATCTTTAGGTTTTAAAACAAGCTCTTCCACAAAGAATAGTAGACTACCCCTTCCACTTCCACGTATATACTACATAAGCCCCCATGTACTACGTCTTACAACCCCTTCCACTTTCACTGATACATCACCATACACAGGGAGATCAGGCAGGAAGTGTCGTTCCTGGCACTACTGAACCACGATAACCTCACGCGACTGGTCGGCGTTCGGACCTCCCCCTACATGTGTCTGATGCTGGAGCTCGCTCCCCAGGGCTCTCTGTCTAAGGCCCTCAAGGTCTACAAGAAGTATGACGTGGTTCTGGATCCTGTGACCTTGCAGCTATCCATTTCCCAGGTATTAGCAGACATAGCTAATGACAGGTGTAGGAGTTATATACTCAGGCGTTTAAATAGAGGGGAGGGGGTGCAAGCAATCTAGAGCATTAACAACACCTTTTCAACTATATTGGTAGGAATCAACCAACACTACTCCACAACTCTGCATGACCTTTACACCATTAAACTTAATTTCTTGCCTACATGAAACAATCCTGTGTGACACAGATGTTGGATTTTTGCACTGTTACTGTTTAAGGTCACGTATATTCTCTGTTCTCGCAATAGATTGCTAATGGTATGGAGTACCTACACATGAAGCAGATAATCCACAAGGACATGAAGTCGGCCAATGTCCTGGTCTGGAAGTTTCCGTCGGGCAAGCTCTCCAGAGAGAAGAGACTGGAGAAGGCAGACAACGTGAGACTCAAACTCACCGACTATGGCATCAGTCAGGTCTTCACCAAGCCAACGATGAAGCTCACGGGGAATCCGGAGGGTACGCCTGGATTCATGGCCCCCGAGCTGTTTGGTCCAGAGGGCGACGAGATCTCCACGGAAAAAGTTAGCTGAAACGTAATATATGGGATCCTTCTCTTTCAAGATGTGGGGGTAACCCTTTTCTAGAGCAGAGACGGAATCTATTGTTGAGTTTGAAGAAGGCTCCATATTGGTGGGCTTATTAATCCTTCTAGGAAGAAAAATGTGGCAAATGTTTTAGTTTGCGGGGAAGTAGAGCAGGCTTCAGCCTCAAAATCTTGGCCTTTAGGCTAAAGCATTTGCCTGAGTAGAATCGTGACCACCCTGTGTAGTATTTGATATCTTTTCACTTTTGTACTCTTACTGTTTACAGGTGGATGTCTTTGCACTCGGGATGGTAATCTACGAGCTACTGTGTCTGCAAGCTCCGTTTGCCACTATCGACGTCCCGAAACGGAACACACTTGTGATGAATGGCAAGCGACCCAAAAAATCTTCGAAAGCAATGTGGGCGCCGCTCATGGCCCAAGACATCATGACAAGCTGCTGGTCGCATGACCCGGAAAAGAGACCCAGCATGAAAGAGGTTACGGAGTGGGTAGCCACGGAAGAGTTCAGACGACTTCGAGCCGAAATCTCCATCGATCGAGTCGAGAGCGTCTCGTGTGCTTGCGTCTGCCGGATCACCATGGAAGACAAACAGGAAGACGATGAGGTGAAACCCATCACGAATGGTATCGGGCACGTGGATGTGGAGAGCTCTATCCGCAGTACTCTCCGGCACGAAGCTGGGGGATTCGGGAGATACTCTGACGTGGACCCCACCGAGTACACGAGACTCCAAAACGAAACTCCGTCATTCAACACGGGGAGAAATATACTCCCGCCAGTTCGGCAGGGGCGAGGTACACTCGTGGCTGACGGGTCTGGAGAGAACTTTGACGTTATTGACGGGAAGCAGAGAGAGAGGAGCAGCTATCAGAGGCAGTTCAGTAACGAGGCGTACACGCAGGTGTGGGTGTGTGATAAGAAGGACAGAGGCGGGCTTCTGGAGATATTCTCCTACTGCGATACACAGCCTTCCTACCTGGTGAGGAACTGGTATACAACAAGCTACATAATATGCAAAAGGTGCTGCCTTAAACCAAACAAGAGTGTCAATTTCTGTGCTAACACCTAGTAACTACCCCAAAGTGTATGTGTATAAATATGAACTCTGCCATGAACATTTAAAGGTACAGCCTGTGGTGTGTTTCTGTATCTTGAATGTCAGTTAAAACACTTTTTACTTCTCTTTAGGCATTTGTGTGCAAATACAGTGACCAGATCACCGCCATCTGTCCTGTGCGCGACATGATGTGGATCGGAACGACCAACGGGATCCTCAAACTCAAAAACACGTCCACACTCAACACAAAGTTCAAAGGGGAACTAAAGTCTGAGGCAGAGCAGCCACTATCTCCACGAAACACACACGTTCTGTCCATCGCCCACGTGGAACAGACATCGAGCGTGATAGTCTCAACAAATGTCGGCGAAATCTGGGTTTTTAGTGACAAACTGACAGACAGTGGGCTGGTGATTGAGGAGCATGCGATACTCAAGGATAGAGCCAACTGCTACCAGATGGCAGTGGTTGAGGTAGAGGGTTCGGTGGAGGTGTGGGGGACTATGGATAACAGCCAGCTTATCATGCTCAAACAACAGGAAAGAGAGTGGATGATAGACAAGCCGTATAAAGTAGACGTGAAGCCAGAGTGGCAGTTTTTCTGCATCACTCACACAGAGTTTCAGGACAATGGAGGGAGTTCTCACAACCACCTGTGGATGTCCTATAGGTCAAAGGGAACCGTCGTGTCCTGGGACCTTCAGAAGAGGCAGTACAGAAACACAGTTGACACTAAGTCCTTTGGAGAGTGTAAGCAGTAGCTACTTACAGAGGAGCACCACATGCTAGCAAAAACTCTACAGAGATAGATGACATACAAGCCTGTAGGATAGTGAAATATTAACACATTATTGGCACAAACATGAGTACGAAATTTAAGCTGTTTTGACAGACGATGGGTGGGCTTACTTTGCCAACCATTTTCTAATTTTTTCAGTAAGCCAACAAGACTCTGCTGCTTTGAAAATGACTGTTCTGCTTTCTCCTTTTGCAGTTGAATCTGGTGCAGGAGCCACGCACCCACAAGTGACCGCCCTTGCAGCGAGTGGCCAGAGGGTTCTAGTAGGAACAGAGGTGGGCACAGTGGGAGTCATTGACTCGCACACCTGCCAGGTCCTCCACTGTCTCAAGTGGCACACCAGCAAAGTCAGATCCCTCCTCCTCATGCCGCCAGAAATGGAGCCCTGCATCTGCTCCGAGCTACCGCTCCCCGAAATGCGCAGAGACGACTCAGTCAAGGGCACGAAACTACTGGCGACACGACCTGCTGTTCACCGACCAAGTATTGGTGAGAATGATTTGACGTCTCTCTCCGATGTCAACCCGAGTGTGACGGAATCAAAGGTGGACGGGTGTATGGTGGCCAGTATTGGCAACAGTAGGGGCGAGGGAGTGACTGAGACTGATCCCGACAAGAAACACGTCACTTTGCTACTGTGGAGATGTTGACCATAGAACACTATTATGGAGGCATAGCCTTATAATAATATAGGTTATAGCTATGTTATATCGCAATAATTTTTTAATTATTCCATGAGATTTGAGATGTGTATAATTATTATAAGCATTCATACGTAAATCAAACTTTGCACAACATAAGCAAAAGTTTTTGGCTAAGAGACATGACGGTAAAATCATAACGCTGAGTCAAAATGTTTGCTCTTGCTTCTGAAAGTTGCGACAATGGGAGGGAGAGTCGTGCCACATATTGTTTAATGGACAAAACTCATTCACATGCACGAAGACTAAGTCTTTCCTTTGATGGACCATAGATGGGGGGGCTGTGCACATTAATACAATAGTCAGACTCCACAAACAGAGCATGTCCTGGCCTCATACCCTTCAATCTGGGTACATCATTGACATGAATGGACAATACGGAGCCAATTTGTGCAGGCACAGCCCCCTGGACCTATAAAAGCAGGACTGTATAGTTGGGTCTAAGCATCAAGTCTGCACATTCAAAAGCTGAGAAGGAGTGCACAGACCAAGCAAGCTAGCAGCAATGGAGAGAGTTCTTGTACTGGGTCTGATTCTTTTTGGGGTTGTGCAGGCATTAGTGCCTCCTCCAACACTAAGCCATGCCGAAGAGTGGCAGATGTGGAAGACACAGCACGGGAAGAGCTATGGCTCAGTGAGAGAGGAGCTGGAGAGACATCTGGTGTGGCTGGCCAACAGAGAGTACATCAATGCCCACAACCAGAACTCCCACATCTTTGGATTCACCCTCGCCATGAACCATCTGGGAGACATCGTGAGTTCTTGTATAGTCCTGATGCACTCTTCTCTAAGTGCAGAGGTATACCCAGCTATCTGCATGCATTTACAAGTGTTTCTCCATAGACTAATGCAGAGTACAACGAGATGTACATGACGTACAGACCTGGTGGAAGAAACACCACCAAAATGCACGATGCTTCCCAATACTCTGGAAATCTCCCAGAAAGTGTTGACTGGAGGACCAACAATGCAGTTACCAGCATCAAAGATCAGGTTATACACGCTATTCTATATATCTATGTACATAGTCTTTTATAATATATACAGGGTTACTGTGGAGCTAGTTATGCTTTCAGTGCAGTGGGTGCTCTTGAGGGAGCCAATGCTCTGGCTACTGGTACCCTAATCTCTCTCAGTGAACAGAACATCATTGACTGCTCGAGTCAGTACACACAAGCACATGTACACCATACACAAACGACTACTCCTTTACTTCCCCTACAGTTCCCTATGGTAATCATGGATGCAAGGGTGGAAACATGTACGATGCATTTCTCTACATGGTGGCCAATGATGGTATTGATACCACCGATTCTTACCCCTACAAAGCCAAGGTAACTATCACCATGTATAGCAATTAACTTAGCAATGCTTCTAAACCAGCAAATGAGCTGTTCCTACACTGAGAGTGGTCGTGGGGCCACCACTTCAGGCAGTGTAGCTATCGAGAGTGGCAATGAGAATGACTTGCAGTCTGCTGTGGCCTACATTGGACCTGTCGCAGTTGCTGTGGACGCCCAGTCTAATGCTTTCAGAGTAAGCTATTAGTCTGAGTCTGTGGATAAGCATTGCTTCAAGAAAGTCTATTAATACCAGGGAGAGAGTTAGATCTGAGTATATTTCTTGTATAGGTTCCAAGTACGTACTTCCATGGTTCTGCATTGAAATAGTGTCTCTATTGTCACAGTACTACAAGAGTGGTGTGTACAGCTCCACACAGTGTTCTAGCAGCACTCTCACTCATGCTATGGTGGTCACTGGATATGGCACTTACAGTGGAACACCATACTACCTTGTCAAGAACAGGTAAGACTCTTTACATCGTCACTGTTGCATCGTTTTTCCTTCAGTTACGGAGCAAACTGGGGAATGAATGGCTACATTCTGATGGCCAGGAACAAGTACAACCAGTGTGGCATTGCTTCTGATGCCTCCTACCCCACCCTTTGAACTGAGACTGACAAAATTGATGGCCAATGTCCTGTGTGATTAGCAATGTTCAATATTGACGTCAATCTTGACACATTCTTGTATTCTATTTGTAGAAATATTTATTAATAAATCAATCCTTCTGACTCAAAAGAAACGATGAAGATATAAAACGCTTACAGTGTGCTCTAGAAATTGCCAGACCGAGCCCTCAAAGCGGAGATGCTCCATGGCTGCATAAAGTTCAGAGTTTAACCAGGGGTCGTGGTCCGTAAAAAACGTGGACATAGATGACAAAAGTTTCCACTAACCCACCACTTGACTTGTACATAGCTAGCTGCCTTCTCCAAACAGCAGAGGTTTTGCCAACATACAAGTTGATTACCCAGTATTTGCTATGACATTGGTCTAGCTGATATTTGCCCCTTTCAAACATTGTCTGCACTATAATGTATTACGATCACCTATGTTATCCTTACACATTGCATGTGCACATAAGAATGAGTTGGTGAAGTTTATTGTGCTGAGTTATAAAGTGATGCTTTGGGACTACACAACACATGCAATATAGCAGCTATGCAACAAAGGAGCAAAGTCAAACAATACAGAATGCCAATGGTGTCCTATAAAGATGTATATACTGGTGCTATGTGATGGTGTACTTTTGTTTTTAACCTACCCTTCTTTGCCAACACATGGGGTAATGGAACACCAAAGTGACTCACAAATTACTATGTCCTTCATAAGCACTACCGGTGTTAGTGCTTGCAGACAAGAAGACGCGCAGTGCAGAACTGTGCAGGCACAAATTGCTTAAACCAAGTCCAGTGCTCCGTCCATTTCTGACTTGTATATAGTGAAAGAGGGACTTGTTTCCAAACAGCTTTCCTTAGACCATTGTATAAAGCCTTCTGAAGGGATCTGGCTATAAAAGCAGCTCACTCTCCACACTTGACATCCAACCAGCACCTGAGAAACCAAGAAAATCTTCCAAGTCTCAACCTCGCCTCAGCAAAATGAAGTCAGCTCTTGGGTTCACCCTCGCTCTACTGGCAGTGCTTGCTGTAAAGACAGCAGCTGCTGCAGTCCAGTTCAGCTATGCTGAAGAGTGGCAGATGTGGAAAACACAGCACGGGAAGAGCTATGGCTCAGTGAGAGAGGAGCTGGAGAGACATCTGGTGTGGCTGGCCAACAGAGAGTACATCAATGCCCACAACCAGAACTCCCACATCTTTGGATTCACCCTCGCCATAAACCATCTGGGAGACATCGTGAGTTCTTAGTCCTGATGCACACTCCTCTAAGTAAGGTAACCAGCTATCTGCATGCTTTTACAAGTGTTTCCCCATAGACTGATGCAGAGTACAACGAGATGTACATGACGTACAGACCTGGTGGAACGAAATCTACCACAATCCACGATGCTTCCCAATACTCTGGAAATCTCCCAGAAAGTGTGGACTGGAGGACCAATAATGCAGTTACCAGCATCAAAGATCAGGTTCTACTTGCATACTGTAGGCTCCAACTTCACACTTTATTCTCTGCTGCCTCATCCTCTAAACTGCTTGCATTACAGTGTACTGATACTCCTATGACTGCTATGTGTATATATATACTTTCCATTTGCCCCTTTAGGGTCAATGTGGAGCTAGCTATGCTTTCAGTGCAGTGGGTGCTCTTGAGGGAGCCAATGCTCTGGCTACTGGTACCCTCACCTCTCTCAGTGAACAGAACATCATTGACTGCTCGAGTCAGTACACACAAGCATATGTACACCATACACAAACGACTACTCCTTTACTTCCCCTACAGTTCCCTATGGTAATCATGGATGCAAGGGTGGAAACATGTACGATGCATTTCTCTACATGGTGGCCAATGATGGTATTGATACCACCGATTCTTACCCCTACAAAGCCAAGGTAACTATCATCATGTATAGCAATTAATCTAGCAATGCTTCTAAACCAGCAAATGAGCTGTTCCTACATTGAGAGTGGTCGTGGGGCCACCACTTCAGGCAGTGTAGCTATCGAGAGTGGCAATGAGAATGACTTGCAGTCTGCTGTGGCCTACATTGGACCTGTCGCAGTTGCTGTGGACGCCCAGTCTAATGCTTTCAGAGTAAGCTATTAGTCTGAGTCTGTGGATAAGCATTGCTTCAAGAAAGTCTATTAATACCAGGGAGAGAGTTAGATCTGAGTATATTTCTTGTATAGGTTCCAAGTACGTACTTCCATGGTTCTGCATTGAAATAGTGTCTCTATTGTCACAGTACTACTCCGGTGGTGTGTACAGCTCCACACAGTGTTCTAGCAGCACTCTCACTCATGCTATGGTGGTCACTGGATATGGCACTTACAGTGGAACACCATACTACCTTGTCAAGAACAGGTTTGTAAGCGTAAAGCTACAGTCGTGTATCAGCCCTCTTTGATTACTAACTTCACAACTGTGTGTGATTATTTTCATCTGTTTATACTTTCTAGTTTTGGAAAGAATTGGGGAATGGATGGCTACATTCTGATGGCCAGGAACAAGTACAACCAGTGTGGCATTGCTTCTGATGCCTCCTACCCCACCCTTTGAACTGAGACTGACAAAATTGATGGCCAATGTCCTGTGTGATTAGCAATGTTCAATATTGACGTCAATCTTGACACATTCTTGTATTCTATTTGTAGAAATATTTATTAATAAATCAATCCTTCTGACTCAAAAGAAACGATGAAGATATAAAACGCTTACAGTGTGCTCTAGAAATTGCCAGACCGAGCCCTCAAAGCGGAGATGCTCCATGGCTGCATAAAGTTCAGAGTTTAACCAGGGGTCGTGGTCCGTAAAAAACGTGGACATAGATGACAAAAGTTTCCACTAACCCACCACTTGACTTGTACATAGCTAGCTGCCTTCTCCAAACAGTAGAGGTTTTGCCAACATACAAGTTGATTACCCAGTATTTGCTATGACATTGGTCTAGCTGATATTTGCCCCTTTCAAACATTGTCTGCACTATAATGTATTACGATCACCTATGTTATCCTTACACATTGCATGTGCACATAAGAATGAGTTGGTGAAGTTTAATGTGCTGAGTTATAAAGTGATGCTTTGGGACTACACAACACATGCAATATAGCAGCTATGCAACAAAGGAGCAAAGTCAAACAATACAGAATGCCAATGGTGTCCTATAAAGATGTATATACTGGTGCTATGTGATGGTGTACTTTTTTTTTAACCTACCCTTCTTTGCCAACACATGGGGTAATGGAACACCAAAGTGACTCACAAATTGCTATGTCCTTTATAAGCACTACCGGTGTTAGTGCTTGCAGACAAGAAGACGCGCAGTGCAGAACTGCGCAGGCACAAATTGCTTAAACCAAGTCCAGTGCTCCGTCCATTTCTGACTTGTATATAGTGAAAGAGGGACTTGTTTCCAAACAGCTTTCCTCAGACCATTGTATAAAGCCTTCTGAAGGGATCTGGCTATAAAAGCAGCTCACTCTCCACACTTGACATCCAACCAGCACCTGAGAAACCAAGAAAATCTTCCAAGTCTCAACCTCGCCTCAGCAAAATGAAGTCAACTCTTGGGTTCACCCTCGCTCTACTGGCAGTGCTTGCTGTAAAGACAGCAGCTGCTGCGGTCCAGTTCAGCTATGCTGAAGAGTGGCAGATGTGGAAGACACAGCACGGGAAGAGCTATGGCTCAGTGAGAGAGGAGCTGGAGAGACATCTGGTGTGGCTGGCCAACAGAGAGTACATCAATGCCCACAACCAGAACTCCCACATCTTTGGATTCACCCTCGCCATAAACCATCTGGGAGACATCGTGAGTTCTTAGTCCTGATGCACACTCCTCTAAGTAAGGTAGCCAGCTATCTGCATGCTTTTACAAGTGTTTCCCCATAGACTGATGCAGAGTACAACGAGATGTACATGACGTACAGACCTGGTGGAACGAAATCTACCACAATGCACGATGCTTCCCAATACTCTGGAAATCGTCCCAGAAAGTGTGGACTGGAGGACCAATAATGCAGTTACCAGCATCAAAGATCAGGTTCTACTTGCATTCTGTAGGCTCCAACTTCACACTTTATTCTCTGCTGCCTCATCCTCTATTACTGATACTCCTATGACTGCTATGTGCACTTTCCATTTGCCCCCTTTAGGGTCAATGTGGAGCTAGCTATGCTTTCAGTGCAGTGGGTGCTCTTGAGGGAGCCAATGCTCTGGCTACTGGTACCCTCATCTCTCTCAGTGAACAGAACATCATCGACTGCTCGAGTCAGTACACACAAGCACATGTACACCATACACAAACGACTACTCCTTTACTTCCCCTACAGTTCCCTATGGTAATCATGGATGCAAGGGTGGAAACATGTACGATGCATTTCTCTACATGGTGGCCAATGATGGCATTGATACCACCAATTCTTATCCCTTCAAAGCCAAGGTATCTATCACCATGCATACGTAGCTCGAACAATCAACGTTATCATTGACCTCCACACCAGCAAATGAGCTGTTCCTACACTGAGAGTGGTCGTGGGGCCACCACTTCAGGCAGTGTAGCTATCGAGAGTGGCAATGAGAATGACTTGCAGTCTGCTGTGGCCTACATTGGACCTGTCGCAGTTGCTGTGGACGCCCAGTCTAATGCCTTCAGAGTAAGTCAGTGTACAACTTTAAGCATGAGTTTCCAGGGTTTCTTGGTAGCTAGCAATGTATATAAAACCCCCAAACTATACTAGGAAAGCTCCCTGTGTATAAGTCAATGACAGCAGTACAACACAGAGACGGATGTGTGTTTGTTATAATATATCTTTGCAGTACTATTCCAGTGGTGTCTACAGCAACTCCCGGTGTTCAAGCACTGACATTACTCACGCCATGGTTGTAACCGGATATGGCACTTACAATGGAAAAGACTACTATCTTGTCAAGAACAGGTGAGACGGTATATTATGACCATGAATGTTAGGTACGTACCCTTATCTCCATCTCTCTTGTCTTAGTTTTGGAGCAAACTGGGGAATGGATGGCTACATTCTGATGGCCAGGAATAAGTACAACCAGTGTGGCATTGCTACTGATGCCTCCTACCCCACCCTTTGAGGACACCAAAAGAGACAAAATGAAACTTGTGTGGATTTTTGTGCGATTAGTAATGATAAATTCGAGATATTATATCAGTATGAATTAAAATCATCAATATATCAGAAATCAGCAAAGTTACGCTTTGAGCTACATGGCTGAACTAGTCATGAAAACTAAACAGCTCACAAATTACTTAGATATAGATAAAAATATCAAAAAATCAAAAAATTGAGTAGAGAAAGAAAATAGGGCCTCAACAATAAGGGCTTACTTAAGTAGGACTCACAAATACATATGATTGATGGCAGTGATAGCCAACACAGACACAGGCGGCACAAAATGCAAAAATATGAACGGTAATCAAGAAACTATACCAGAGGTAAGTATAGGTTGGAACACAGTAGCACATAACTCAGGGCATCCATCATGCTTTAGTTACTTCTTTGAGCAATAGTTTTAGGGTTATGAGACTGACCTGATATGAAGCTGACTCTTCAAGTCATCAGATTTCTGGCATATACACAGCTTTGGAAGAGCACCAGCACCGATTTCATGCGGTCTGCACACGAACTGCGAATGACAGCAGCTTGCCTTGTGGTGCTTTTAGCTTGCATGGCAACCTTGACAGCCGTTTTTATTCTGTGCTTGTATTGTCACCATTACAGGTTGCTGTTAGTCACCTTGTAAGTGTGTTTGGGTCATGTCTCAGTTGATCATTATAACGATTATTGTCTCTGGTAAGACCATGGAAGGTCATGCCCATAGACAGGTACATTAAACTGAGCACTGGAATCTTGCACTATCCCTGTGCAAACAGAGCCGATATTATCCTGATCATAATAATTGTTATTGATGAACAAAGCAAGCCCATCTAGATGTCTGAATTGCGCGATTTTCCTGTATTCAACATGGACCTTACGGTAATATTATGCATTGTGCTCGCATTTGAGGCTTTAGCTCTCAACAATGTAGTTAGTAGGCACAGTGAACTATCAGGTGGACTAGCCTATTATACTGCTGTGAATACAAGACTACAAATGGAAGCTAATTGCTTGCAATAAGAAGAGAGTGATAAAACTTGTATGTGGAAGAGAGCAAACACAGGTCAGGGGAGAGGAGACTGTACAGACACTAATTGAGCTCTACCAGCAGAAAAGTCTCTAATGAAGCTCAGTTCTCTTCCTCCATTTGTGTTCAGTTTATAGTGAAAGAAGGAATTTGTTTCCAAACAGCACGTTTCAGACCATCGTATAAAGCCTTCTGAAGGGATCTGGCTATAAAAGCAGCTCACTCTCCACACTTGACATCCAACCAGCACCTGAGAAACCAAGAAGATCTTCCAAGTCTCAAGCTCGCCTCAGCAAAATGAAGTCAGCTCTTGGGTTCACCCTCGCTCTACTGGCAGTGCTTGCTGTAAAGACAGCAGCTGCTGCGGTCCAGTTCAGCCATGCCGAAGAGTGGCAGATGTGGAAGACACAGCACGGGAAGAGCTATGGCTCAGTGAGAGAGGAGCTGGAGAGACATCTGGTGTGGCTGGCCAACAGAGAGTACATCAATGCCCACAACCAGAACTCCCACATCTTTGGATTCACCCTCGCCATAAACCATCTGGGAGACATCGTGAGTTCCCACTACACACACAGATGCTGCACTACTTAGTAGCAAGCCCATGCGTGGTATCCAACATACATGCTTTGTTCTCTATCTACAAGACTGATGCTGAGTATGAAGAGATGTATTCCACCTACCGCGGCATCGATCATGGAAACTACACCAAGGTGCATGATCCTTCCCGCTATTCTGACGATCTTCCCGAGACTGTTGACTGGAGGACTAACAATGCAGTCACTGGTGTCAAGGATCAGGTGAAACCACTATGCAAAGCACTATCATGATTCAGTGTACTGTGGACTACTGTGTTTCTAATTACTGTACATTTCCCAGGGTCAATGTGGAGCTAGCTATGCTTTCAGTGCAGTGGGTGCTCTTGAGGGAGCCAATGCTCTGGCTACTGGTACCCTCACCTCTCTCAGTGAACAGAATATCATCGACTGCTCAGGTACCTCAGGTATTAGTATACCCACGGTATGATAATAGGATCACCTACTGCACAGTTCCCTACGGTAACTACGGATGCAGGGGAGGCAACATGTATGATGCATTCCTATACATTGTGGCCAACGAGGGAATTGACACATCTGATAGCTACCCATACAAGGGAAAGGTACAAGCTTAACCTCAATGTGTATAGGCCATAAGCAACTATCATGCCTTCAATCTCGTGCCAGCAATCGAGCTGCGGTTACTCTGCAAGTGGATGTGGAGCCCGAATCTCAGGGAGTGTTGGTATCAAGAGCGGCAGCGAGAAAGACTTGCAGTCTGCAGTGGCTAACATTGGACCCATCGCAGTGGCCGTGGATGCTCGATCCAATGCTTTCAGAGTGGGTTAAAACATAGTGTACAATATTTATAGGTTCCAAGTACGTACTTCCATGGTTCTGCATCGAAATAGTGTCTCTATTGTCACAGTACTACAAGAGTGGTGTGTACAGCTCCACACAGTGTTCTAGCAGCACTCTCACTCATGCTATGGTGGTCACTGGATATGGCACTTACAGTGGAACACCGTACTACCTTGTCAAGAACAGGTACATTTGTATATACACTAAACACATTTAGCCTAATCAGATGTCTACTGTCTTTTTTTCCAGCTTTGGCCAAAACTGGGGAGTCAATGGCTACATTCTGATGGCCAGGAATATGTACAACCAGTGTGGAATTGCAACTGCTGCCTCCTACCCCACTCTATAAACTGAGGCCGACATGAATCAGCACTTTGTGTGAAATAGACATATTATTATTATGAATCAGTGACACTTGTACAGATAGCTAGCTTGAAAATTTTGTAATTGGAATATCACAATTTTCTGTTGGATTTTTGCTAAATAAGTGTATGTATTTGCGCATTCAAAGAAAATTGTTCGTTCGAATGTACCTACAACAAAGGGTGAACTTGTAATTCAGCCTTTTTACTATTAAAACGTATTATCGCACCATAACTTTAGAACATAGCGTTTGAATTGCTCACAGCATCTTAGTATCGCACATTGTCCTCTGCCTAGCAAGTAGAGGCAGAATAGCGCTGCGGACCGACAAACCAACACAGAGTATAAGTCACTAAAGGATGACATGAGAATAAAAATGAATATGCATGAGTTTACCACTGTGTTACAGTCATAAAGTTAGTCTTGGGTTGCTAGTACATCTCCACTGAGACAGGCTGCCATGGCTGCACTGCTCATGTGTGCCTTACTCGTCTGAGAAGTAGATTTAGGGCTCTGAATCGCATACGCTGATCCTGGTCTGGTGTAGGCTGACTGTATGCAGAAGGTTTGTGTGTCATATCCACATGTCTTCTCACATTATACCATGTTTAACATACGTTTTCTCACATTATACATTGTTGTATTCTGACACTACACCGTGTTGTATAACGGGTAAGAAAGCTGTCTGCACAGCAACCAGGTCTCACAAGAACTATGTACTTACAATTTGAAAGTCAAAATGAATGCCACTTTCACTCTAATGTATACTCCTTTCTCCACTGACAAAATTCGTAGGGAAAGAGGAACCGTGCAGGCATGAATCAGACATAGCTACTGTCTTCCATGAGTGGCAGTGGAGGGAGTCATATGGAACATCAGTAGCGCTACCAATTTTGGGGTTTGTCCTTGTTTATGATGAAAGAGGAAATTTGTTTCCAAACAGCTTGTTTCAGCTACGTCCTTCATAAGCACTACTGGCGTTAGTGCATGCAGTAGAAGGGATAGCTATGTATTAAGACAAGAAGACACACAGCGTAAAATTGCCGGGCACAAATTGCTTAAATCAAGTCCTGTGCTTCATCCTTATATAGAGTGAAAGAGGGACTTGTTTCCAAACAGCTTTCCTCAGACCATTGTAAAAAGCCTTCTGAAGGGATCTGGCTATAAAAGCAGCTCACTCTCCACACTTGACATCCAACCAGCACCTGAGAAACCAAGAAGATCTTCCAAGTCTCAACCTCGCCTCAGCAAAATGAAATCAGCTCTTGGGTTCACCCTCGCTCTACTGGCAGTGCTTGCTGTAAAGACAGCAGCTGCTGCAGTCCAGTTCAGCCATGCCGAAGAGTGGCAGATGTGGAAGACACAGCACGGGAAGAGCTATGGCTCAGTGAGAGAGGAGCTGGAGAGACATCTGGTGTGGCTGGCCAACAGAGAGTACATCAATGCCCACAACCAGAACTCCCACATCTTTGGATTCACCCTCGCCATAAACCATCTGGGAGACATCGTGAGTTTCCGGGGACAGTCTTAACATGAATGCTTGTGCTTACACACTATATGCACAATGGCTTGTTTATTTTGTTGTTTAAATCTACATGTTCTATCAGACTGATGCTGAGTATGAAGAGATGTATTCCACCTACCGCGGCATCGATCATGGAAACTACACCAAGGTCTACGACCCTTCCCACTACTCCAGTAACCTTCCTGAGTCCATTGACTGGAGGACTATCAATGCAGTCACTTCTGTCAAGGATCAGGTGAAATGCTAAGTGTTTGTAAAAGCCTGGCATGCATCTAATGTAAGAATTTCATCTATGCTATATGTATAGTCTTAAAGGTAACTTTATATACACTTTGCAGGGTTACTGTGGAGCTAGTTATGCTTTCAGTGCAGTGGGTGCTCTTGAGGGAGCCAATGCTCTGGCTACTAGTACCCTCACCTCTCTCAGTGAACAGAATATCATCGACTGCTCGAGTCAGTATTACATACCTAGATAGCAATAGTCAATAACAGCTTTACTCCCCCATTTAGTTCCCTATGGTAATCATGGATGCAAGGGTGGAAACATGTATGATGCATTCCTATACATTGTGGCCAACGAGGGAATTGACACATCTGCTAGCTACCCATACAGTGCAAAGGTATTTCACATACATACAGTGCAACCTCCTTTAAGAACCCTTTGGGCGCCATACATAGGTGTCTCCTTAAATTGATGTATATAACCTATACTTAGCGCCTAGTATTATAGCCATATATAAATTCTTATGCACTTATGGAGGCTCTGTGCATATATATAATATGTAAATGGCGCCCAAAGGGTTTTAAAGGTCACTCCAAATAAAGGACACCTCTCTATGGCTTAGATCCGGTGAAAGCTATGTATAAGGACATTTTTACAATCCCAGTGTGTCCTTTATACAAAGGTTCCACTGTACACTGTGTTTCTCTCCAGCAACTGGGATGTAGTTACTCTGTGAGCGGACGTGGAGCTAGAATTTCCAGCAGTATATCTATCGAGAGTGGCAGTGAGAGTGCCCTACAGTCTGCTGTTGCTAACATTGGACCAATTGCAGTCGCTGTGGACGCCCGATCCAGCGCTTTCAGAGTAAGAAATAGTCACTATACCTAACCTATATACCACCATGTAAGGACTAATAGCACAAAAAGAGATATTGTTAACTACATGTAGCAATTTATACCGATACTCACATGTTTCTTTCATTGACACAGTACTACTCGAGTGGTGTGTACAGCTCCACACAGTGTTCTAGCAGCACTCTCACTCATGCTATGGTGGTCACTGGATATGGCACTTACAGTGGAACACCATACTACCTTGTCAAGAACAGGTTTGTAAGCGTAAAGCTACAGTTGTGTATCAGCCCTCTTTGATTACTAACTTCACAACTGTGTGTGATTATTTTCATCTGTTTATACTTTCTAGTTTTGGAAAGAATTGGGGAATGGATGGCTACATTCTGATGGCCAGGAACAAGTACAACCAGTGTGGAATTGCATCTGATGCCTCCTACCCCACCCTTTGAACTGAATGAGATGAATCGTGCAATTGTTTTGTATAATGGACAGGCAAATTATGATTCCATGTAAAAATAGGCAGTTTCTTGAGTTTTGTAGTAATAAATTTGTAACATGAATGCCACTTACCACTCGTGTAATTATAGGTTCCGGGTGTGTCCGCCCACCCAATGATGATGATATGACGACCTGTACATGCATCTTACAAATTAAGAGTATAGGAGGTAATCGGTCTTACCTTTTTGATAATCCCTTTGGCAATGAGATCATCTTTTGGAGAGCGTGAATACCCTAGAGCTATAGGCAAAATACGTACACACAAACACTAGACAATACAAACCTCACCAGCAAGGTGAGGCCATATCTTTACAGACGCGGAAGCAAAATCTTTAGGAGTCCTATATATACATACCAAATAATGTCCTTACATTTATGTTCTGTAAGATACCATACCTTCCTTTTGAGTCTTTCTGGTCAGGATTGGCACCTCTTTCAAGCAATACCATCACAACCTATGCACACGTTCTAATCATACACAATCCCAGTAGAGTGTATTATTATTGACTTTGCCGTGCTCTTGAAATGTTGCAGCATGTAGTGGTGTCCACAGAGTGCCTGGGTTAGCATGGTTCACATTAACTCCTCGGTCCAGCAGTGAACCTACTACATCCGGGAACCCCCAGAAGCTGGCTGAAGAGTAAATAAAACACAACTCACTATCCTCAGCGAGACTATGTACGTAGTCACACGGGAAGTTTTTTTAAAGATTTTAAGCAGGGATGTGAGTAAGCAAGCCCTTCACATGCAATTTATAAAACACTGATACACTTTGTTTGGCTGAGTAGGAAGCTTTTTTGAACGTCATGCATGTGTTACACCCTTCTAGAAAGGTAGCTACACCCCTTATACCTTATATTTATGCTGCTCACTTACCAATGTAGAGCTGGATTGCATCAGTATCTCCTGAGGAGAGCTCTTCTTCCAGCCCTACAGTCTCACTTAGAAACTTCTCAACCAACTAATGTACAAGTTGTATAGCATAGCTAGCTACATACGTAGGATGGATTGCTGACTCACTTTCACATCACCATTTAGGGCTATGGCTGACACACTGGGCGTGCGACCTCTCATGAAGGTGAGTTTCTGACATAGATTTCTCGCGGCAGCTTCGGGCCCTTCCACGTCGGGAGATAACGACGACATGATAGCTAGCTGGCGGTCTTCACGATTCTGGGGTGGAGTTTGGGGTCCACACGTGGGAAAAGTTTGGCGGTTGCTATAGTATTGTGTCCCCATTCCGTTCTCAAAGGTCAAAGGCCAGATCTGTGTGAGCCGTGTTTAGAGATGGAGGATAGCCAAGTCAACCTATTTGTGCACAGAGAAAACCAGCTGTGGGCTCAGAAGAAACGCCAGCTCCCTGTGACTTTAGTGACTGGATTTCTAGGAGCAGGTCAGTATATGTACAATACCTTGCAAGTGTCAGTTTAGAACTTCAAGCAGGGAGAAGGCTCTGAGAGTAAGTGTGCAGTTTGTAGTTTCGTGTATAGTCAAAAAATGGTGGCCTCACATGCACACACAATGCAGGTAAAACAACACTACTGAACAATGTCCTTAGCAACAAGCACAACCTCAGGATTGCGGCAGCAGTGAACGATTTTGCCGAGAGAAACATAGACGCTCAAATCATCAAAAAGAATCGAGACCACGGAGATGTCGTGGAGCTCACAAACGGCTGTCTCTGTTGCTCGATCTCCAGCGAGCTGAAAACAGCCGTGTGGAACCTCCTCCAGCAAGCCGACATCGGTAAGATCGATTACCTCATGATCGAAACAAGTGGAGTGACGGACCCGCTAGCTACCATAGCCACACTGGAACAAGAGTACGGTAAGATGTACCGAATTCGGCTGGATGCAGTGATAACTGTGGTCGATACGGATGCGCTTGTGGCAGGGATGGACAGTGGGTGCGAGGGTGAGAGTAAGCTTCGGTCAGCTGCTGCAGATAGCCAGCTGCAATGTGCAGACGTGGTACTGCTTAACAAGAAGGATCTTGTGAGCGAACAGCAACTGAGCCGTGCCCAAGACTTCATCTCTAAGCTAGTGCCTGGAGCCCAGGTTTACTCGTGCAAGAAGTGTGCCGTGCCCCTCCACTACCTGATGGAGGTACAAGAGGCTACATCTAGTAGGCAGGTGGTTTCGCATGAGGTCGTGGAGGCAGCTTACACCATAAGTCAAATCGGAGGAAGCATGAATCAGGAAAGACAGCGCCGACTAAAAGAAAAGGGCATTGCTGCCTCTTTCACTCACATCGAACAAGACGAATTTTCTTCCTTTGTTTTTGAGAGTCAGAGGCCCTTCCGACTGGGCGATTTCGAGGCGTTTCTTGGAAAGAAATTTCCCCGTGGGGTCACCAGAATCAAGGGAACCGTTTGGTTTCAAGAGAATCGATCGTGTCTCTATAGCTTTCACATGAGCGGGAGGCAAAGGTATGAGCTTACACCATGCGCCAGTGCTGGTGAAAGCCTTGTAGGTGCTTTTTCCATACAGTTGGTCGTCATTGGAAGGTCTATTGAGCCAAGTGAAATCCAGACGACTTTAGAAAATGCTGTTGTCCCTCAGCCTTATTCTGGGGAGCCATACCTGTCACCTGTACCCGTGGAGGCTGTCATCGAATCAGCCCGCTCTCTTGTTGAAGCTGACAGCCGTTTTGATCTTGTAGCATGTGAAACCCTCTACATTGATTTTAGGCTCACCGGCTGCATAGAATATGGGATCACAGTACAGGAAGCAGAGTCTGTGCACGGTATCAATATGGGGAAGATGAACTTGGACTTAGCTACCCGTGTGAATGGATCAAGGCTGCCTGTATGCGTAATACCCGTCTTGCTACCGACTGGATTGCAAGTATGCCGCTATGCCGCCCATGTAGACGCACCTTTCGATACTCTATGGAATGTTGTGACAGAAATCGCCGGAAAGTTGATAGTTGATTACTACCGTGCTGTGGCATACTGTAAGTGTGGCATGTAATAACGTGCACTGACTTGTAGATATTGCGTGACTTTTTTTGCTGACCTACGTGTATTATGACTTTTGTAATTCTCGCACATAAAACTAGTTTTACAAAAAAAAGAACATCTCAACTGTGATAAAAATTGTCTGAAAAATCATTATGTTGTACTTCTATATTGCTACAAGACTTAGTGTTGAAATCAGACATCAAGAACATAGTAACTGTCACCAACAGTTGCTGGTTTTGCAGAGTGGGGCCTGGGATAGCTTGGAAGTGGTTGCGATGCTCCCATTCCTCCGTAAGAGCTCCTCTGTAGCATGGTAGCAGAAGCTGTAGACGATAGATGGTTCGACTGTCTGTTTTGGATCGGAGGAGTTGGTGCAGCAAAAGGCTGGGCAGCAGTAGCTCGAACAGGCTGTTGGTGACTTTGTTTTGAGCCAAGGACTGGAGTGGTCATTGCCAGAGAGTGGTGCGGTCTTTGATGTGGGTGAATGAGAGGATAGGTAGGTAGGGCCGCGTGCGTATCTTTCAAAAACGGAGCAGATTTGTTGGAATTCCAATAGTCGGAAGACCTATGCATCCAGCTGGCAACATTCATACGTTTAGTGCCTCTGGAAGGCTGAAGAGAAGTGAGATGCTCTCTGAAGGACTGGTTAAAAAACTGAGTCTCGGGAGACGGAGTACCCTCGTTCTTGTGTGGATGGTGTTGCGTGAAATATGTCGGAGAGTTTGGGATGGAGTCCCCACCACCTGTTGTCGGTCGATTGACGTTTATTGGTACTGAGGGTGGGCGGGATTGTGGCCTGAACAGACCGTTTTGAGGGGTGTTCTGAAAAGAGTGAGTGGACGATGACTGCAACTGTACTTCTCTGCTCCACACACTCTCGGGGTTAACATCACTATGTGTGTGAGAGTGCACTGATGAAGGGGTAGTCTCTCGAGACCTAGGGCCACCAGAAAACTGTTGCGTTGCTGCAGGCGTGTAGTGGCCACGGGGTAGACTGTAACTTGTTGTGGGTGTGTGTCCCCTTCCTGCTTGTAGTGTAGTGCTCCTTGGTCTTGCTCCGGACATCGGGAAGGGCTGGCTGGGTTGCTTGTTTGCATTCTCAAGGCTAATCGTACGACCGAGTGCTTTCCTGGGGACATCATAGTGCTGATGGCCAGGCATTCTTGTGTCTGCTTTGGTAGAGCTGAACGTTGTTGGCGAGAGAGCCCTGTTTCATTCATTGCAGCGCCGTCCATTGCTGTAGTTGTGGTGTTGGGAAAGGTCGTTTTGTTTGGAGGGTTTGTTGCTTGTGTAGGATCGTCTGCGTCAATCGAGCTGTTTCGGACGCGGGACATGAACTTGGCAATGTGGGGAGGGTAGCTCGTAGGATGAGACGTTGGATTGCGCGGTGCATCCAGAGACTTGGCAAGCATCTCCGGGTTTACGTCCCTCTTCTCTGGCTGCGCAACACTTGGTTGATTCTGGTGCTGAAGCTGCTGTTGCTCAAAGTTTTCCCGAGAGGGAAGAACAGTTTTGGATACTGCTGTCGGAGGTGCATTTAGTTCATCATAGTCTATGTCCTGTATAAATGTAAATATATACCACATAAGCGAACCAGTGTCAGTCGAATGTATTACTTACCTCAAGCTGCTCTGATATCTCAAGAAGATGTGTTGGTGGAGGTGGAAGATTATCAATTTTCATCACTTCTTGCAATGCCTGCAAGTATAACCAATAGTGTAATACCAGAATCAGTATGCAACTTCACATTGATGACAAACCGTTTCTAGATTGTATTGCGTTCCAGTCTGGGTAGAAGGTTTTTTGGTGGTAGGGAGCACAGAAGCCACTTTTCCACCTGTATAAACCGCTATTCTAAAAAGTATGCTTCAACCAAGTATTTTTATACCTTTGTCAAGCTTATCCTGATGTGGTGAAGATGATCTGGTGAGGAAATTGTGGGGGGCGATACTCAGATCCTCTTTTTGGAGGGCTGAAGGGTCAATGGGAATTTGCATCTCGTCGTGTACAGGCTGCAACTGTCTCTGCTCCAGAGGATAGGGCTCCACAGAACCACTAACAGCCCCATTCTCTTTGCCAACTCTCCTTGGGATTAGAGAGGGAGATTTTTGCTTAGGTGGAGAGTGTTGACTGGTCTTCAATGAGCGGGCTCTTGTTGGAGTGCGCGGGCTCCCGGCAGCGCTTCCTGAAGCCGAGCTGAGCTGACTTCCAGCCGAAAAAGACTGAGTGTGGCGTGGTCGGCTGACAACCGCACCGGCCATTCGAGGCGAGGTGTTTGACAGAGTCGATTGAGAACCATCGCGCAGCTTGTCTCCGAATCGGGGAGTAGGTGGTGTTGAGGCCGTGTGTGAGCTGTTTTGTCTTTGTTGAGCTGGGGACCCCATGTCCGTTTGGATCCCACTACGGCCATTACCTTTGTTGGACACTGGGCCCATTGCAAGTTTTCGTTCTGGGGAAGGAGGCTCGTAAGGTGGGGGCGGAGGGGAAGAAGGTAGATTTTCAGTGGACTGCCGGTTCCCTACTTCTGTGTTCTCAACATCATCTTCCTTTGACTGTAGTGGAGCAAGCCTATTGTAGATTGGCTCTTCAGTGGCAGTGCTTGGATAGTTCTGTGGCTGACTAGACTGCTGAGCTGCTCTACTCGCAGATTCCGTTTGTGCCCTGTGTAGTAAAATACATTTAAAATTGGCTGCTTATTGCTTGAAGAGGCACTTACTTTTTGTGGGCTTTGGCCCATGAGCGTACCATATCTCTCTCTTCCCTTTTTCTCTCTCTCGCTGCATCCCTGGCTTCAGAATCAGGGTGATACCGATTTGGAGAACTAGGAGAATGTTGCTGCTGATGACGTTTGAACGAATTCTGCCCTCTTTCACGTGCGCTGGTGTCCTCTTTTGGAGACCTTTTGTCTGAATTTCTGCCCGATTCTTCGAGAGTTGTCACGGCAGTGTCCTTCTTTCCTTTCTGCTTTCGTTTCTCGAGGAACTCCTGAAGCTTCTGCTCCTTCAGCTGCTGTCTTTGTAACAGTATCTGTTTCTGGAGCTGCTTCTGTCGCCTCCTTTTCTCTCGTTCTTTTCTGTCGAGTTCTGGAGGAGTCTTGTCGGCTGCCACTCCACTTTCTAATTTAGAAAGTGAAGAGTAAAGATTTATTTTTGAGAAGGGAGACAAAGGCTTTTTTGTAGCGCCCAATAGTGTCCACTCCTTTACCTGCTCTGTGTTTTTGGTTGGGTGACTTGGGTTTGCTGACAGTGCCCTCTTGTCCTTGCCTCGGTGGAAGACCTTTGTCTGTCTCGGTGGTCATCTCTTCATCCCCCAAGAGATCAGCTAGCTCCTCCAGGGAGTCATGGATGCTCTGCTCACCTTCTGCATGGTTGAAAGAGATTCTGAAGATATTGCAACATACTTTTATTACAGTTTGATGCGTGGGTAAGCCTCGATGTGTGGATTTCCACCCCTAATGCGTGATGGATAGCAATACTGATAACAGTACCTCTTTCTTCACTGACACTCTGATCTTGTGGAGCCTCAGTTTGATGATCGCCTCTGTCATCTCTTATTTCGCCTCCCATCACGTCAGACTTGCCTCTTCTATCCTCTTCAGAGATAGAAAGGTTTACGTTAAGAAACCTATGCAAATTTTCACAAACCTCTGGAGTGTTCCATGGCTTGGCCATTAGTGGTAGCTTGAACTTTGTGTCTCCACTCCTCGTGGCTGGACTGCTGTGGGAGTGAAAAAGATCTTACGTGGACCGCATCAGGTGCACTCGGTTGTTCCCTGGAGTACTTTCGATGCTGTCCTCCCATTGGCTCCGGGCACTCGGAAATTTCATCGCACGTGGAGACGATGGGACTGGTTGTCTCTGCAGCACTGTCAGAGTCTGAGAGCAGAGTCCCTCGCGAGGAGTGGTACTCGAGACTCTGAAACTGCAGCATGTGATGCAAGATTGGGTCACCGGTGGGTAGCCGTCGAGGAAGGCTCTGTATCTTTGTGGCAGAGGATCTGGACCTTCTTCTGAGTGTGTCCCCCTCACCTTCCCTCTCTTCACTGCCTTCCCTCGTCGCTGCATCGATTGGAGGTGACCGAGATAGCCGATGTGCGGAAGATGCCCCGTTGTCTTCCCTCTCCTTTCTTCTTGGTTTCTTATCACAGATTTCGCCATTTGTTTCTCGATTGTGCTCTCTTTCCTTTTCATTTCTCCTCCCCCTGTGTCTTTCCCTCCTTTCTCCCCTGTCCATTGCTCCTTCCTCTCCTCTGTCGTTCACGGGCTCCTCTTTGTTCCCCTGTTGCGAGTGGTGTTCATCTTGTTGCGAAGCATGATTTGGGCTGGACTGGGGACTTTGTTGCTGCCTATAGCAGAGAGGTAATATATGTAACAGTCAGGTACAGAGTAAGATCTAGTTGTATGTTCTATAGGTAGTATATAGCTAGAAGTAGCATCTTATTACCCTAAGTGTGAGTAGCTGTGAGACTATGTTTTTACATGTTTTCTGTACCTGTTAGGGTTGTCATGTTTTACCCATGCTCATGTGTAATGGGGTATTTGTTCTGGTTGCTATGCTATATTGTGTGACAACTCTATAAAATGCCCACTATTCAAACTTGTGATGGTTTGTCAGTGGAAAAGAGCTTTTTGAGTGTAGAATTGAGCACCACATCTGTTTTATATGGTGAGTCATGGGATGGGCAGAAGTCGGTATGCATCAGCTGGTAACGTACCCCTTGCAGCTAATCAAGAAAGCTGTCCATAGTTGCATGCTCACTACTATGGCTGTCTTTTATGAGCATGCACGTGTGGACAGCTTTCTCTTAACATTAGCCACATGTCTGACTCCTGATTCTGCAATTAATGTACTCACAAAAGTAAGACTGCTGGTAGATGTCTCTGAGTTAATGAGCACATCAATGACAAGCATTGGCTGTGGCTAAGGACTCAAGTTTCTGTGTATGATTACCTGGTAGCCTGGAACTGCGGGGTAGCATCACTGATGGTAGCATACTCTCTCATGGTGGGAGGACTAGGGGACCTACTCTTGTCATTCTCCCTCTCTGATCCTGGAAGGAGTGCGAGTGAGTCGTGCAAGAATGAACACTTGTGATGCTCATAAGGAACTTACTTTCCATGTATCGAGCCTGGTGATGACTACATAAAGAATGGAGATTAATAATGGAGTCACAAATCATGTATATAGTAGATTACCACAGAATGTATACCAACCCTACATGTAAAGGTGTAACTGATACATTGCTACTGAGTGAATGTTTCCCATGTTCTATGTATAGGTCTGCTCATGACTGGCATGCTTTTAAGAAGTTGGCAGCAGGAGTAAAGCATGCCTCCCATGAGAAAACTACGTACAATTGGTGTATGTTTCCCCTAATAGGAAAGCACTTGGTAAACTGCACGAGCCTCTCAGCCGTCGGGCTTTGTACAAGCAAAACATCTTTGCGAGCGACTGTGAGTGCAAAGGGGATTTCAGCTGCTTATGTGTATTGAGAATTATGTGAAGCATTTCTCGGTGGGTGGCTGAAAAAATTCAGACAAATACATAGGTACTGGGCTTGCTTTTACATCATGCTGACCTACTATAGTAATGCTAGGCTTGTGTGGTAGATAGTGACGACACTCACTTGTAGAAGGAGACCCACTCCACACACTGTTCCCACGTCTCCTTACAACGCTTCACCGACTCCATTTCATAAGTCACCCGTTTCTCACCTCCTGCAGTCTATATAATACGTAAGAGTAGGAAATTAATCACAACCAGAACACTTCTGGAGTAAGCTAACTGCACTAGTGTCGACTGACGCAAAACCGCAGAGTTTACAATAACACATTAAAGAGTGTGACATTGTTTGTTTAGCATACTAAACATACTAGTATTATACTAGTGCTTTATACACAAGCAGTACAGTTACAAGGGCATTAAAGGTGAGCATAAGTTGTAAGGCATAAAACACTTGTACATACTAGCTACCCTACACCCATTGGCATTGTGTGGTAATGGTGATCCCCATTAGTAACATGTAGGTGCATAGAGTGAGCATAATACTAATCCCTCACCGATCTTGACTTGAGTGTGAGCGTAAAACGCTTTTGCTTGTACGAAACCTGCAAAACTTTTCGCCTGAAGAACAGACAAACGAAAGGTTTACATTAAGTATAGAGTAGGTATGCATACTGACCACTTGTAGTGAGCAGTTCTTGTAATGTCCTGGTATAGAGTGATACCAGATGGTGACATGCCCATTCGATATGGTATTCCCTCATACTGCAAGATTCAATGACATATTTGCATATAAGTACATTCCTGTGGAAAACACAAGCATGTGTACGTCCTCCAACATGAGAAAGGACAATATGACATGGTACTGCTGTGTCAACTACTATTATGACGACCAGTCCTCTAGTGGCTATACACACATACATAGTACAGTAGGCACATACTTCATCCCACGATGGTATGTAAAGTATGTGCCTACTGTGTACATGTATTGCTCTCTAAGAAAACATCACAAGGAGTGTGGTCACCAAATATGGTAATAGATGGGGTGGTATGCTCTTTCACTAGGAATATTTGGCCGGTTTTGTTTCTTGTCTGCTACAAAGAGGTGGACTATTCAGTCGAAGTGTAGACTAATGCACAGAATCGCTTATAAGTGCGAGGAAAACCTTTGCAGAACAAATCATGGGGAAAACTGCCACGCGTAGGTGCATATGTACCTGGACAATGTTGAATATTGCTCCATAAGAGTCCAATTCCCGAGTTTTTCTCAGAAACTTTTCCACTGCTTGGTCAGCTGTCTTCCCCCTTGAAACAGTAAGAAATACCACTATGTGAATGTAGTGCCCCATAGTACAGCAGCCTGAAATACTAGGGGAATATACCTCATTGGGAAAAGATTATCACTCAGGAAGGAAAGATTATTATACCTTCTGTAGCCCCAGTTAAAACCAGAGGAAAGCAAGATTATATTACAAAGAGAAAAGCAGAAAGGCTGATAATGAATGTACGTTAGGCCTCCCATGCGCACACTCTAGTTACATAAACACCATCCTTTAGAACGGCAGCAGGAAGCAAGCGGTGTGATATGCCAGCCTATGAGATAAGATCCTTGCATTTGGCTTGGCACAAGCTGTTCGCCCCGTGCTTTGAAGTAGCTCTCAATGATACAGTTGGGTGGCATGCTACACAGATGTTGGTGCACTACAGTGCTATATACAAGCATGGGCGCCGCTTGCATGTCATGCCTTATGAGTTAGACAATACATCAAACTGCTTGAGGCTCTGACCACTGAGGAAATCAATGCCCAAACATTCATCCAACTGCTGTTCACGACCAAGACTCCCACCACATGAGATGCACACACTGTAAAGGTACACTGGCTGTTACAATTCAGTGCACTGCGGCGGCTCAATAGTCAGAATGTCCTTACATTCCATGGAAGAATGCACAGCAGTGAACATTTTATAGGCAGTGAGTGGGTGGACACACATAGACATATTGTATGGTCTTACACTGAGAAGGAATGTAGGGAGCAGTCATTTGTCAGTAAAATATTTGCAAATATACCTCCCTGACATGTGGCTTGACCTGTTTCTTTAGTCTAAGCAGTAGAATTAATTTTGCAGCTCTTAAAACCTATCTACAATTAAGCAACAATGTTTTGTCAGCTGAGCTAGACATGCTTGATAGGAAAATCAATGTGACACATAAATCCAGCATTCCTGGAAACCAATTGGGGACAAATGTATGATGCCAGATGCATGGGTGAGCTAAACATTGATAGAAAATGAAGGGGCAAGAAAAGGAGACTGACATTTTTTGCATTGTTGACAAACACTTTAGTTCGAGGGTGCAGTTGTCTTTGTTTCCTACCTGCTGACCTTGATACATGAACAGCCATGTGATCCGTAACGCAGGACAAACCCATGATTGCTGGCAGATGGCTGTAAACACATATCTCTGCCAAAGATTGAAAACTGAACCGGTTTTGCAGGAGTGGCCACACTCCACTCAGAACGTGATATGTTCTCACGTTGTGCTCTGCACGCCCGGTGGTCATGCTCGATTATACAGGAAAACACAACTCTTCTACCGACTGTACACTCGAGAGGCTTTGTCTGCAGGTTCTGCTTCATTGAGAGCAGTTAGTTAGGGCCTTGAGTGTGATGGGTTTGAGCCCTAGCAAACAGCGGTAGGGTTCGTGTTTCTTTCCTAAGGCAAAGGCGATTTCAATGTGTTATGTCTTTTCAGTCATGCATATGGTTCGTCTAGGTGTCCTATGTAGCTAAAGAGGTAAACACTACCACGATATTTAACACATTGCACTAGATTACGAACAATTATGTATAGTCCATGCTTGACCCACCCTCCCGCAGCATCTGGGTGGTCTAGTGGTATATGAGCACTCATTGTTTGACACACTAAAACGAATGCAATGCATTCACGGCGAGCAAACATACTAACTGCAAAATTTCAGCTTTTGTATGAGTATTTAAAACACAGTAACGTATGGTGTCGGTCCTAAAATAGTAGCAAATTTGTACAATTTAGAAAAATGGGGGCTCACTTCGCTCGCCAATGAATTATACCCCTAGGGACGTGCAAACTGATATTAGGGCAGCTTCAGCCCTTCATCTGACATCCCATGCAAGTGATTCTTAGCTATGATACTTACTGCAGCAGCTTGTGGAGTTTGATAATGGACGACTCAGCTGTCCGATCCTGCAAACAAATGGGGTGAGTTATGAGATGCTCGAAATAAGTCAAATTCCTAAGCATTGAGTACTCCATTCAAGGTTAATAGACTATTATACCTAGTATGAGGTATGATGAAATGTGAGTCTCACCTTTCCAAGAATTAGAAATCCCTTTCGCTCGAGGTACTGCAAGTCATCGTGGCTGTTGCTGTAGTCCCCCACGTCAGCTGTGGTCAGAGTTGGGGGTGGAAGGAATGCATGTGGTTACCGTGGCGGCGGCTTGCAACAAACACTATGTCATGCATGGGTTACTAAAATTATCACTTGGACAGGAATCACTGCCTAATACCTATGTACATTTTGTAATAGAGCATGTGGTGGGAGTTCGTTATCAGTGTTGTCCACGTGACAATTGCACGGAGCTACCAGCTCGTCTCCCAATTACCGCAGGGGACTCCCGATTTCAGCAAGCGCCACTCTCGCTCGGATCTTTCACATTTCTAACTCCCTAAGTAGATAGATAGTTCATCTCAATGTTCAAAACGTGTGTGTGTCGGTGTAAGTCTGTGTGCAGTACGCAGTGTGTTTGCTCTTCCTAGGTCCTCAAGTCTCTATAGGTTACTCACATTACGGTTATGGCGCCTAAGAATGTGTACAACGAGGGAATATGTGTATAGAATCCCAAGTACACTGTATGTATGTGTAATTTACAACATTGTACATGAACAAACAGTTGGTTGATCTAGCAACGTTTTCTGTCTCACGAAGTGACCTGAACTTACGGTGTAGCATGATAAATCAGACCCGACTGTACTCTGTCAGGTATCGTCGTGTCTAGTAGTGCACTCTTAATGAGAGCTCTAGGTGCTATTGGATGTCTTACAGTGCACTGTGCACTTGCTAAAATGTAATTTTCTGCAAGTGCTACGGAAAAATGAGCGTTTAACGTGCATGGATGCATATTGCATGTGTGCGGATAAAATGGTGTTGATTACGGCTCCAAGTCAGAGTGGCATGGGTTGTCTTACTGTGGTGCACTGTGTATCACTGATACAATGACTATATAGTAGCTAGTTGGTTGAGCAAACGCCCTGTACAAAGGGAAGCTTTTTTTACCAAGCTGCAATGTCTGGTCAAAGTAGTGAGCCTCATTCAGAGGCACTCCTTATTCAAAGGTACTAAATGTATTAGTTTAGGGCAGAACCAAGCATCCTTTTTAGAGAGGTGTACTCACTCCTTTATCGCCATTCCACTGTTCACACATGTACTGTTGGCTCCATCCAATATTGTCTGAGTACGTGCTCTATAAGTGTTACGGTAGTGGGAACGACAGGAAACACAACAGAAGGTTCGTTTTGGGAGATGTTAAGTATTATTATACTTAGACTCAGTATGATTGGTTTCGGGCGAATTGTGCACACACTATATACCTTTTACATAATCAACCACTTGGCAAAGGACATCTGCTTGGCACTTATGCCTAGTGGTAGTACACTTGCAGTATACAGGTGTGTTTGGGGATAGCTTCTTCCTAGAAATACGAAACACTCAATCTATACTGCAGGCAGATATACACTTGCCAAACTGTAGCCTTCCAAGTACACGATATAAACGCCCATTACGTAAATGCAACCAAGGACAAATAGAGCGATAAGTGGTTGCCAACAGTGCAGGAAGTCTTCTCGGTAGGCACACTTGAACAGTAGCGTCCGCTACGGGTGTATACGTGATGTTGTGCAAATGGGTTGACCTCCTTTTGACTTTCCCGGCCCATGCTGCAGTAATGTAAGTGTGAACAGATGGAGTGGACTCTTCCCCTTGAGGCTGACCTAGGAAATACCAACTTCAAGGCCAAACAGCTGTGGAGCTAGGGGAAGCCACCATGACTGACTCCAGGAAATGGGGAAATGTTAGGAATCCTTCAATGTTGATATTGTCTCAGCCAAATCACACCTACATAGCCGACCTCCACAGGCTAGAGTAGAGAGTAGTCACTCTGACCTGAGGTTTCTGTGAGTGGGTGATCTATGGAGTATTGAAAATGATCTATAGACAACCGGAGCCTTGGACTATGCTGTAACACCTACAAGCAATCCATATCCCCCCACAGTTCAGCTAAATGGCACTCTACAGTAGATTTAGTAATTGACTGGGAGTATAAACCGTATTTTTAAACAACACGGGCACTTATTGCTAACCGTGCAAGCCTGAGGTAGAGATATATTCTCACCATATGCGTACATGTGCGTGTTTGTGTGTGTGCCAGTCACAATACTATTATACCAATTAGTCGTGCCTCAGGAGGAATGTGTAATGCTAAGGAATGTCATGTCCTGTCACGTACCTATGTCGAACATGAGACTACAGTAGTGGGCACGTGTGTGCATGTCTGAGGGCCAGCATTAGCTACCATGGAAAAGAGAGTTGTCCTGGGTGTAGTCGTGTCGTTGAATGGCATGTTGGCAAAGTATGTACCACATTCTTTGTTTGTTGGCGGGCAGCGTACGACTGTGCATGCGTTTGGATTAATAGTAGTCAAAAGCTATTGGAAGTGGAAGACAACATTTATGTCTGCAAACAGGCTTTGAATCTTTACCTGACACTGCACAGTCTGCCTACTCTCTCTCTCTCTCTTTCTCTTGCCACTCTCAGGAGAGCGAGAAGAAGAGCCCTCCTCCCACCACTCCTATCGCCAAGAATGCCTGGTGAGCATACGCTCTCCTGCAGTGCTAAATCTCCATCCAACGATAACCATAATCTACTTCTTCCGCCCACATTTTACATCTACAACATACACTGAAACCCCAACTAGGGTTTTCCCAGGAATACTAACATGAAGGTTGACAGACAGGAAAAATTAGTTGTAAACTAAAGTTGCTTCCTGTCTGCAGTTACTATGCTGGTTCACCAGCTGATAAAGCTGTCAACAAATATAGTCATGGGCAGCTGATATCAATAGTCTCAATCCAGTTGCCTTTGTGTACTAGCTAGCATGAATGTGGAGCGCATTTTTGGTGAGTGAGCGCTAGTGCAAAATTTCATACGATTATGTCAAAACATTGGAACAGCACCATTGAAAAATTGGCAATTCAGACTACTAGGTGGGCTTACTTCAGTCACCAATTTGGGAGAAAAGAATTGCCGGTTTACAAAACTCAAATTCAACTGGGTGGCCACATATGAATCTCAACCTACCCCTAGTGGCCCATACAAAGTTGCAGGCAGTACACGCAAGTGGGAGTTCTCTGCAATAACTGTCATGATACCCCCTTCCCTCTTTCCTTTCGTCTCTTTCCCTTGAATGGAAGAGTGCAAGGATTTCGTTGTCGGCCTTGCGTCAAGGTCAACCATGTTGACTTATCTTTTCATTACTCTGGGGACTAGGCATGGCATGCATGTTCTCTTTGTGCATCCGTAATGAATATACCATCACCACACACCACACACACAGTGTACACACAGTTTGCCGAACCACATCACCACCATGTTCATTCTAGCTATGGACAGGAGCAGTTTCAGTGAAACAAAAAAGGAACTGCAAGTAACTAAAACCTGGTCACACACCTAAATCGAAGTGCTCATGAATGCTACAGATGCCAAATGTGTTTGCAGTATCTCACTCTCTAAGAGTAGGCTTTTTTCTCAGGCATCTTACCTTGCAAAACATAAGACAGGACACTGTGAGCTGACTCTGATGGGAACCGCAGTCTTCCTGCACTTATGTCTTCCTTTAGCTGCAGATAAAACTGCTCCCCTGCGAACCGGTATGGAGACATATTATTAGGAGCATGAAAGAGAGGGGAGGATATTTTGGGCAAAGTTTCTATTGAAAATTTTGGCAGCAGGCTCACTGCATGTGCTCCACCTTCGTGAGCAGTCCAACCACTCTGTATACGGGTGGATTAAGATCTTACAAGAATACAGAGTGGCATGCCCACCCTTTACTAGGTTTATGTACAGAGTTGGGTGTTTGGTGGTTTAATTACCCCGGTCCCCGGTCTGCTCCTACTTATTAACTTGGCATAGCACAGAGTGTTTGGGGTTTGCCTTTGCCTTGTGTTGTATTATACACTTTGAGCCCAGCCTGCTGAGCTGCCCTGGTAGATCAGTGGTACAGCACCCATCTAGAGAACAGAGTGTCGTGGGTTCGAGTCCCACCAAAGTGGCAGCTCTTTTTCTTGGAAAATATAGTTGTCCTATGTAGGTAGGTATAGTTGTGTTTAATATGCACTTGCCTTGCATTGACACGCCATGATTCATGCTAAGTGTCTGTAATCCACTCACTTGGAATTCCGGTGAAGTGCTAATGGATCCACTGCATAAAACTTGACCCTGAACGAGAGGGTATAAGGCTGCCCTGCAAATACGTACATTGTTAATTGTCAAGCATTGCAATATTCCTCTCGAAAATAACTAACTTTTTAGCTGCTTCTTTGATTGGTTTCAGGAGATCCAGCCATTGCTGCAGTGGAAATATTTACTGCATGACAAAGTTGATATCAATGTGGGAGTCTGTCCAAAATTATTAAGAGATAATTTCTAACATCCGCATTTGTGACGTATGGTATGTGAGCGCATGATGATTATGCCAGCAGAGAGAATATTAGTGTGAATACCTGTCCTGAAACTATGGCAACTATCAAATACCACATGTCATTCAACTGCATAACTCTGCATGAATGCCTGTTTGGCCAACATGATAATAGCTAAGGAGGTGTCCTGTATGCTACAGAGTGGAGTGGCAAACCACAATTAAGGTAATTGTTTGTCAGTTAGCGATAAGACTCTGCTAAGCTCTGAAGACTGTAGCTATACCAAAACTATGGCAAATATTGTATCAAATACCACTCTTTATACACAGTGCATAGTAATGGTGGTGTTCTGCAAAGCAGATGACCACAGGACATAAAAGGAATTGTGCAGGTCAAGTATGCTAAAATCTGGTAGACCACAAGTCCCAATGCAGTTACCAGGTGAAGCATTGCGCATGAAAAAGTTTTGTGGTAAGTCAAAGTTCCCTTACACCTTGTGAACATACCTGGTAGTGGGGAAATTAGTGTGCATACCTCTACTGCAACCAAGGCAACTATCAAATGCCACATCTCATTCAGCCGCATAACTTTGTGGATACTAACTCATAGCTAAAGGGGTGTTGGTAAGTAAATGACCTCAAGTGGAATGAGAACAAATGCTAAACCAGAAAGAACATAGGCCTAAATGTAATGGAGTCAAGAACTTGGGTGATATCATGCATGTCGCCTGCACATTTTACACTACCTTGTTAGTGTTTAAACGCTGCCAAGTACGCACGTGCATTAGTGCAATGTCGTAATCATGTCCAATCAAATCAAGAGTACATTTCATTCGCATTGGCTGGGGCAGAATGTATAGAGCTCATTTACCATCTTTTTGTGGTCATCTTCATACATGAGGCCAAAGTAGTCTCTCTCAAGTAGATCCAGCTTTCGCACCACATGGTCGAATGCAACCTGACCCAACATCTTTTTCTGCAGAAATGTATAATTAGTATATTAAGTTTTTTTCGGCTGATCCTGGACTTGGCTTAATGTGGAGCATTCTACTTTACACGGGATACTTCCATGAGGGTGTATAGCTATGCAATGGTACCATACAGCAGAAAGAAAAGTATACTCAGTGCAAAAGAGGTGTTTCCCCACTTGAAGTGTATCTAGCTGGCCAATGCATGGAGGGGAATTCTGCGGGCATACAAGGTATATAGAATCCAGGTTAGTGCAGCAGCATCACATACAGAGTCTTTGAAGTTGAATTACGCTACTCACAAGGTAAGTCTGTATTTGGTGTGTTTACCAAAGAAGCACACGGAGCATAATGAGTGTTATCACTGCTATTATACTGCACTACCTAATCAGTTCATTATGTGTGACACCTATGCACCTTGCAAGAAAACGGAAAGCTCAAGCCACTTCTAGGGAAGGTCACGTATTATAGTGACGCAACAATCTTGTACTACGGTGACGAAACAAATTTACCTTTCTTATTATTGCAAGGAGCAATATAAGAAAGGTACAGTACTACTTCTGTGATGTCACGCATGCGTGTTGTCATGGCACGTGCTGTCAATCAGTTACATAGAGAAAATCATGTAATTCAAGGCTCAATTTGCTCGCCAATTAACTTATTAGAATCTGTTGGTGCTACTGGGAAATTTTATATGTGTTTCTATGGTAGGAGTGTAATAATTATTGTCATGAGAAACCTATTGTAACTTAGGGAGTCAAGTGTCCTTTTAAGTATTGCAAGAACTCCGATTATGACAGGGCTTATTAAGACCACTAAGATAGTGTTCAAACAGTCCCACAACAGTCGCAGTCTCAGATTGCGTCTGGGGATATAGTGAGTGGGGGCAGTGGTAAGTTGGGATGTCTTCGAGGAAATGTATTACTTGGTCCACCCTTTGCTTGGTTCAAGATTTGGAAATCGGTAATCAATCTCATGTTCATCCATAGTGGTATAGGAGGGAGCAGTTCAGATGCTATGGTGACGTTTTAGGCCATGTTTTCGTCAAAGGAAATGTACCAGACGCTCCTTTCCCTTGTGGAGACTAGTCCTTATAGCTACAGGCTTTGCTTGAGAGCCACTAATCCAAAAAAAACTTCAACCGGGCTTGATCATCTGGCCACAAAGAAAAAAGTGCACTTCTTTGGAAGCTTCATGTAATGTAGCTACAATTTCTGGGTAATCATGCATGTGATCAATAGTGGTGATATAATCATGTTTCATGACAAAACTATTGCAACATGTAATTCAAAAGAATGGCAAGTGTCCTACAAGAGTTATAGATGTCCCCCCTACAGTAGGCAGTTTCAGGCTGCTATATAATTATAACACCACTTCCTTTCCAGACTTGCTGTGGCTCCAAAGCTAGACACACAACAATGCTACATTGAAACTGCTCAGCTTGCTCCAGTGATTTTATGGCAGGCACCCTTCCTAGTTTGCAGGAAATGCCCATTATCGGTATAGTCTACTTGTGACTTTATCTAATAAGGCTGGCTGGAAAGAAGGCCATGAGGTCGACAATAATAATCGTTTTTCCCCTTTCTATAATACATTGCCATCGGCCACGTACATGCTCTAGCCTGTATGTAAACTCCTAAGATTTCGCGCAAAAAATTCTGAGCTTCTGTTGGCATACAACTGCTGTAATAGGCCCATTTAACAGGCAGCTATGAGAGTTCCATACCTCAGTTGGGGCAATAGATTTTGCACAGTGGGGCATGCACTGATTCACATTGCGGCATGCACGATGTGTGTTCACACACTGTTTGAAAAGAATGGCAGCAGCAGCAATAAACAAGGTGTGGACACGACCACTCTTTGCATCTATCATCGATAAAGACAAAAACAGTTTGGATGTTTGAGTAAAAACAGGGTCTCCGTCACTGTTTAGAATGCGAAGGCATTAAAGGACATTTTACAGTATGTATGGGTAGTCAGTGTGAATTAAATTTATATCTGGAAGTTTCAGTTTTGTAACGATGACCTTAAGTCCTTCTGTTGCAGAGAGTGAAACGATAGATGTATCACAGAGTTCCCTTCCGACAACATCATGGAGTATATAGCATCCTTACCCGACATAATTGTAAGGTGAGTCTATAGGCATGAGAATACACGCATGCCACTCGCTCATGCAAAAACGTAAACATCTGCACCTTCATAATCCATGAATTTATGTACATCGCAGTTAGTGGACAAAGCGAATACTGGGTAGCTCACTGATCATGCTTCATTGCTGCTAGCTGGCTATAGACTACATTGAAGACCACAGTTGCAAAATATGGTCCCCTGCAGTAGCTAAACATGGCGGCTGGACAAAACGAACCGAGTTTATCTTCAAAAGCCTGAAAGGTTCATATGACCAACAAACCACAGAAATTTGCAGCAAATTGGGGAAACAAATTGAGGACGCACTGGACAATGTGTGTTGTTAAACTCTGATCACCCACTCAGCATTTTACAGAATATTATCCCCGCTCCACCCCTCCACCCCACCCCCACACCCCACCTGAATAACCTTTGTTCCTGGCGCTCTATTGGCATTGATATCCAGTATTAGTGTATACTGCATGGGGGAGGTGGTTATTGCTCAATTACTTGGGGATGCTAGAAGCAACACTATACTTCTTTAAGAGAAGGTGAGAACTTCATCAACAGCATGAGGTTTGGGCAGTATTCAAGTTCTGGCACCGAAATATTTTTTTGTGTGGGGGTGTGTTGGGTAGGATGTTGAGACCACCACATGGAGTAGAATTATATACTCTACTGCAGGAATGAAGGATTACTCCCCCATCTCCCAATTCCTCATGGTTCCAAAACTAGCTTGCTGCACGGTGCAATAGCCAGTGCTAACTGCAAGAGAGGGAATTTCTAAAAAGGGCACCACACTAACGTGGTGTCCAATCCTTATACTTACTCTGGTGTGAAAGGGGACGTGTAACTTACGTCTGAAGGACCAACGGTGAGGACGGATCCATCCAGCAACCTCACCCGCACCAAGTTCGACCCGCCGGCTCGGCCGGATATTCGTTCTGCATCTTCCGCCTTCTGATCGCTGAGAGTGAAGGACCCTTTCTTCTTGCTCAGCGACATAACGCTTGCGTCTTGCGTGTTCGAGGAGAGCAGGGGTTGCGTGCGACAAGCCCGTAGAGGTCCCCTTTGCACAGCGATCGCAAAACAAACGGGGGTTGGTAAGACAGGGGCGTGGCCAAGCGCGACTTATGGCGAGAGGGCGGGGCCGAGTGCGTTGCGCGTCTGCGTGACGTCGCCGAGTAGTGACGCACGCCTAGCTGGACTCCTATAAAAGAACTAGAAAATCCTTGAAGCTTTAGAATCCGCTTGACTCAAGTCTTCTTTATAGAGCCCTCTAAACGCAAAAGCAAAGTAACTATTTACTAGTTCAGAATGGCCACGAAGAAGCAAGTAGCGTTGGTCGGTGACCGCGGCTGCGGAAAAACTTCGCTCGCCGTTCGCCTCTCTACCGGCATCTTCTTGGATTACTACATACCCACACAGCTCGTGGACGATTTCACGGCCGAGGTGGACGCGAGGAAGGGGACCTGCAAACTCACCCTGCTCGATCTCTCGGGATCGTGCGACGACAACACAATTCGCTCGCTCGTGTACGAGAACTGCGACGCGGTCGTCGTGTGTTTCGATCTGGCCGACCACGCATCGCTGAACAACGTCACTGAGAAGTGGCTGCCCGAGCTGGAGACTATGTGCCCGGGCGTCCCGTTTATCCTCGCCGGTTGCAAGCAAGACGAGACGTGCGACTGCGAGGGGACGTGTCCACGACTGACTTCCACCCGCGATTCCGTGAGGGATTTGTTGATCAACACCCGCGCCAAGGCCTACGTAGAGATCTCATCCAAGTATAAGGACGGCATGGATGAGTTGGCGGAGTTGGTGGTCGAAGTTGCGCAGAAGAAGCGAACGGCCGCAAAGAAACTCGTCGAAGCCATCAAAGGATCTCGCCTGCTAAAGAAACTTGCACTTGTCTGACCTGTCGTCGTCCCGGCTACTTACCCGTTATAGCTATCAACTGCTGCAAGCGAAAATCGTGTTCTGCAAGCTACAGTGCCAAGCAATCCATCATGATCAGCAAATCGATGAACAGCTGATCTCCAAGACTCGAGGACCAAAAACATTTTTAAACAAAAACAATCTTAACAAGTCATTACTCTATATTTCATTGCTCCTATAACTGAATGAGTCAACAAAGTGTTTGTGTGTATGGTTTTTCAATGTTCCCTGCAGTCTGGCTAAAATTAGAATGCGATTACTTACCTATACTTACTGTCAAGCTCTCAGCACAAATTAGCTAAAACACTTAGCTATCAAGATATTTTAACCAGCTAACAGTCCAACCACCACGTGTTTTACAAAGGCACTATAAATTTGCTACCTATGACTGGAGGGGAAACACCGCACAGGTGACCCTATTAACTAACGTGCAGGTCACACACATAAAGCTAGTTATGTGTGGTATTATAAATTTCCAGAGGCCAGAGTACACTACTCTGTAGGTGTGGGTATAATGTCATGAGATCAGAGCTTTTTTAGTGTCGCACCACGTGTCATGTACCATGCATAACTTGGGAAACTTTACTCCAGAAGAGGTTATCTATACACCTGTAATTATACATGTGGTTTTCCTGATGCAACTGTGATAAATTTTTGCTCCAGATCTTCACTTTATGTCCAGCAACTTTTTGGTCCATAATACCCAGCATTGACTTTCCCGGTTGAGTGTACACCTGGTTCTGTAGTCAATAAAATAGCTGGCAACGGCCCACATTTCAGACTGTTTCCTGGGAAACTGAACGGCATGCATGTGGGTGCGATTCTTGTGAATTCCCTCAGAGAACTGCTCCTGTACACACTAACCAAGGATGAAGTAACAGTGCCACTACTCCGCACACATCTTCGTGGAGTGTTATGTGCTAACAGGGGTTGTTAGCATTTGTGTGACGCGCAGAAAAAGCGCCGAAACATGGTCCATAAGTGTCTCAGTTCATTGTTCATTGCACTGACAATAATGAAAAAGAGAAAAATTTCAACCACGTTTATGACTGAAGTATAATATCCACACAGAAAAGCGCTTTTGCATAAGGTGCCTTCTTGCCCACCACTGTCCCTTCTATAGACTAGCATCATGCAGACTTTACCACCATCAGAATCTACCTGGAAACAAATTTGGTGGTGTGACTCATGTTAACTCCCAAAATTATCCAGTGGTTCGTGGAAAACTTGGCAGACTACTGCAATAGCCAATACATTACAGTCCTTTCTCTTCAATGGAAACTGAGTAGCATATCTAGGCAACTAGCTAGACTTGCACAATGACTTTGGCTGCCTCAATGTGTGGCACAATCAGATCCTGAACCACGAGACCCTCACACCCAGCCCCAAATCCTAAATCACACCTGCAACGTGTATAATATACGCATTTTGACTAACTAACCTAAATTTCCAGTGCCTTGTCAATGCATCATCATTATACATCACATTATGTTGTGATTGAAGACACCAGTTGCTATTGACCTACACTCAATTACTAGCCACATACTATGGTGCTCCCCGAATTCACTCATTCATTTTGTGCACTCGTGACTAAATTAGTCTCAATCTTGCCTGTATAGTGTGTGTACTTATTGTGGAACTCACGCTGAAAAATCATTAATCTGGGAAAGGAAAGGTGCTGCACCATTGTCAGGCCATAAAAAGCAAGGAATAAAGGAAATGCATAGCTAGCTATACTGCGAGAGTATTATACAACCTCCCTCACATTTGAGATTTACCATTGAAAATTTGACTTTGATAATCGTCAGGCTGAACGAAGACGTAGAAATGAATGTGCAGGGTGGAGCTTGCATACAGAGCTGAAACCACGTACGAGCGAAGTCAGTGAAGAACGTCTACGGCTAGACCATGCGGATCGCCTTTAGCGGCGCTCTAGCTCGGCCTCGCGCTGTTTGCGCATGCGCAATCCAAAAAGTAGCACGGCATATGACAGCGCAAATGCCTGGTATAAATTGAGCTCAGCAAATGGATGCGCCAGTTGAAAAGGCTCTTCGAAACGATTATGACTCTCCAAGGAAAAGTCCGCGTTGCACTTGTCCGCGTTGCACTTGTCGGCGATGCCGCGTGTGGCAAGACGGCGTTGGCCGTCAAGTTCACTCAGAATCTCTTCATTGACTACTACTGTCCGACTGAGTCCGTAGAAGACTTCTCCAGCGAAATAGAAACACGCAAGGGCGTCTGCAACCTTACCGTACTTGACACCTCTTCGAACAATGAAGAAATGCGGATCCTCTCGTACGTCTACTCGAATGCCGTCGTTCTTTGCTTCGATCTGACGCGTAAAGAAACGCTGAAGAGCGTAGAGAGCAAGTGGTTGCCCGAGCTGAACAGAAACTGCCCCGGAGTTCCGTTCATCATCGCAGGGTGCAAGAGAGACGAGATGTGCGACGGGCCTCAAGGCTGCGTATGCGAAGAAGGAACCTGCTGCGATCTCGGCGAGGAAGAGCTGACGGCTCTCCTTCTGCGAACAGGAGCCAGCGCCTACTTCGATTGTTCAGCAGTGACCGATGAAAACGTGGAGGCCGTCTTCGGCGTGGCAGCCGAGATCGTAAAACCCAAGCGAAAATATAATGCCAAACGGCTTGTGGCCTCCATAAAGAAAAAGGTGTCTCGTCTGTGAGCGAAGAAAAGCGCCTTACTCGAACCTTATCCACCCCACCGTGGCTTCTGACGTCAGGAAGATCAAAAAGGGTCTCCATGTTGTTAACCCTACTGAAGACCATCGAAAATGAACTATGCCCTGTTGGCAGATCTAAGCTAGCTATTATGTAGCAAAAATTTTGTCGTGAAGTCATTATTTTGTAATTTACAAAGCCACTCATTTCATCTACAATATTGAATTAGCTTGCTAGTGAAAGTCCAGGTAAGATTTTTGAGGCGCAATTTTGATCCTAGCTCTAGTTTCGACTGCCATTTTTCTACTTATGCGTGGTAGCTATAGCTAACAATGAAGTATTATAGCATCTATCAACAAGAAGAGAAGAAAAACGATCACCGGCATGCATGAAATACGGGAGTGGACTGGAGAGAGCAGAAATTTTGGGGAATTTAGCCGCGCATAGATATATAGCTACGTAAGGGCAATGGCCCCCGGGCCTGCCAGAGGGCAGGAATTCGAAAACACCGCGCCCCCCATGGAGAGACCGTCCAGGCCAGGCAGGTATAAATAGAGCGGAGCAGCCGGACTTGAACACAGTTCTCGGAACGATATGACCGATATGACTCTCCAAGGAAAGGTCCGAGTTGCGCTGGTCGGCGATGCCGCGTGCGGCAAGACGGCATTGGCCGTCAAGTTCACCCAGAACCTCTTCATTGACTACTACTGTCCCACTGAGTCCGTAGAAGACTTCTCCAGCGAAATAGAAACACGCAAGGGCGTCTGTCATCTCACCGTCCTCGACACCTCGTCGAGCAATGAAGCAGTCCGCGGCCTCTCGTACGTTTGCTCCAACACCGTCGTTCTTTGCTTCGATCTGACGCGTAAAGAAACGTTGAAGAGCGTAGAGAGCAAGTGGCTGCCCGAGCTGAACAGAAACTGCCCCGGAGTTCCGTTCATCATCGCCGGGTGCAAGAGAGACGAGATGTGCGACGGGCCTCAAGGTTGCGTATGCGAGGAAGGAACCTGCTGCGATCTCGGCGAGGAAGAACTAACTGAACTTCTCTCGCGAACGGGAGCCAGCGCCTACTTCGATTGCTCAGCAGTGACCGATGAAAACGTGGAAGCTATCTTCGGCGTGGCGGCCGAGTGCGTCCACCCCAAGCGAAAAAACTATGCCAAGCGACTCGTGGCCTCTATAAAGAAGAAGCTGTCTCGTCTGTGAACAAAGAAAGAATTCCTCTCCACAATTCGACACAAAGATCTAGGGTTTCATTTTCATACCCTAGCTGCTTGATCATGATGAAATCCATGGACAGATATATAGCAACCATTCTCCGACGACCGATTGAACTCATTTGCACACTTTTCTGAATATTCAGATGTTATTATTTTTGCCACTTTAAATATACATATAATATTATTATCATTTGCACAATTGCGTAACATCACCAACGTAAAACTGATCATGAGCACCCTTGGCTCCACTTAGCGTCAATGGCACTTGCAAGCAGCTATTACTGTAATAAACATAATGTACAAAAAGTAGTTATCCGTTCAAAATGTGTATTATGACAAAAACGTTGGATGAAAAAATTTGAGTCCTGAATATAATATGTACTGTGAAACTGAACACCAATGATTGTGACATTAATTTATGTTAAGTCCTACAAAAGTAGTAATTTTTGTATGAATCAGCGAAAGTTCAGTGAAGATGTTGAGAGATGTGGCAACTCAATTTCTACGTAATCATCTGTGAAAGAGAGAAATGTTATAATTATTGCCAATAGAGAAAAATTTTACCAACCTTCATAGGCTTTCAAGATACTCTCACAAACAAACTGATACTGGATCTGTGGAATATTATAGATTTCGTCATTCACGATAATGGGTCAAAGAAAAATTGATCACAGTGATGCCTATCATTAGTGGTATCTTTCTTGCGTATAAGAGCAAAGTCCAAGTAGCGTTTTAGTCAGTGTCAATTTCTGGGCCTCAAGCATCATTCTGCTGGTGGCCTAGAGCGCTTAGCTACCTACCGAAACCATCTGTGGTGCAAGTCAATACCGCTACTAAGGTAACAGGGTATGCGCAATTCAAGACTATAGCCTCCATGCGAATGGTATACCTGAGTAACGACTCAGAAATGGAATGCAGAACACAGGCCAAAAGACATAACACAATGCATAAAGCCCACAGGCACTGTTAAAAACAGACAAAAGTTCAAACTTCTGAGAAACAACAAGGGCACGTGCCATTCCTAAACGCATTCCTTCTCGCTCGTGCCAAATGACTTTCATTCCAGGAGTCGACTATCATAACATACAGCAGAGCTACCAGTGACACGATGCATAGGGTGTTAATGGGACATGTATGTGTCCGCGTACCGGAGTCTGAACGACCATTCCTCTCTGGTCTCTCATCGCACGAACAATCTCCAGAGGATAGATGGGTTCCAAGACCTCCATCTTGCACAAGGCTGTCTCCATCAACATGAAAACTCCAGTTCGACCAATACCAGCACTGTGAAGAAAGAAGTGTCCTACGCTAACATTGTCCTGGCACATCACAAGAGTTAGGCTTGGTTCACAATACGTCACATTGCCCTGTTGCGCCGTGCCGCAAAGATACTATCCTCGTGATGCCACAACGCGACAGGGCAATACGACATTATTGTGAAGCTAGCCTTATTCTTTTGGGTTTCTAGTAGTAGACTGACCTGCAGTGTGCTGTGATTGGACCTTCAATGCTTTCCCTCAACTTTTTAACTGCCTGCACGAACCTCAGGAAATCAACTTTGCTGCCGGGAATTCCTGCAGAAGGGAAATTCAAAATATGAGCTCTGTGGCCCATTTCCCAAAAGTCCTGCTGCTGCTGGGGCTGGCAGATTCACATGACGTCCTGACATTACCAGCGGTTCTTGGAAATCTTGGCAGACTGCTGTAAACCACAGCCTTTCAGTTCGTTGGAACCAGTGGTATAGCTAGGCAACAGTTTTGCTAAACAACGATGGCGCCAGTTTCACTGCCCCTACACGTGCATAGACACCTAGGCTACCTCAACGTTTTGCACGCTTACTCCCTCATCCTCGAGACGTGCGGATGCACACACTCACACCCAATTCCAAATCCATTGACGGAATCAAATTATCACACGCATAAGTGTGTATGTGGCTAAGTAAGACAACAATCTTGGCATATCTATAGCATGTGCGAGTGTGTCCACTCTACCAGTGAATTGTGTGTACGCTGGGCTAGATCTCATTATGAGTTGGCTGACAGTACCAGATGCTATTGACCTGCAACTCAAATGGGCAGCAGAGGTCCTCACATGCTAAGCACTTCATACACTAACTGTGCACTCTTGAATTACCTAAGACCTTCCTCTGATTATCCATAGCGGCTACCATTTTTCCATATTGATGTGAGTGTGTTGCTAGTCTACTAAGTAATTGTTAGCCCTCCCTGGCACAGCCTAGCTAGCTTGGCAGAGATGTAATATGTACGTACATGAGGCTCTGGTGTGTGATTGTAATATTGCCTGAAGAATTAATCTGCACAAGCAATGCTCATGGCTGTGACATAATCTGAGGTACAAATGTGCATTATGTATAATTATCTTCTAGGGATGAACAATGTTATGACAGGTTATATGCGTGTGTCCATATGCGTCACTGGTTATGCTGACAATACAGTGTGTGTGGTGTCCATAATCTGTGTGATCTGGTGCTTGTTGGCCTAGACTCGGTGTCTATGCCAGTACTGTTCTACGGTGACAGTGACATTAGTGAAAACTTCAATTAAAGTTCCAGGGTGAATACAGGAGGCCAAAAGTAAAACAATTCATTGTCAAGAAATTGTGTGGTTATGCATAGATACAGACACCAGGGAAAACATACGCAAGCTACATTCAGTGTTCCTTAGCTTTACATTGTGTTCTAATGTAAAACTCCATCTCATACATATTGCCTTATGCTCAATTTACTTAGTGATTAGTGAGCTTTCCTATTGTTTGGAAAACCTACATAACAATATCCCAACCTTTTCTCCCACACAAGCCATACAGAGCTAAGCATAGACCTTGACTCTTCCCACATGTGCTAAAAATAACTTGGGAGCTGTTTGTAGCAGCTGATCAAACAGAAAATAGTTTTTGTGCCTCAAGAAAAACAAATGATTAAACTCATTTGTCCTAAGGCATGCAAGATACATGTACATATTGCCATTCTGGAATACCTTACATTAGCCGTCCTACACATTCGCAGCATTGCTACCACGTGAACCTACAGGTGTGCAGCATTGCTACCACGTGAACTACAACTTACATGCATTATTACATGCAGAGCATGTGAGGGGTGCCGAGACAAAGGATATCACTATCTGATAAATGAGGAAGTTTACAGGTAAAAGTTGTAGGCATGTCAGCAAACCGACCCGACGCCATGCTTTATGATTTTACACTCTCTGATGTATTCTGTATTCAAAGCTGAATCACTAGCTCGAGACTGCTGAGGTACTTGTACCTTTAAAACAAGTAATAATGATTGGAGTTTTGCTCGTTCACTCGTGAAATACGGTGCATGTGTTGGTAATTGGGCATATGACAGGTGTCTACATGCCTATACTGAGAACAGGGATACCCTTACGTCGCCGATGAAAGAGGAAGCCACATAGAGTTCCCATTATAGTACACACAAATGATATTACACAACCATTTCTCTATTTCATGAGTACAGCTAATGTTTAACAGTTGTTGCCGGCAGAGTAACGATGGTTGGATATTTACTCGTGCAAACATGTAATATACAGTAGTAGATGCATTTGTAATTGGGCAATTAATTTGCGAGGTTACATGTCATGTACGGCTAGGACTAGAGTTGTGTAATGTGAACAGTGTACGTGCGTATCTGTGTGTGTGCCAGAGATAAACAGGTGGTGTAGTCATGGCAGCAGAAACCTGATTTTACTCTCCCGGGATATCTCAATCACCGAAAATGGATGTGTGTCCTTATTATGTGTCTATATTTTACATACCAACCCCATTTTGTGTGTGTCTCTCTATGACCCATTTCGTGTTTTGTTTTTGTGTGTGTGGCTTTACATACCGACCCCTGTCTCTCTATGACCCATTTCGTGTTTTTGTGTGTGTGGCTTTACATTCCGACCCATTTGTGTGTGTCTTGTACATACCGTGATCTGGCCAGTCGATGTACTGCATCTGAGTGACTGTGTGCTCCTCTCCAGTCTATGGAATGATAGTTTGAGAAACACTTGACCTCTAGAAATCTTGTATATAGAATTCTTTTGATACTGTAGTCGCGTTTTTTTTGCTTTCCCCCTTTCCCCCTTGTGACATGTTCAATTTATATACACATGTGCATCACCCATGCACGTGCGTGAGCTCCATGTGCATTATAGCATGCATGATGTAAGATCTTACTAAAGTAAAATACAGTATGTGCATGCCACTTTACTCCCACTTCCATTCATGCATGTGTGGTTCAGATCTGTAAGGAAGAGGGGTACTGATTTCCTGCTCTAGCTAATACTCTCCACTTATTCATATTTTCACGAAAAACGGGAAGTTGACGTGTGACTCAGTACATGTATATAGCTCTAACACCGAAGCAATGAATTTCATTAACCCTAGATCGTGATTGCATTCTTCAATTTCCAGCCAATAGACTCAAAGCAATGTGCCATTACTTCTCCCACACACACACTGCTATTCCTGCCTACCACACTGCCTTTTTCAGCCCACACATCACCTTTCTTCATTTATCACAAACATTTATTACCTATTCTTCGGCTATCGCAAACATTTACACTCCTTGAGTCATCACTTCTTAGATACCATTACTGTGTGTATAGCTTAACCTTCTTCTGTTCGTTTGTGACTTTTGTGTGAAGAAAAAACTGTTTGACTGAGAATGAACTACCTTTGTGTACATGTTTTAACTTGGTGAGGTCTATAACCATGATTTGGTGGGATTCAGAGTCAGTCCATTCTGTACTGCAAAAGTATCAATTTTCTCTTGTAAAGTAGCCCGAGAGCTACTGATGGGGGTAAAAGCACGTATGCTTCCAAGACAGCTTTCTTATAGCACTGCAACGTAAACTGCCTACACACTTCCCACAAATTCAGAACATTCACAGTACACAAAATTCATTGGCTAGACTAAGGAATTCTCCACTTTATTCCATTAGGCTATAGCAGGAACCTTTGAGGTAGAAACTTTCTATTTCTCTGACAAAACCTTCACGAATTGCTTGTTCACTAAAGATTCTTCCCTAAACCTAAGAACAGGTAGAGCTATTAATAATGTTACTATTTATTACTGACTGATCAGCACACTGATTAGATACACAGTTGTCAGCATGTATACGGAAGAGTTAAGAATGTTGTCATACACATATTCATTGACCTACGTACCCGCAGTAGTAAATATACATCGTCATAGTTTAGTCTCTATTATATTCACACGGGGAGACCCAGCCTGTTTGGTAACTTATTCTATTCATAGATATGAGGAAGTATAGCCTTGCACAGTATTGGGGTTCTTTTGACTGCTGACGGGGCTGGTGCCACACATTTAACCAGAAAACCCCCATTACAGGTGGGGCTCACACCACCAGGGTGTGCCCCACCTGCATGCATGCACAAACACAACATTTAAAGTATAGTTTATAAATAACCTGAGATTCAACGTGGCCTTGATTACTTACACATGGCATGTTTTCATAATTACATTATGCAGCTTGCTGAAATTGTTAGCTCACCAGGTTGTTTCGTAGCTTGAATCTCCGTGTGATGTATACTCTGTCGACCTGCTCTAGTAGAGTCATGACCTGGAACTTGCCATAGTCCTTTGTGGAGTTTTTCTCCGGCCAATACTGGCAGCATCTCACCTGGTGATGCCAACAGGAGATTAGAGAAAGAGACGGAGAGGAAGAAGGAGAAAACCGAGTTTCAACACAAGCAGAGAGAAAAGTGAAAGGGAAAGGAGACAAATATGGCCAATTTCAACCTAAATCGGAGGCACGTATTGTGGAACTGAGTGAATCGTTTGCATCCACTATTTTGGCCCAGGTGACTGCATTGCAATCCTGATAGTATATAGATACGTAGATACGTAGGCTTTTTTCTGCTTCATCTGTCCTCAATCACCTTTAGCTGCTTAAATCTAACACCACATGCTATACCCTGTGTTTGGGTGCCTACCTTTCCATTCTCCACCACTTCCGTGAGCATGATGACCAGCTCACACGACTGCTCCCACACCATCTGCACCACACAAACACACAACCCGGTTCAATTCAAGTGAAAACCTGCCAGTTCTAATTGAGCCCTGATGACAGGGGTTGTTCTGTTTAGAGACTCTCTAGTGCCCTGGTGCTTTACCTGCCAGAAATCCTTGCATGTGTGCTGCATGGGACCTTGGGAGGCAATGTAGCTCACTATCTGCCCAGTCGTTTCCACCTCAAGCTGTATGGGGAAACGGGAAAACACATCAAGTGCACATGCATATGATATACAAGTGAACTAAGAATGCTGAGTTGAACATACAACATACACTACAGATACAAGGACGACCTTAAAGACAGTAAATATTAGGGCAAGGAAGAATGGGATAGATCGCGGTACGTATAAACCTTAATACGAGCAATCCATGGTAGGTCAAATGACAGGAAACACATTTGGACAAGGGAGGGGGGGGAGAAAAAGCTAGGCCCTGGGAGAAACAACAAATAAGTGTTTAGTCTGGGACACAGGAAATCTATACCCTTGGCACGATAACAGACAGACACATGATCGCATAACAGTTGCCATACATTGACGAAGTTGGCATTGATGTAGTCCGGCCCTTCTCGAAGATGGACTCTGGTGGCATCGTCTAATAGGGTAGAGGGATAGATACATGACATACACATACGTAATGATATGCGAATGCTTCGTCTGAGATGGAGCAGCCCGCCTATTGGTTGAATCTGTGCAACTTCATGTAGCTACTGTATCTACTGTTGTTGCTCACACATTGCGTTAGAGCACTCTCTGTATGAGATACAACTAATGCCTATACGGACTCACAGGCTGATATGTCTCGGTATCTGTTCTTGACAAGATTCTGAGGTAGTTTGCTTGCTATGGCCGCCATCCCAGGTTTCCTGCGGTAGAGCCTCTGAAATAATATGGCAAGGAATTCAAAACACAATTCAACTTATCTCTTCGTGCATCCAAAACAAATAAAGAGTGCAGATGATCAGAATGTGAGCACGTGTGTACCATGGCTGCTGCATGGAGCATGCCCAACACATGCAAGAAGTCAACACCCAAAGTACACATGTATATACCTTAAACTGGTTATACAACAAAATATTCACCTGTCTGTGAAAAATGTGAAAATTGCAAAATTTTCGCACCATTGGAAATTTTTCCTGCTATACGGTAGCTTTATGTAGCTCACAACAAACATGGCTGTATAATAGATGACTCACATCAAACTGCAGTAGACCCATGCTGTTTGAGAGACTCTCCTTGAGATATGTGAGGGACTGTCTCAGGAGCTGGCCAGGGTCCGAGGTAGCTGACTCGGTTGTCTGAGTTCTGTGAAGAAATATAGATACCCAGGGAGCGAGGAGAAGAAAGGGAGACGGAGGAGAAAGTGAGGAAGGAGACAAGAGAGGATACGTCAGGCATGCAGATATAATTTTAATTAGGCAACCAAAATGCCAACGGCAGAGACTGGACTGTTGAAATTAACAAGGAAGGCAGGGGTAGTTTTAGGTACAGACAGTGAAAAATCCAATTGCTATCGCGGAGAGTGTTAAACCCCATCAGAAAGAGAGGCAGAAAAAGATTACAACAAGAGCACAACCCAAAGAACCCTGGTATTAGAAAGTACAGAACATCTTGGTGACATTGATAAAAACTAAGGACAGTGTGTCACACTGGAGAGCTATGTGGGCAAAATGCCACTAGGGACATTTGTTTGCAGGTATAGACAGATGACCTGATTGAGGCAAACAATGCAGTTTACCAACATAATCTAACTGTGTACACAAACACTGAGCCCCTGACAAGAGAGAAATCTCTTTTACCATAGTAGGGGGTAAACCTCTCCCACTGTCTCTCCCATTGCCTCAAAAGGAACACACACTTACTGGTAGACGCGAGAGCTGTACTACTATCATAATATCTAAAAGTAATAACCTCTTGTTTGTATCACATAGGTATAGACATGGAGGCTCCATCATACGTAAGTAATACAGTTGCATTTGTATCATAAGCCTGGCAAACAAGTATATATACCTGAGAGCTGTGCTACAAGCTGTATAACTTGTGCGTTTGCATTACACAGGTATCAGCATTAATTGTTGTCCCAGTCTGGTATGCAGGCATATACACAAGCACACACAAGTACTGTCTCTACATTTACACGTATTATAATGCATAGACCACACACTACATGGGAGACAGACACAGACAAGAAAATCTGTACACAAAGTCCCAGACAAAGACAACACGTTAGGCGCCAAAACTGCATGTAGCTAATGAGTCCGCGGTACTTGCATTACACATCCATAGAATTCTCTAATTAGACTTCAATATATCTTTAACAGTGGAACAAAGGGGTCTCGTAGGGATTGGAATACAGCACATAGAGCTGTGAATGGCCCTGCAGATTTCAACGGTGTTGCTGTGAATGATACAGGCTTGTAGGGAGTAGTCCCAGCCGGCTTTCATCTTCCCATTGTCCCGTAGCACGCTCCAGTGTGTGAGATGTAGGTTACATACCTATAGCTACATTGTGTTCATGGGGCCAGTGTACGAGATGTAGGTGTACGTACGTACATACTACATTGTGTGCATGGGGCCAGTGTACATAACCAGTGCTTTACTTCCTGTGGCAGTGCTTTTAGAAGGCCATCATTTGCTGCTGTGTGAGACAGTCAGCATTACACAGTCCAAGGTTCCATCAAGTCTGTGGTAGCTACGTAGACGGTAGTGTGACAGGTAGAAGAGTTTGTTTTGCTGGAGTATTATGACAAGGTGAGTTTATGTGGGACTAGGTGTGTGAAGCCAGAAACTTGAGAAAAATAGAGAGAGAGAGACAGGTCAAGAAGAGGCAAGGTTGCTGGCACCATGTGTTAAGTGCTGGCCCACCAAAGTCCCATACAATTATAATGCTAGTCCATACAATACTCGTAAAGTGCCTGGGGTGAAAGTGGTTTCATCCACAGAGGAGACAGAGGGAGAAAGGGAAGATAGAGTTGGACTGAAAATCTGAAGATGATGATGAAGTATCTCTACTTACGCATGCTTCTAATAGGTAAAAACTTGTAGTACAGTAGGTTACTACAGTGGTTCTGATGTATGTAAGCCTTTAAGTTTCTTTTAGCCTACATAGTGGCTACATTTTGATATCAGTATATCTATTTCTTCCTCCTCTTGGCCCCATGTCTGACAGTGTGTGTCACGAATACTGTCTACTGTCAGAGTCTCAAGAATTCCGAACATCTCAGAGATGAATGGGAGACAATAGCCACCGGCTCTCCTTTCACAACCCTACTATCTCACAAAGAACAAGGATCACCCTCTGTGTCACCTAACAAAGCCGAATCATCCTGCACCACTCGCTGTACTGCGACGCATGACACTGAGACTGGAAAGACACCATACTCTGAAGGCTTGGCTGGAGAGGGAGGTAGAGACACTTCTAGCCACAGTCAAAAACAGACCAGCGTGATTGTAACACCGCAAGTAGTTGGAGTTGATCCGGAAATGGGAGGCGGCGATTCTGGAACGTTTCCCACCCTTGACTCCAATACAATCTACATACTGGGAGCTATAGGAGGTGCACTGCTGGTAATCATGGTCACTATTGTACTACTCGGGGTTGTGTGCCTGTGTAGGTCTCGGCAGAGAAAGGCAGAGGCGAGTGGTTTGAAACGAAGCAACACGACGCGATCGTCCAACGCAAGTGACTTTGTCTTTAACTCTGCCTACGAGTGGACTTGTAGACAGACCAGGCTACTGGATCACCTTCGTCCCGACACCACAAACTACCAGTCCCACTGGTCTCTCACCAGAGACGTGTCAAAGAAAAGGGTGAGCAGCCTTCAGAGAAATATCTCGCAAAAGGAACCTAGTGTTGTTGCACCGTCACCCGAGACCCCAGGGGAAAGTGACACGTCACAATGTGCAGTCGCAAACACTAGTCCCAAAGAGGTTTCTGATGCAAATGGTGGGAATTCTGATTCGGAGAATGCGTGCGTTGTGATTGAGAATGAGATCCAGTGCGTGGGGAGCTCGGACAGTCTTGAGCGAGTGGAGACACAAATCAAATGAAGATCACATAGACAGTGTTGGTGGATCGATACCACACGTGAAGCAGACAAAGAGAGACTCAGAAGCAACGAGTGGGGAAACTGTCATTGGTACTCAGTCATCCTGCAATGGTCGTGCAGTTGATATGTACAGTAACCCACTGTATGCAAGGAGAAAGGAGCGAAGCAAGAAGAAAGGAGGTAGAGAAAGCAGGAAAAGAAAGTTAGAGGAGGTGGATGTGGAGGAAGAGGATGAGAAAGAGGAGGAGGGAGAAGGGGAGAGAGGAGGGGAGAGGTGGTGGGAGAGTGAAAACTCAATTCCTCAGAAAAACCGCTCAACTGCCTCCTTCTTCATCACACCAAGTGAACCACTGAGCTCGTTTCTCCTGTCGGACAGCGAAACGTACGACTCTGGCAATGCTAGTGCCGTATCCACCGACATCGCATCGCTTCAACACTCGGCAAACCACGACGCGGCAACAAGCAGAGTTCTGGCTGATGCACAAAGACAGCAGCAGCTACGGGCAACTGACGAAGGCGGACTTGTTGAAAGTAGCAGTTTTGAATTGCGAACAGTGTTGCACACAAACCGATAGTAAAATAAAGGTGGATCTTAGCTGTGTTTGTAACCCATCAGTTTCATTTATTCTTTCTGGCAACAGTTTTGAGAGAGAGTTTGTTGATCAGCACTTAGGACAATAGAAACATGTACTGGCCTGCCCAGGTTTCATATTATGCCTAAACATGTAATATTGCATGGGCAAGTACTGCTAAAAATGCATGCGATCTGTAACTTTGGGTGTGGAACAACGTGTACGATCTGCAACATGTGGAAAGTTCTCTTCTGAAAATCCTCCCATTTCCTGTATACTAGTTACTAACCACTGTATAATGTTCCCAACAAAAACAAGTTCATGAAATCGCCAAATGAAGAGGAACAGAGGGAGGGGAGGACACACCTGACAATGGGGTTGGTTCGCGAGAGGTCCTTTGGCTTGACGATGAGGATGAGCTCCATGGGTGTCTTGTCTCTGCTGGCTCGTATCATGAGATGACCTCCTCGTGTCTGGAGTGAGACACTGGCTTACTGTTGATGTAGAGTAACTGGTCCCCTTCTTCTAACGGCGGGTTGCTTTTCTCTGCCTAGGGAGAGGAGGGAGGAGAGGAGAAGAGGGTGAAATAAGTGAGAGGTTTTTTGTGTGTGCGGAGGAGCAAAGAAGGGAGCAGAATAAGGACAGAGTTGCGATGGTGCGGGGAAAGGAGGGAGGGAAAGACAAAGAGAGAGGAGGATAGAACGAAAGAGCAGAGGTGATGCACAGACAGATGCACAGACAGACGGAGAGATACAGAGCCGTTGAAACAAATACACTACGTAGGTGAGAAGTGGGAGATAATTATGATAAAAGCGACAGCATGTGGGAGAAGACGGAGGAGGAAGAGAGAAATATAAACGAGAAGGGTGACATTCACTCTTTTGTGTGTGTACAAATGGTGCAAACAGGACTTACTGGTGACTGTGGAGACACCTTTGAAACCAGTACCGGCATCTTCTGATCCACCCCACCCTGCACACACACGTACGTGGACACTTACATAACAGCTGTCTGTCCATACATTGTACACACACACCACCCATTGATAAAGTGATGTACTACTCTAAAGTACTATTCCCTATGACTATACGCAATTGCTACTTCAAAGAGAGTCATTGTGCGCTTCAAACACTCGCAGCAAATCAATTATAAAACATCTATAGCTTAGATGGCCCCACAGCCATAATATCCATACAATGCCACTGAAGTACAAAGGAATCATGGAAACCTTGACAGTACATTGATAACCCGAACATGGAACAGTACTGGTCATAATAGAAAACACAAGGTATCACAATGCCACATTGCCCCATGGAACAATGATGCATTGCTGCATTGCGAGGATAGCTATGTCAACGGCACGTGGCAACGGGGCAATGCAACGTATAGTGAACCTAGCCTTAGTGTCCAGTGCACTAAGACAAAATCTGGTCTTTCCCACTCTCTACAGGTGCCACTGTTTTCATTCGCATGCCCACTAACCTTGACGTTGAACCCATATCTCCCTCTCTCGTCTGCCTCCAATCTGATGAGCAGTAGCCCCTCTGATGCCAAATCATCCTACAGTGTAGGAACAGCCACAGTATTGACAATAGAGACACCATTACAATAGACACCTTGCTTAAGGTCTACAATTCCATTTCTCAGTGATACACTAGCCCATGTAAGCGGGAAACATTCGTGTGAGTGAATTGACTATTTGAAATCTGGTAGTGGCATATAAACTCATGGGTTTGGTAATGCAATGGCTGTTGAAACGTGAACACCATTAAAAACATTCTGGGGTAAATAAAGTTGACGTACCATACAAACGTTCCCAATCTCTTCTTCCTGCTTGACCTGGTCGTCATAGTAATCTGTCGGCTGAGAAAACACACAAGCATTAACACACAGTGGCACTAATTGCACCGTTAATGCGGGAGCTTACTCCTTGTTCGAGGTCGCTGACCCTTCTGTGAGTTATAGGGTAGTGTTCTTCCTCTAGAGCTGCCAATGTGAATTGACCGGTCATGTCGTCAGATCTGTAGCCATTTTGAGGAGGAAGGAAGAGGATGATAAACAAAACATAGTACCCATACTACATCTGCGTACCTACATCTGTATGATACTATCTATGTATATGCCTATAGTACTACCACATTTAGTGATATGCAAGAAACATGTAGTTCTTGTCAGGTAGTCAATACACTGTGTATGAAATCATGCATTATGTGTCATATGTACACACTTTTTACATAATAATATGTGCAAAAGTGTATACACTATGTATACAGGATGTAAATTTGCGTGTGGATAGAGAGGGTTAATTAACATACACTGTGATTGCTTGCTGTGAAAGAGAGAGCCTGCATGGAAGAACACGTTACAATAATATCTCATGGAGGGTAAGTGATCTCTTACATCATGAACATGTATCACATTGTATTTCCTATAGCTGTGTCTATTATGAGCGTACAGTACAGTCTCATGTAAGGCTTTGTAAACTACATCTTACGGAGGATAGTCGTCGAAATGGTCATCAGGTTCCTCAGACATGTCTCTGTAGCCATTGGCTCTGATGGTTACTTGAGGCTTCTGGGTTATGTCATACATGTTGAACGAGCGGTTTCTTCTCGGTATACCACCCATACTGTAGGGAGGGTGAGGAGGAGGGGGAGAGGAGGGAGTGAGGTGGAGGGAGAGGAAAAAGGGGGGAGGAGGAAGAAGACAAGAAGGGGTGAGTAGGGGGTGGAAAGTCACTGGCAATTCATAAGTACAGGTATAGATACTGTCCTCTTTTTGCAACTGTATGCTGTGTAAGTATATGTATGCACACATACCTTGCTCCTCCACCACCCTGTACACCAAGATTAGTCCCTGCAAGGACAAAATATACGCACGTCATACACAACACCTCACTATTCAGTCAGAGTCTACTGCCCTATGCACTGCTTGTGGCTACAGTGTTCGGTACAAACGGTTGTAACGTACCAATAGTTCGTCGAGGCTGTCTCTTGGGAGGCACTCTGTAAAAAGACGCATTCACGTGTAAACAACTTTTTAGACCAAGTTTACTGAGTTCCTGTGGTGTGCAATCCACGCGAGCATAAAAACAAGTGCAGAGTAGATTCAAAAAATCTAAAATCTACAGACGCCCTTGAGGCCTTTACACAACAGATAGCATTCTTGCTCGGCAATACAAGGGCCTATGAGCTTCCAATGCATGTACATACTCATTGTCTAGCTAATAGAAAGGCATTGTCATGTAGCCTGGTTTACCTCTTGATTCTCACGCTGGCCGATCTCTTCAGAGCCAGAGGCTTACTCTCGTCCATCACCTGACGCTCTGTGCGACTGTGTGAAAAGTCAGAGTGGACGGCAAGTGTGTAAACCCAGGAAGCAACCATTATTTTTGAACGAAAGCCACCCACAAAAGCATTTGGTGGAAGGGATCTACTTTTACATTTTTAATGCTTTCCGCTATGGTGAAAGCTGCTCATGGTGACACCCTGCAATGCATCAATGTATCACTCCTCTCTCTCTCTCTCTCTGTCTTAACCACGGGCACTACCTACGTATTACATTCCCTCTCTGTGTTGCTTGCGAAAACAATTGATGAGTCACCTTCACACTGTACAAGCCTCAACCCATTGTTCTGGGTGCTATATATATAGCCTTATATGCTCCAGTGCTAAGGCTGCCTTTTGATTATCTCCTTGTCTTCATTGTACATTGAACAAAAGATATGCATACCTGAATCTCTTCTTGGAGCGTTTCATGAATCCCTTGGCATTAGTCTCAGCAGTTCTGGAGTGAGAAACAGTGGAACAAGTACAGCCGAGTCAGTGAATACCACTACCAACAGTATGTGGGGAACAGAGGAGATTGGTGAAGCAAGTAATAAGTGAGTAAAATAGATGCATGCAGATGTCTTTAGCAATGTAGTTGCTTAAAGTACAATCCAACTGTCTCGAACGATTCATTCAACTTTGAATATGTTGTCGTGCATGGTGTAACTGTGAACTGACACACCTACAAAATTTCCCCTGCTACGCACATTTCACAACTTTGATGGTCAAGAGCAGATCTGACTAGGCAGTAGCCAACTAGAGCTGTTTTCATACATTATACATAGACGCTGCTTACTATACACCTGAATAAGGTACGTATGCACTGACCTGAAGAACTGCGTGATAGTCGATGCAGTCTTTCCACAGCTGTTTGCAGCGTCGTAGGAATCCATGTGAAATCCAACCGCGTTCTGTTCCCCCGTGTCCTGATTTGGCCGCAGCTCGATGAAAAACCTCCGTCGCTTGAACGTGATCTTGCGAATGTCGATCCTGGCAAAATCACATTGACGCTCTTTATGATCAATCTTTAGTGATTTTGTATGACAGTGTATGCATTTACATGCACACTAATGCATAATTCACACACTCTGATCACACATCATATGGTGCATTGTACAAAGACGTGGCCCTACCAACACAAAAGACCACAAAGGCAGGCAGTACAGTATAAGACAAGTGAAGCTTGCAGGGTTCTCCATATGGCTACTCTTCTTCAACTCCTTTTGATACAAAAATGTTTTAGGAGCGATCCTCATAACTTATGAAAGTTGATTGTACACACACAAATAGAACACTCAGCCTTCAGCCCCTGCATATTATATAGGGTGGTGTGAAAGTCGGTCTTCTTACCATAGGAAGGTAGTGATGATAGTTCTGCTCTTGAAGACTGCGATGCCATCGGTAGTGATCCCCAGAGAGAGATCGATTCCATGGTGGTCTTTGGCAGGGAACAGCTCCACCCCATAGAACTCCAGTCTACCAATAACAGACGGTACATTCACACAGTATACATACATACGTACCATAACGGTGGTGCATAAAACTCCATTATACGTCGTACAAGGTAGAAATAACAAGTGCTACATGGGATCCCTATCTAAGGACATACTAAAATGAAGACACATCTCTACCCATCTTCCTCCTGATGAACAGTTTCTTGCATGCAATTATTTAACCCCCAAACATTCTTCTGTCCCGTTGGTGTCCGGATTAGAGGGGTTCCAAAAAAGTCTCAAAAACCAAGAAGTCTTCATAGTTTCAAACTCTGCTTCTGTATGACAGTAGTTTAGACACCTTTTAGCGTTGGCCAGGAGTAGAAACTCGGCCTCCTGGGTTGTCTTCCCGGAGTGCTCGCGATGGAACTGGGCTATCTTCTCCTCCAGGTCCTCAGTCTGCCCGGGGAACAGCTGGAGCTCTGAGACATAGCCTTGCTGGTGTTTCCTGGGACTGTAGTCACCCAACTCAGCTGCGTAGGTAGAGAAACATCGAGTGGGAGATTGAGAGGAAGGGTGAGGAGATGAAAGAACGGGTGGTAGGCAAGGAGGTTAAATGTGTTTAAATGGAGTCGAGTGGAAGGCAAGGAGGTTAAATGTGTTTAAATGGAGTCGAGTGGAAGGTAAGGAGGTTAAATGTGTTTAAATGGAGTCGAGTGGAAGGCAAGGAGGTTAAATGTGTTTAAATGGAGTCGAGTGGAAGGCAAGGAGGTTAAATGGAGTCGAGTGAAAGGTAAGGAGAAAAGGAAAGAAGGGAGGAAAGGGAGTGAAAAGCCTGCTTTTTCATTATGGCTACAACTCATAACAGTGAAAGTAAACGATAAAAGACAGTATACAAACATTAATCAACGCAACTGCACCAACGCACAGTTGCATAACATTTTTGTATAGATGAAAGCGAGTTGTTGTTGCAGGTCAACATACCTTGTACCATGTACGACCCTAGCAGAGCAGCCGACTCAAACGAACAAGGAAGCCTGTGAGAAAAAACATTGACATTACTTTTGCTGCTTGATTAATCCTCAAGAGTGATTATAGGATGGCCTAAACCTTTCGTACTTTTAGCAAGCAACCGGCTTGAAGGGCAGACTAACCAATCATCCTGAAAACCTTGAATATAGTTGGAGTGTGCAGCACAGTATAATTATGTGGCCTGCATAGACCAGGGGAAAAGGCAAGCCAACCGACCACCTTGAATACCTTGACTATACTTATAGTGTGTTTGTAGGTATGTATCAGGACGCCTGTAGCATTACCTGCCAGAGGATATGTCATTCTTGATTTGGAGGAAGAAGAGGTAGCGAGTCAACTCCTCCTGAAGGTGGCTGGGGTCAGGGACGTAGAACTTGACACGGAACTGCAGCGCTAGCAGACGAGAACCTGCAAACATCACATCACATACATATTCACAGTGCACTTCATATAGCTACACTACTGCAAATCTTGGCACAGACCAATCTGGATCTGGATTGGGTATTACACTACGCATCATTTTGTATACAAATTAATGACGATCATAAAGACTAAGTTCACTGAACTGATGTTGAATCTCTCTCTCCTTTAGTGTATATATCTCAAGAAATTCTCTCTCTTGTAGTACTACTGGATGCAGTAGCATGTGTGACTCTTGGAAGAGCCGACACAACAGTCATTATAGAGTGAGTAGATATATATCTGGAAAAAGGACCTACACATGCACGTGGGCCTTCTGTCTGTGACACTACGAGCTAGTCTACATGTCAGAGCCATAGAGTAGGCTACTATCGTACACACGTAGACCCCCAGCTGGAAAAGGGCTCCTTTGGAGTCATTGAAGTGTGGTAAATTCAGTCAATTGGTAAGAGTATCCGTCTAGAGTACTGTTTACTACTACTATTATACTACCTCCACAATATCTGTATAATACCCAGACACGTTAAATTGCGAGTATCATACATTCACCCACATGTAGGTTCTTTCTAATCAGGGTTTACATGAAAGAACAGCTATCATGGCAGTTCAATACATGTCCCATGCAGGAAGGCAGGAGAAAAAGGGTGTGGTAGATCTGTTGCTCTAAACTACTGATATCTTACCTTTGCCACCTGTTCAGATATCCTCATATTATGCTGAAATTGTGCCGAGCAAAGTGTCCATTACCATATGCCACTGCATTTGATTTGCAGTGCAGTAATGTGCTCAACGGCTGTCTGCACATCTACCATGTGCCAGCATTGTTTATGGAGGACCAATAGCTAGTGAATTTAGCACACACTCCCTAACACAAAGAATGTTACATGCACTACACGACCTAAAATCCTTTGACTGTCACGAGATGTGTAGGCATACGTATGTCTTACAAGCAGCGTTCCTACTTGCAATCTGGATTGACATACGTACATTAGCTCTGTACTGGAGTGCATCTGTACTAGTGGTCACACATTGATCTGAACATGAATGCCTGACTTGACACTACTTTGGATTATTGATACACTCTCCACACATTGATATAGATTGACAAGCTCAGAGTCTTTCCTATGGCAGGGGCTCACCCCACAGTAAATCCTATGACAGGCTCACTCTATAGCATATAAACCCTATGAAAGGCTCACTGCACATGAAATCCATACTTTCCCATGACAGGGGCTTGCTCCATAGTAATCCATGCGTTTATCTCAATTGTGCAGGTGTTGAATAGTGCAGTTGATATTGCTGTGTATCAATGTGGCCAAACCAAAGCATGTTTGCCACATGTCGTCAGATAAAAGCGAGAGACACGTGGGACTAGCTATAGGGACCCAGCCCTAATGGGTGCTTGGCTCTGGAGTTACAGGATATGAAATTACGCCCACTTGATTCAGTCCATCCGCTGCCAACATATGGTCGGGAGAATGTATGGTTAAAATATACGCAAACACGAGTGCTTCAAACCAGTGGTACTACACACCTATTAGTGGCGTATTCAGTTAAATACCCGATATTCCACCATACACAGTCAGAAAACTATACACAGCAAAGTCCTTATGGGCTGGGAAATTTCCACTTGAGCAAAAATATTTTAGAAAATAGCATAAGAAAAGATAGCGACCTTCATACATAGGGCATTGGTTCACATACCAATGGAATAGGTGGTTGCTAAGGGTGCTTACACCACAAACCACAATGCTCTATATAGCGCCTACACTGCCTACACTACAAACACGCCCACATGTTGATGCATAGTTCCAATAACTGCCTTTACTGGCTTCACTCAGGGGCTCTACTGAATCTGTCACGCGTGTGTTTCACAGATGCATTCCTTTAATGCCAAATGGTGTAGTTGTAGAAATCAGCTGGTAGGGCTAGGGCATTAGGTCATGCATAGCTATTATAGCACATTGGGTCCAGCCTACCATATGCATTTTTTTTTAATTTCTTGTCCTTCATTGTTTCAGTGTCCTCCAATATATTGTATAGAGAACACTCAAACAAACAGCCATCTTCTATGAATGGAGTGTCCACTATCATAACGCTGTAAGTACGTACGCACCACGTAAATTCCTGAGCGTTAGAGGAATCAAGTAGATACTGTAAGAGAGTGGTCATTGAGCTTGTTAGGCAAGCTTGTTGCGGTAAGTGGTTTTCAAGGGCTTACAAGAGTACACACTACTCAGCCGGAATTACTCCTGGTATTAATTCACACAGAGCTGTTATATTCCATGTAAGGCTAGAGTTTTCGGTGTCTGCGTGTGCTAGCAGCTAATTCATCATCGTTGGGTTAAATACGTCTTATGAACTTATGGGACGCTGACCCACTCTAGAAATTGGGCGCTAGGTCGTCCTGGGATCGACATGGCAACGTTATCTGATCAACTGCTTACGTACGTACAGTCACAGGTGTGTTGCATGGCTAGCAAGTAAGAACAACATTTGCTGCGACTTTTGGCACACGTCTAAGGTGCTCATCACATTAGAATGTTCAGTAGCAGACGGGACGATCAAAGAACAGCCCGCTTGCAACGGCATAAAATCAGGTTTACAAATGGCATTATGTAATTAAAACACACGACAGGTAGCCCATGTACAAACTAACTGTTGTAGTTACACTGACCTTTGAACTGTTTCTTTAGCTGCTTGCCAGCTTCAACCCATTTCTGTTGATCAAAGACAAACCGATATCACACCATAAAAGTATCAAAAACCAAAAGGCCTACTGTGCATGTGTATATACCATATACGAGTAAACTTTAAGGGAAGAATGGAGAGAACCTAGTTGCAAAGATTTTCTCGGCAAAATTTTGCAAACTTTTCTTGACTTACATTACCATATCTAAGGATGAGTGTCTACATCTGAGGATGAAACCTAACCAAAAACCTCTGCAGAGGAGGATTTTGAGTCTCATGTCTACACAGGACATAGTAAAACCTGGCTTCCCTTCCCCAGTATGTTACTGATAAAAGCTATGTAGCTATACATGAGGTCCACAGTTCCTTAAGCAACAGCAACAAGGGCTGGTCTACCTAGGCAACTGGGAATTTGCCAGACAGCTCCTAGGCAACTACACCCACCCACACTCTGGTGAAACAGTCACAACTTCCTTATCAAACACTCCAGTTCCTTAGCGGCAGCTAAGACACACCACTTACAGCCACTCAATTGAAAGGAGGAACTGTCTAAAGCCTCCATTTATATGGCAGTCATGTCCCTTTTACGTTTTAAATGGTGTGGCATGCAGGAACCCTAGCATTGAGGGGGACTTGTTTCGTAGTAGACAGTACTATGTATACGTGTATCTAGTGAATGAGTCGGCTAGTGAGTAGTGACAGGTAGGATGGCACGGAGTATCCATAACCCTAAGTGTAGGCGTAGAGTGTATTATAGTATGGGAGGTGAATACCTACACATTCGTCTAATTGGATTGGAATTGGTTTGGACGATCCATACACTTGTTTCCTTATTCCAGCACCCACAGAGCCTGTTGCTTCAGCCTTCTATGTACGGCTACTACACTCTCCTCAACAACAAACAGCAGAGCACAGTATATACATATGAACAGTATAGTTGATACAAGATATAACCCAACTGGATTTGAAGTACGAAGTGGTATATATATATACAGAGGATTGTGGCCTATCAATTGTATACAATGTCGTTTGGTATTATTGTTATTATGTGGGAGCGTGCAAAGCCGGAAGATCATTTACAATACACGCAACATGATACCGCTGTTGAATTGGCGGCGACGCGATCTAACTGACCGTGAACCATTGCACACACTTCCAAAATTCAGCTTGCTGACGTAATGAGGTATATACTTGGTGCATGCATACGAAAGTCGGTCGAGATCTCTGATTATTCAGGTGGTTCAAACTTTTTGACCTTCCCAAGATAACACGTTCAAGGCATTATATACAGCGGGGCCTTTATTCACAATAGCGTATTGTTTATGTCAAAAAACTCTAAAGGAGTGCAAAGGTGGATGATTGCAGTGTCAAGTCAAAACAACAGCAAACACCTTGGCAGCTCCTAACTTCGTTATTGGACTGTCTTCCTCCCTCCGCATACTTTTGACACATCAAAGAATGTACGCTACTTCCCACGCTCTAATTGCATTTTATCTTGCCAGAATACCTTTTTTAGAATTATGCATTTAAATTTCAGAAATGAAGTAAGTAATCGCGGAGGTGTATTTGGGTAAAACTTTAATAGCTGTCTATATCGATTCCAGAACAAGGGAATTACCTTTTTAAAACCGGTTTATCTCAGAAGCTGCCAGGCTTAGTATAGGGTATGTGAGCATTGGTGCATGTTAGCTATGTTCCATCTCATTATCACCTGTGCATAGCATCTGACCACAACATTACAGAGCAGACTGCCACTAACACCTCACTGTTAGTCTATACTGTACATTCTCTGCTCTGGCTAAGCCAGGTGGAAAGTCATTAGTGTGGTCTAGCACCCTGACCTACATAAATACCCTTTCTTCACCTCTTGCATTGTGTAAGCTAACTGTTCACACGAAGAAGAGCTGCCCTGGGTGGGACTTGAACCCCATGACACTCTGCTCCCTAGACAGAGCCCCCTCTTCCCACCCACTGAGCTATATACCAGGGCAGCACAGCAGGCAGGGTTCAAAGTCTAAACACAACAAAAGCAAGAGTAAAACCCACTTAATTTCAAACAAAGAGGTCTTGTCTGTGACACAGATAGAGAGTAATTGTAGGGGTATCCTCAGCTTTAACATCTATACATAACAATGGAGGCTGCAGACCTACTACAATTGCTGAAGGTTAGAAGGCAAACTAGAAATTGTTACTCACTAATATATATATAGTCGTAGTAAATTTCTTGAAATCCGCAAGATGAGCTGATATACGGTACCAGGTACAACATACAGTGTGAAAGTTTCCAACATAACACAATTGTTGGCATGTTGTCATATAATTTGATACCCTCCTGCGTCCCCCAGATATATATACATTACAAGAACTTAACCTCTTGACCGGTACATGTAAACAACTGTGTCAGTAAAAAAAACATTATCTTATACAAACAAGGAATATCTATTTCCGTGCCCGAAGCGCTTTCCTTTTCCATCATGTTTTCCACTTGCTGCTTACAAAAACTAAACTTTTCCTTTGTCTGAACAGTATATACATCCGTCAGTAAATTTACAAGTATACCACACACTTTTGTAGGCTAAGTAGCCTCAAGAAAACATCATGTAGCTACATACATACAAGGTGTGAACAGAGCCGCCTGAGGAATTATCCTGCTGCCCTTCTCTAACATGTGAACGATACCAATAATGTCTCAGTATGCGTCATGAAGGGCAGTGAACTGTTGACCTTTGTAAATCTGTAAAGTCATCTTGTTTGTCTCAATGTGCCCTCATTTTTGGGAGCCCTAGAGGCCTAAACATGGATTCCATGAATTGGCATCAAAGGTGTACACTGACACTGTTGTATGCATACCCCACGTGCATAAGCAGCAGGAAGCCCAGTGTGCATGTTGCCTACACATTCCGTCGCAGTGCTGCATGCTACTTTGAGAGAAGTGTAGGTGAGCAATGAATGGTATGCAGGGGGGAGGATGAGAATTTCATAGTTAGATCATGCTAAGCATTTTCTCTAGAATTGGAATTGGGGGGGGCAAGATGGGAGGAAAGTGTCACAAAAGATTGGGGATGGGTACTGTCCATGTAAGTGTATCACGATTCAGGGATTTCAGGTGGATTAGCGATCACTGCATGTTGCTACAGATCGTACCACATTGTGTAGCCAGCAGCACTTTTGCAGCGAACACGTGAAACTCACATTTTTAGTTGTATAATACATGGCAGCACATTAAACAATGGGGCAATGCTATTCTGAAACTCGGAGGAAAGGTTTAGTTCAAAACATTGAGCAACCTCAAACAAGAAACACTGTGTTTTTCTTAGCAGGAGACAAGTGGCTGTGACCCCATGTTTGTCTAACTACATAGGTCTATGCAGTATACATACAGTACGGGTCAAAAACAAAGTAATACTATTGAGTTGCAATTGACACACCACAAAAATTCCCATACAAGTGTCAAGATCAGGTAAGCAAATGTTATCAAGTGTGCTACAAGTCACACAAACATGCAGTTGACACAATGGACAGCAATTGTATAGATATGTGCTTGTACTATGTACTGCACTTACACCCTGTGCAAACATGTACAATACAAGTGCTGTGCAAATGATGGTGCAAATGTCCCACAATTGCTATCAGGTCACAAGGTACATTACAGAGCACTTGTACGCAATGGCAAAGAGCACAAAAACAATTGTTGTCAACTGAACCAGCACTTTTTTTGAACAACAATTGCGTTACCCACTTAACGACCCATACTGTAGGTCTATGTAGTATATACATATATCTATGTAGTATATACATAGGTCTATGCAGTATACACATAGAGAGGTGTAGAAGTGAGAAAATCAGAGTTGGGCTCCTTTCCTGGACACTGCACACTCTGTCCCGAAATGTTTGTGGCTAGGAATGAGCTTATTACCCTGAAACATCCCTGGAATGTATTAAATTGAGGGGAGTTCATATGTGTATATTGTGCAACAGTACTTGTTTACTGTTCGGCATGTGGGTAACCAGAAATGCTGGAGTGATATTACATTATTACATGCCATAATGTGTCAGTGTTTTCATATAGCACCTTCTTCCTTAGAAAGTGGGCAGTGGGCTTCAGCTTACTTCCCTTGCATCGGCTATACACGCGAAATCCAGAGAGAAAACATACCAAAACTTTGCTCTTTGAGATGGGTACACTTAGGTCAGGGAAGAGTGAAATTTTAAGACACTTTTTATTGGAGTTTAACTAAGGCCCAGAGACTGAGAATCTATTGCCCAAAGCACTGCTCTACAACTCAAAGTCATTAGCTGACTGATCCCTGCAATTTGTCCCAGCAATCAACTGAGAAACTAAAACTCAAACCTTTCCCAAAATAAACTAGCTGAAACTGGTGTTTTATGGCTCTTGCTTATCCCGTTTGAGTAGATATTACGTGGTTAGTACTCGCTTTTAGGCACTTAACTTTATTGTCTGACTGCATATCTGGCAATAAGTGCCTTAATTGTCCAAGTGGCTGCAATTTACAGTGCAATAAACCGTATAATTCCACAAAACCATATGTGATGTAATGTCTTTCAGCTGTTGGCTTTTTCAGCAGAAACACCAGTTACTACGATACAACCCACAAAGACAACCAAAGCATGCAGTAAGAATGCAGAAGGTGCCTATCCTATCCTAACACAAACCAAGCAAATTTCACTTTCACCAGCCTCGTGAGTTATCACGTGGAGGATGTGGTATTGTAGGGATGTACACCCAGTATGACACAGATGTATGGGACAACAGCATTGGTTGGAGCATATAAGTTGAAATTTTGTGCTGGTATTATCCCACTAACCATCATGCCTTCGTCGGTGTAAGCCAGTCCAAAGTAGTCCTTCTCCAACAGATCAAGGTGCTTGGCCACCTCACCCAGTAGAATCTCACCTTGATGGTTTTTCTGGGAGACAAAGGAAAGAGAGAACAAATGAGAGAGAGAGTGACAGTTCCACGACCAGACCCCTCTCTAAATTAGTAGGGGTGTTGGCCACTTTAGTAGTTCCTGATTGTTTTCCAGCAAACGTTCGTTAAGTCTGCAGTAGTGTATATTACCAGGCCCTCTTCCATTTAAGAAAAAGGTGTATATAGGTATATTATGCTATAGCAGAACAGATTGGTAATTATATTTCACTTCAGAATGTTTTGCGCAATATTCGTGGTTGTGAGCAATTTCCATGCTTTCGTGTGCCTTGTGTATGCCTGCAGGGCTTGAAAATTATCATTTCATTCACACAAACAACCGAAGTTGGATATACTGTAATCTGAAGCAAGCTAGTTGACGCATGAAGGAGTAAAGTAAGCAGGAAAGGGAGATGGGGGCATGAACTGATACGCTGGGGTTTCCTTACAGCTCATGATCGAAACATGTAAGGTGCCACTTCCTCCACAGGCAACAGAAATGGTCTAGGGCAATTCCAATTGGAAAGAGTATGCAAATAGAGTCAACGTACACTTCCTGTGCAAGTAGCCTGTACACACGCACACATGTTCTAAAACCCCCACCACACAAAAGGCTAGCAAGTCAACTAACATTCACGAACCCGTATCGGGCATGCCGACGCCAAATAGCCTCCCGCTCAATGAGACACGGCAATCAGCACACAATACAAGTTTTGATTCCAGTCAAAAGCCCACAGCCATACACACGGGGCATTAGCAGCCACACAATATCAAGAACAGGTGAAATACACAACTTTTGTATGCACCCGTGTACCATACGCACAATACAACTTGAGAAAGCGCAATACAAGCAAAGATGAACTCAACTGCGTGGAACTGCTCATAAAGTGTGAAATACCACTCGAAAGTCTTACATTCCAGAATGCCAGATGTAAACGTATGTCTCTTTCATACCGCTGTGAGGTACAGCAATGGGCCATGTACTGGACGCAAGGGAACAGAGATAAGCCTGATACTTCAGGGCCGCTGGCAGCCGACACTGTGACACATATGTTACAGTTTACCAGGCAACCTGAATCGGCAGGTCTTGTACTCTTTTCTCTGATCACTTGTTGCACTCTGCTAGTGAACACCAGGCCTACTGCATACACTTTGTAGCCTCAACCGTATTCATACAAACGCACAGCTGCGCCCGTGTGAAGCTATAGCGACTTTTATCTGCCTTGGACATTCGTTTAGTTTAGTTTCCCGACCCACCTTCGCAACTAACCACGCACCCCTCAGCAGAGAACAAGAACCAATTACATGTTTTACAAGCCTTTGCTAGCTAGCTGCGCTACTAGCTAGAGAGCTTGGCACACAGTAGAGTATCCTAGCTTTGCAGAGGTTATTTACTTATCATGGGCCCAATACTCCTCACATTAGACGTGCAGCATACTGGGAACGGCACCCAACTTACGTCCATGTCACAGGTGAACACGCAGTCGTCCAGAAGTGTCACTTGGCATCTGATCATCCCTTTTTCTCGCTGCATCGCAGTCCCCGGATCCACCCGGCGAGTCAGACTGTACGCCTGCGGCCTTCGAATGCTCCATGTCCGCCTCAACATGTCGCTACACAGAACTGCACTACTAGACGGTGAGTACGGCACGGAACGGGCAGCTTCTCCCGACAAAAAGATTTCCGTAAGACGGGACCTGCCTCTTTTGTCTTATTTACACGCGTGGGCGTCCGCGGTTACATACACGTCACCGCAATCATTTCCGAAGACTATGTTGCCCACTTACAAGAAAGTGACGCAGTGGTGATATGCTTTATTGGAAATGAAGATGAGCATTTCAATAAAAAGGTGAACAGAGTCACTAAGTAGAGAATTGAGAAAGAAGAAAGAATAAAACTCTGTTAGCGATCTCTCAAAAGTGGAGAGTCCTCATAATACTGACTGTCTCCTAGCCTCAGGGCTGCTCTCTTGTACATGTAGTAAAAGACAACGGCCACCAGTCGGTGGAGTACGTACACCGTCTGTAGGAGTTGGGTCCAATTGTATTCGTTTGCACGATTCCACTGAACTGCCACAAACCAAATCTGGTACACGACTGTCAGAACCAGATACACTACACCAATCAGTAGCGTGGCTGAAAATTTACGAAATAGTACCGAAATCAGCCCGGCTTTGAAGATGATTGTGTTGAAGAAGGCCAATAGCAAAAGAACGAGACAGGCAACCAGGGCAATATCTTGTATTATCACCAACACTACTAGTACAGCTTGAATTCTGCTTGCCAGCAGCATAAATGCATTGCAGAAGACGTCAATGGCAAGCAGGGTTAGCTGCAGGGCGAGCACAACTGAATACCTGGGATTCAGGAATGTTGGCATACTGAATGTGGAGGAGAAGTTGTCTTGGCAACCAGGTTCAAAGGTCCGTAAACAAAAGGCGTTATTGTAGTTTTGGCAGAACAGCTGTGCTCTTGGTTTCTCCTGAATTGCTTATTTCTCTCCTCATGGCCGGGTGTGGCCACTCGTAGTGGGAGCCAGAAATAGTGTCCAGCGCCAGCATCAACAGGAAGGTCAAAAAGCGCCAGCTGAACACCGCCGCCTACCTAGCCTAGCCTACTAGCCGTTTCTCTCGCGCATGCGCACACATACGACGATGTTCCGTCACGTGATCAACGTTTGTTGTGCGCGCATGCGCGTGAATCCTATCCAGTGAAGACAAAACACTGGGTGTTTTTCCTCCTTGAGCTGCCGCCATGATGTTGCGCTGTGTGGCAAGAAGATCGTCTAGCTGGGTCAGAGCAACTGGTAAGTGCGCACTGTACCTAACTCTTCCTTCACAATTTTATCGTGGGGCGCGTTATTTAGAAATCTATCCCATCCAGCTCGGCATAGGCTGTACAGCACGTCGATGGCCAAAAATGAGCCTCCTCCACAAGTGGAGGTGTTTATTGACGACCGGAGAGTCCTTGTGGATCCAGGGAACGACCATTCTGCAGGCCTGCGCGACTCTGGGAATAGACATACCTCACTACTGCTACCACGACCGTCTCTCTATCGCTGGGAACTGTCGAATGTGCCTCGTGGAGGTTGAAAAGATGCCTAAAGTGAGGGCATTATCACTCTGCAGTGCTGTTTGAATTATGCGTGTCCATTTCGGAACTGCATGTAACTATTGATATGCGTTATCCCAGCGCATTGCTACTTACACCAAATTTTGCCCAATAGTGCATTGATATGTGACACGACCCTTCTAAGATATGGTTCACCAGTTAGGTTTAGTGCCACAGTAGCCACATGATCACTTGTTGACCACTTGTCTTCTTGTGTATACATTGAGTACATATAGCTTTTTTCTGGTGCGGTGCCTATTGTTGTGACTACTGTGTCATAGAGAATTGAGCTACCGTATTATTGTTTAGCGACTTTACAACAACTCATTTATTCTATGGCATAATTTTTATCCCCTTCATTGAAAACTGATTGGGTACACATATTGCATTGCGTAGTGGTTGCTAGTTTTCATGTGCTTTTTTTTGGTCATTTGTGTGTAACCCTGAAGCAGTTTTTGCTGGGTATGTGATTTTTTTTGGCACACTTAGCCCAGAGAAAAGTAAAGGGAAGTGTGCCTGTTTTTGACTTCTCTTTTCATGGTGTTTCTTTCCCAGCCTCAGGCAGCATGTGCCATGCCCGTCATGCCAGGAATGAGAGTCAAAACTTTCTCCGAAGCCACAAGGAAAGCTAGGTGAGCTCCGGAACCAGATCCTCTCCTTGTGATGTTGTGCAGCACTCTATTGTGTGTGATGTACTGACACGTGTGTATCAGGGAAGGCGTGATGGAGTTTCTGCTGGTGAATCATCCACTAGACTGCCCCATATGTGACCAGGCTGGAGAGTGTGATCTTCAGGTGTGTCGGATAGAGAGAGTCCTGGTGTTGTGGTTGGGTCTTGTATATTTAAGGTGTGCTTTCGGCTTTCTCTCCTGTGAAATTCTCTCTAGATAAGTGTGTTTGTGTCCGTTGAGGATGCAGTATGTCGTGTTCTCTACCTTGCTAAAGCGCTTTAGGGAAATCTAATACTCTTCCGTCCATGCTAATTTGTTTGCTCCCATACATAGGTTTGGTATGAAGAGTATACATGTTTAAGTGAATGTGTGTGTGTGTGCTCAGGACCAGTCAATGGCCCATGGAAGCGATAAAAGCAGATTTGTTGACATGGACTATGGTGGAAAGAGGTATATATATTATATTCATAGATACATATAGTGTTGCACGGATATTGTTTGTGTGCTGCAGAGCTGTGGAAGACAAGAACATAGGTCCTCTGGTGAAGACGATAATGACCCGTTGTATTCACTGTACACGATGTATCAGGTAATTCCCATTCTGCTATTGTGTGTGTACGTTGGAAGGAAGTCTTCACTTACATACACTGCTGTGTTATTGTTGTGTCTACTAGAGGATATGTAATGCAGTTTTCAGGCATATCTGGGCTTCCGCTTTTTCAGTGAAATAATTGTAATTTTTAAGTCTACTACTTGTTGAGAAAAACTGAGAAAGGATGAGAGACCTACATGTATTTGTGTAGTATATATACTTATAAAGAGGGAAAAGAGGCTCTGCAATGTAGTAGTACCTCACTTTACGTAGTGCATGAGTAAGCAGGCCAATGTGTATCGCATGCACACATACAACATACATACATACATAGGCAGAGGATTTTATGCAATTCTACGTGGCATGTTAGGCATTAAGCCTCAGTATCAGGTGATAGTTCTGTGGCGGGTGCAGGTTTGGGAACGAGGTGGCAGGAGTAGAGGATCTGGGGACGACGGGCCGCGGGGAGCACATGCAGGTCGGGACCTACATCGAGAAGATGTTCCATTCAGAGCTCTCCGGCAACGTCATTGGTCAGTCCACACACAACCTTGCTTTCTTCCTATACCACCAACTTTGTTGTGACTCCCAAACCATGATACCACCTCCGCACAGATCTGTGCCCTGTAGGAGCACTCACATCGAAGCCCTATGCCTTCACGGCCCGACCGTGGGAACTCCGTCGCACCGAGTCAGTGGACGTTCTGGACGCAGTCGGGAGCAACATCGTGGTGAACACTCGCAGCGGAGAGATCATGAGGATTCTCCCTGCTCTCAACGAAGACGTCAACGAAGAGTGGATATCAGATAAGACCAGGTCAGGGGGACAATGTCTGGTGTGCAATTATTAGGGGGATACATGTATATGTCAAGGAGGGAAAGTTTTACAAAACTGATAGGCTATCCACAATGAGATACTGTTACCTGTATGAGCTGCCCACATTTGGTGTTTACCTACAGCCGAAATGAGCATTTCATTCAAGTCCGATTTCACAATGGCTCGCTGAATATTATAAAGGAAATTAACCCTAGTGCTCATACTGTGGCTGTAGGTTTGCCTATGATGGTCTGAAGACCCAGAGATTGACAGCTCCAATGGTCAAGGACAGTGCTGGGAAACTGCAGCAGTGCTCTTGGGAAGATGCTCTCACTGAGGCTGGCAGGAAGGTAGAGCAGCATCCTGAATACTTCAATACTATACCCATTGTGCAAAGTAGTACACTTCACACATATATAGGCAGTAGGAATGGTAGAGGGGGAGAACTCCATGCATTTTCTTGTACAACCCCCACTTTTTTTCACTTACAACTGCACTCTCCAACTATAGTCAAGATATTCAGGATGGTTGTTTATATTGTCCTTCCCCTCAATTGTGTGCTAAAAATACGAAAAGTTTTTTTTTTCTACGGAGGATTTTGCTCTCTACTCCACCACAGTTGACTGAGACATCGCCAGATGGAGTGGCAGCCATTGCAGGTCCACTGGCAGACGTGGAGTCTCTGGTGGTCCTAAAAGACCTCCTCAATTCCCTGGGATGTGAGAATGTCTTCACTTCCAATGCCTTCCCCAGCTCGGGCCCTGGGACTGACCTTCGCTCCAGTTACCTCCTCAACACCTCCATCAGTGGGATCGAGGTATGTATATACATGTATAGCTATACCATATTTTCTGGAAGATAGTCACACTTTTGCTTGCAAATTGTAACGTGTGACTTGTAGACAGTGGGCATATATGTATACCTGATGTTTGTGTGGTGTAAGAGGCTGTAATGTACGATGTCAGCAATAGCAAAAGTTGCTGTTTTCCAACTATGAAAGTATTATACTCGATTTTTGCTGCCATGGCACGTGGCCATCGACCACACACCCAGAGCAATGGACATAATTGATTAATAATAACCAGTGGAAATGCATAGCATTCTTTGGCGAACAGATGCGTGAGTTTGCATATCATCATGCCTTACCAGGGCCTGCGTGGGTGGGGAGGTTTGGAAGCTTCCCTTCCCAAGAATCCACGGCATTGTAGTATCGTGTACATGTGAGTGACTGCCAAGTCTCCAGTGAACTCCTGTCTACAGCCTGCCTTCCAATGTATTCGGTGGATACTGCTGCCCATCCTTGACCTTACTTGTGAATGGAAACACTGGCCTCTTCCGTCCCACCAGCTGAGCTGCACTGATACACAGCTCAGTTAGCAAACAGCCATTCAGACATGCACCATTCCTAACCTACATATCTATGCTACTTGGAGCACTCCTCTATGTGTAGCAATTCTGTAGCCAGTGGGTGCCTTCTCTGTCTTTTGTATAGGCAAAAGGTCCACGATGCAAATATTTATGACTAGTATACAATGCAACGTTCACTACATTGTACTGTTTATTCAGGAGGCAGACTTGTTGCTGCTTGTGGGGACAAATCCACGATATGAGGCGCCTCTCGTCAACACCAGAATCAGAAAGAGGTATTTATTACCATTTTCTCCCTGGATGAATAAAAGTAGCCAGGAGTTTTGGTCCGTGTCCACTAACGTATCGTCTGCTGTCTGCAGCTATATCCACAACGACTTGAAAGTGGCTCTAATTGGACCCAAACTTGACCTGACTTATGAGTATCAGGTATATGACAAAAAATAGACATCCTAAGTACATATCTAGTAGTGTACAACATGCTCACCTGATTTGCACCGAGTCATGAGATTTGAGATAATGTCACTCGCCTCTCTTCTTCCAGCATCTTGGAGACAGTGCTGCAGTTCTGGCCCAAGTTGCAAGTGGGAAACACCCATTCAGCAAAGTATGTAAGCCTTTGAAACGTACAGTATGTGCTATGGATGTTTTGATGCTGTAAGACCTGTGCTCCTGAATGAATATTCACACACAAAGCCCACTTCTCAATAATACGGAGCTACACAGTTCAAACCACTATAATTCTCCAATAGAAACATTTTCCCGTCGTTCCAGGAGTTTTCCGGGGCAGCTAACCCAATGGTGATTGTGGGGAGTGACGTGCTGCAGAGAACTGATGCCGATGCCATCTACAGTGCCGTCGTATCCATTGCCAGCTCGGGAGCCAAGTTGGCCGACAAGGACTGGAAGACTCTCAACGTTCTACACAGAGTCAGTTTTTAACAACGGTGTTGCAAGCAGGATTATCTTCACCCCGAGATCTCCATTGCATGTAGTGTGTGTATACACATGAGGCATTTCCATGCATGGGGTGAACATTATGTACAGTTGAACATGGAAATTTCACTTTCACATAAAGAGACAATCTAATTCGTGCATTACTTAGCCTCAGCCTCCCTTTATGAGAGGCAATTTTCATGTGTCCCTAGCTATCTTGAGCTCCACTATAGTGCTACTGCTGCTTAAGAATTCTGGGCATAAGGTACATTGGCCTGTTCTTGGGGGAGATTCCTTCTCTCTGTATGAAACCACACATTACCTCACCCCTCTCATTCTTCCTCTCCCCTTATGCTGCTATTCTATGCAGGCTGCCAGCCAGGTTGGAGCACTGGATGTGGGATACAAGGCCGGGATCACCAAAGAGGGACTGAAGGGAATCAAGTTTCTCTATCTTTTGGGGGAGGTAAGACGATGACTTAGTATGCATAGCTGTATATACAGTAGCTTTCATATAACCGTGAGGATTGTTCCTTTTCTTGTGACTCGATATATATACCATAGGATTCCGGGGAGTTGTCACGTGAAGACCTCCCACCCGATTGCTTCGTTGTCTATCAAGGTCAGCTCAACACTATCGGCATTTGAAACACTATACACTTGCATACATACCTATCAAAGAAGGCAGTGGCAGGTTAATAAAACATGAAAGGGGTGTACATTTATGTACTGGCATATATAGTGAAAGGAACAAGAAACCTCTGAAAAAGGGACAATTCTCTGAAAAGAAAACTTGGTCCTACAAAATGTTATCTTACCTCTCAAACACTTTCAATGCCCCCACCGTGTGTCCCTTATTCGTCATTATAGTATACATCTTGTATGCATGAAACACCAGGTCACCATGGAGACCGAGGAGCCTACTTGGCAGACGTGGTCCTACCTGGAGCTGCGTACACTGAGAAGAATGGGACATACGTCAACACAGAGGGGCGGGTTCAGCAAACTAGGTAACACAGGGAATTTTATTTGTCTACGAGATTCGACCTTGTGCTAGCGTATTTAGTGGTTTTTTGCTACATTATTTGCTGCAGAGTGGCTGTAACCCCTCCTGGCATGGCTCGTGAAGACTGGAAGATTCTGAGGGCTTTATCTGAGGTTCAGCATACACTACCCTACAATCGTGCATCTCTACTGCAACTAAACACATTCTCCCACAGATTGCAGGGTACACTCTCCCCTATGATGAGCTGACAGAGCTGAAAGAGAGGCTGAGTGAGGTAGCCCCTCACCTGATTAGATACGACAACATCGAACCAGCAAACTTCTTTTCCCTGACTGAAAAACTGATGAAGGTAATACACTACCTACTATATGTAATCACACTTTATAAAAATGTATGTGTGTGTGCAGTCTACTAAGGCAAGTCTAGGGGCTGGTCCACTGAATGTAAATCTTCAGAGCCTGGAAGACTTCTATATGACTGACTCGATCAGTCGAGCTTCGCAGACCATGGCCCGCTGTGTGGCTGCAGTCAAGGCAGACAAGGCTAAGAACACCAGCTGAGACTCACCATTGATTTGTACATAAACACATAGTGTATGTATGTACCACTCATCGTGTAGGTTCGTGTGACCTTATTTATGTCTATATCGTGAGAGAGTGGAAACGAAAGCTATTGCAGTTGGTACGTAC